AATAGTTTGCGGTTCATATCGTACGATTTTTAGACGAATTACTTACTACTCACAGATGTAGCTACGTGACTTTTCATCGTTTTCTAGAAATTTGTTTAGAATTGCGTTCATTTAGATACGGTTGTGAATGCAAATTATTATGATGCATACGCAGAGAATAAAAGTATTCGTAGAAATTTGAGAAATGCATTTTAATTAATTTATTGCATTCAAATTCCTTATAATAATTACTGAATAAGTGCTGAAAATAGCGCCACCATGCCAATTTTTAATAGCAATCATAAATATTTAATCGTTTGTGAGATAGTGTGGTATAATATTCGCAAATAACTTTTGGTATTGCTTTTTTGTCTTTTTACTAAATTTGCGAAAACGTGCTTTTTGCAACAGTTTTAAAGGAACTTCTATCAAATTTACGCAGATTTCGAATTAAAATAATTTTTTCAATCATTTTTAATTATCCTAGAGCAATAATTTACCAATCAATCAATAGAAAGTGAAATTAAAGTTTTTTTCCTTCTGAAAAAATAATTATTTTCAAGAAATTTCAGAAAAAATGATTAATAAATTATAGTTTCTTGCTCAAATATAAAAAATTATTATGCACAAATAAAATTATACACTATTATTTAACTTTGTAATATTTTTCAACTTTTCCCAATACATTCACGAAGCTTTGCCAAAAACCTAAAAATACCCACACTAGTTCAATTACATTTATTTCGAGCTTGTATTTTTATTCGCCACGCGAAAACATTTGTTTTCCGTATATTCTTAGTCATACGCAGCTTCCCCAATGTCTTATCTGCGTGCGTTTTATGTGTTTACAGTTTACGCATTGCGCGCGAATATATGCATTACAGCATCCAACACAAAATAAAAACCAGGGATTTAGGTTGCGACCAAAGCAACCGACCACCCATTGCCACGAATTACGATAATTTTACGACAAACACGCTTTCAACAAGAATATCTACATGCATCCGATGTACACATTGCACATCCAATATTCCGTATTAATAAACTTGTTACTGCATACGCTGCAAACCGCTATATTTATTCTAAAATATTGATTTTAATTCACACATTGTTATTAATTACTCATCGCTGTTATACAGTTCATATAATGCGTGTGTATTTACGATGACTGTGAATTTGAACGGGTGCCAAAAATGTGATAGGGTGGATGATTTAGTAGTCACGCTTTGCTGCGTGCATTTTGCGTTTCATGCAATAAAATGTTCACGTATTCATGTTACAAGGCGGGATGTGAGACGCTATGATAAATATTCAAATCGACTATCGCACGATGTGGATAAATCGCTACGAAACGCATTAGTTCTAATTATATTTTTCGGCTACAATACAACACCTGTTACAAAAATATTGAGCTGCAATTTGTATTAAGACGGCTCCTGGCATCTTGATTAATCGCTCGAGTTAAAAGAGGAAAAAGGGATTAACTGTCCGCTTGTTGTGCATGTCATTTGGATTGCTTCAGGGTGGTCTGTGATTGCTAAGCTGGTAGTATTTTTAAATTTTTATGGGACACATATTTCTTGGGAAAAAGGAATTTATGCAATACATACTTAAGGTTTCACTTTCTGAGTGATTAATATTATTTCTTTTATATTTTCATGCCAAAAATGCAAAATTATGAAAATAATTAAATTTTAATCATTTAAATTCAATTTACTTATCTATTTATTTTCTCCCCTAATATTCTTATTTGGTAAATTTATCGCATGAAATAAAAACCGAGCAAATTGTTTGTCGTTTATGTTTAAATATCTTTGCGGTGATGAAATGTGTGTCAGAGGTTAAAAAGAAATCAACGCCGACAATAAAATATGCTAGTACGTTCGTTTCGATAAGACATTTTACCAATTTATCTAATCAAAATGCATTAATAATTAGCATGTTGAAAAAAACTACTATGTGTTAATGTCATATTACTTTATTATTTATGTTTTATGCATTTACCATTACCGCAGCTTCCATCTACCACATATTAAATAGAATAAATATGATTAAAATTATTGCGATAAAAACCACCATAATTAAATTGAATTCATGTGACTGCGGGATTATGTATTTCACACTCAACTGAAGAATTTTATGCATTTACTGTGCATTAATGCAGAAAATAAATTTAAAACTCACTTCAAACGCAAAAGAACATAAATTTTCTGCACTTTAAATTTATTTATGAGCAAAATATTACTTGAAACAAATTTTCAACTATTTTAAAAAGCTTCGTGTTTAAAATAGCTTCACTTTAATTAATTTTTTTACTTTTTACTTCAAATTAATCCAAAAAATTCTCGGAAACTTTCAATTACACTAAATTAACCACCACGAAAATAAAATGTTTCTAGTTAAGTACGATGCGGGTAACATCTAAAACGATTGCGCTAATTAAATGTATCTACGAGTTATCTTAGATTGCATTAAAACTTTACTTAAAACCTTATTATGTAACACATACATACTTTATTTCACACTAGTTGACCACTACAGTTTGTACCTCTTTTTTAAATCATGCTGTGAGAACTAAACACAATTGTTCATTGCGAACACAATGTTAATGCAGTAGTGGTTCATTTCAAATACTTGACAATGTGTTTGTTTTTATGATTCTGTTTGATGTTTGATTATGCTTTTATTTGTTACTTAACCACATTACATTTGTGTGAAATCACATTAGTATCATGCTACGAAGTTTGAGACATTCGGATTTAATCAGTCGGTAGTTGAAAACAAAAAAAAGCGAAACAGAACAAAACAATGTAATAAATAAATGCAGATTGTCCGAGGATGGGACACGGCTGAATCCACATGAATGCGTACGAAACGCAATTGCATTAATAAAATTATCTTATTGTCATAGGTGATAATTAATTTAACATCAAATTAATCAAAGTTTTATAATTTTTGCAATTTTTTAAAATTTGTTGGCAAATAATTAGATTTTCTGATTTATTTTATAGCAATTTTTTTTATTAATTGATAAAATCTATGACTAACCATAAAAATTATTTTGTTATCAGCTTTGATTTTGTAGTTATCATGATTTTTTTGCGATTTTGACAATTTAAACTACAAAATTCCGCTTTTTACTTTTTTATTCGTTAAAAATAATTCAGTAAAATGAGGCAGATAATTTTATACACATAAAAACTCCACTAAATTCTCTACCATTTAAAAACTCACTCAAATCTCTAACAATTTAAATAGTTGAGTTATAACGATCCAAAAGCAAACAACTAAAAAAAACCTTAAGTAGATAATTACACTTTGTCTGGATAGAATTAAATTGCTTGCTAAATTAATATATTTAAATTTGTTTGTTGTCTGAAGTAGCATTTATTTATGAACATGCCGGCGAACCTAAAAGGTGCTGTTTGTCATTGCATTGAAATCAATTTTAATGCGTGTTAATAAGCGCTAATTGTTATTATATGACTTTCTGCAAGCGACGAAAACTCGAGAGATTTGTTTACGGCTTGTGTTGTGTTGTGCCGTATAAAATTCCGAACCTGGCAACCGTGTTTCGCGGCTGCTTGTTTTTATTTACTCGCCTCGCGTTGTGCTTAGTGTGTGAAGGTTAAAAGCGGCAACTAATTGACTTGAATTTAAGATGCACATACCTATCGATAATGGCGCACATTATTGCGGCTTAGTGGATTATCTTCCAGCGAACGCGCAAAGTTAGCACGAAAAAAAAACGAATGAATACGTTTTTCATTGAAACGTTCTTCGTTCTTACACTTAGTTTTTCACTTTATACAGCTGTCGCTCTTCATTAACCCGCGCAATTAGCATAAATTAATTAGTGAAGGTAAAAATACGCACGATTCTGTCTTGTTTGCATTTGTTGCAAGCGTTTTTATCTTCGGATGTTAGAAAAATAAATTAAAACCGTGAATTTTTCCACACCCTATGGCTGCACATTGAGCTTAATTAAACATTCGTGCAATTCATTGTTATTACACGGGTCACAAAGTCGGACTGTTAGTTTTACATGCGGTCCATTTCCTGTCCCATCAATTTAGCACACACACAGCGGGCGTTTGACGCGAACCTTGAGTTGATCACTCTCGAGCCTCTTCCTGTCTCATTGTTCTTACAAAATGATGATTTTTAATAGTCGCGGTGTAATAAAATGTTAAATGTGCGCACGGAAATTGTCCGAATGCTAAAAACTGTAGCGCACATGTTGCATTCGAGTATGAAATGCAATTCACGAAAACTACCAAAGTTTTGTACGTTTTACACGTGTGTAGTGAAACAAAAAAACAGCCATCACGACCATAAATGTCACGTATTTGTTGTTCGCTATGATTTACACAAGGCCGCCACCCACAATTTCGAACTGGTTGGCGGAGTGCACAAATAAAACGGCAGTATTTAATTAGGTGTAGAGATAAACCAATATTAAAGTTGATTGCGGACGGATTTCCCGAGATCATCACTTATTCAATGCGTGTAGTAGTTGTTTAGTGACATGAATGTAAAGTAGATTATTAAGAAACATTTAACGTGCAAGTTGAATGTATGAAATTAAAATTTTACATTTCATCAATGTTTGAATACCGATAGACCCCAACCATCTGGATTATCCGATAAAAAATGAAAAATGTTCGAGGAAAACTTCGTTTATTGTAAAAATTATTTCATAATTTACAAATATTTGCAATTTTATATCCCTAAAAGACGGTTATAAAAAAATTGCTGGTGCCTTCTTGTATCACTGCCCAGACAGCAGACAAAGTCGGCAAATCATCAAACGTTGTATGTTTACTTATAAAACTGATATACCATATCACAACTCATATTACCATGTCATATAACATGGTTGTTCATACATATTTGCTTGATACTGTCGTTCTCACACACATAACACGTTTGCAAAGACATAATGTCATTTTAAAATGTTTTCGAATGTTCAAAAAACTAAAAATTATGCAAATTTAATTCGTTGTTTCTATTTTTTGCAGGTGAGTTGTATTTTATTCCCGAAACGCTTACCGAAAACCTTAGAACAAGATGACAGAAACCAACAACAAATTCTATAGGTAATTACGATTTAGTTTTATTAATGCAACGGTAATAAAGTCGTCTTTATAGCGCGTATAAAAATGTCCAAAAGCAGAGACTTATTCTTCATTGCGCATTGGTCTCGGTACGTGTATCATTTGATTTATATTCAAATTTAATTATCGCGTGATTGCGGGATTTAATGCGACCTTCGCCGGTGATGTTCGCGAGGCGATTTGAAAAGATGTTTTTATGGGTGAATTTTTCATGCTTCAGCGTAAACGGACATTAAAATATTATATTTTCTATTATTATTCACAAATTAAAGCCTGTAGGTGTTAAATAGATTCAAAATGTACTAAAAAGTATTTAAAAACTAAATAAAAAGTCTTACCTTTCCGTTTCGATAACGAATTATCCAACATTATCTGAAAATACAATACCGAATAAATGTTAGTTCATTTGTTGGATATTGTGTGATAGAGGAATTTACAATTCAGTATAGTATAAATAAATACACTGCGATAAATCTTCGCCGAAGAAATTTAGTTTCGGTTGCTAGCGCGTTAGCTTGTCGAAATCAATCTTGACATGCTTGGCGTCGGGCGTACAGAATGCGTGAAGAATGTTCGTCGAATATTTCAAGTTAAATGTGTACGCGTTGTGTACAAACATACGCAAAACAAAATTCTACAAAACGAAAATTTACTACGTCTGGAGAAATTGATTTTGCCTTTGCATATTAAAAATGACCATTATAAATATTATAAACCTTAATTTTTATTACTCAACAAATTTGTCAGACTTTTAACATTATTTATCTATAATTTAAGTAGCTTTAACTGGTTTGTATAGAAATCAACCGCTCGTAATTAAAACCAATTCTTCGCGTCTTCGTTTTAATGCTAAGCAGATTCGATCACGTTTTCAACAATTTCGTGATTTTAATATAAATGAGGTAATTAGTTATTACAAGTAAAGTGAATTTGTGTCATGGTTTAGCGGTACATACTTCTGATTACATTTTGCATATTTTTATATTTAGAAGAAAGTTTCAACATTCTTCGAAAATTAAAAATAGAAAAACCACGAAAAAAATAAAAACGTAACTTGATAACTGCATTACGATTGTGCAACGTTTAAGCTGTCTATGAAATCAAACACGAGTTGCGACATTCAATTAACACCCGCTGGTTGATTTGTGCGATTGAGACACGTCTTGTTTTAGTAAAAATCGTTAAAACTCAAAAATCACATCAGATGCACATCAACACAGTAATTTAATATCTTTGTCACGCTTAGGAGAGTTAATTAATCAATAAATACGTTTTTTATCTTGACGATTGGAATCTTTGTCTCTTGAAGATTGCTTAAAGTGGCTCAACGGAATTTAGTGAGTTGTAAATAGAGAAGTTTATTGCTTATTGACGAATTACTACCGTCCATCAACGCTGTGTGTGTGCACGTGTGTGATGTACGCAGCTTTGAAGTAGAGAGTTTTTTAAATTTTATTTTATTAAACTGTTGGCAGCCATCAACGCGTCAGTTGCACAAGGTCCATCCGTTTTATAAATTCGGGTATATTAGTGAATAGATAAAATTACGCGATGATAAATTGATGATGGTTTAGATGAATAAATGATTTAACTTTGATAAATTGAAGTTGATTTTATTTTTGAATAGCGAAATGTGTCAATATCATAATATTTTTAATTCTTTGTTTGAAATAATTTGAATAATTTGTTTGTTTCGCGTATTTATTACATGTTTTTAACAATTTACTGCTGCTGAGTAAACAAATTTATTTAAAACTTGTAATTTTTAGCAAAATGCAACTTTTACACCTTAAATTTGTTAGTTTACTTAATAATTCTTTGAATACAAAATTATTTTATGTAAAAATTTTCAATTTCCGAGTGAAAAGTGAAAAAATAATTTTTTGAAAAATCTTTAAACTTTGAATATAAAAGCAACATCTGCAACTAATTATTATTATTTATCATAATAATATTTTCTGCATCAGTAATTTTACATACTAGTACACTGTTTGCGTGGGCGCGGATTGATTTAAATAATTCCTTCGAAAAACGAGAAACACGTGTAGTACTGCCATACCACAACTCCGAGATGGCGATGTCATTTCGAATGATTTACGCTCCACGTCCAATTGTAAATATTATTACATTAATCCGATGATAATTATATTGAATTTTCCATTGACCCAATTACGATTCGTCGCATTGTTTACGCGGCGATTTATGCGTTTTTCTCGAAAGTTAGACAATAAAAATTTTAAAAGAAACATGGGTGTAGTTCGTGTGTAATTATTATTGTTGGTGCCGCAATGTCCCGCGTGTTTCCAGGGTTGGCAAATAGCACACAGCAGTGCGCGCGCCAGTGTGCGACGGCCATTAACATTAAGCAAACAACACGTAGCGCCGCCGCAGCCGCCGCCGCGCATGGTAATTGAAACCGGCGGACGAAATTTTAATAGGCGCGCTGCTCCCTATTCCACACGCGCGTATATTATACACACACACTGGATGCGAGAGGCTAGGCTAGGCGCTAGCAAATTTCATTAGCAATAAACACGCGATCCTTAAGTTGGTCGCGCGCGTATGCCGATCGAACAGGGATGTATCAACACGTATTTAGAGGTGAGACGTATGTGTGGTGGACGCACCGGCGACGAGCGACAATAATAAATTGAAACTTGCACGTTTAACGACTTCCATGGCACCGTAATACTGAATTAGAACTTTTTATTTTCCCATTCAAAGCTTTGACGAGGGATTTAATTAATGTCTAGGTCTAGGTAATGGTCATTTACTGATTAAAATATATGCACAGGTTTCAATTATGCCTCTCGTAAAAGTTTTGCAACTCCAAATTACACCAGAAATTTATTTTCTTTAGTTTTTGCAAGTCTTTTAAATTACAATTGTTAATTTTCATTACACGGCTGTAATCTTGGTTGCAGATCTTCTGCGTCAAGTTGAGCAGGGTTGCCATTTAGTCTTTGTCACTAAACCGACCATAACCTAATTTTTAACGATTTTTTTATGCAAAACTTTCTGAACATGACAAAATAAAAGTATTGCGCAAAATATGAACAAGTACGTGACACTCCGTCATTGGTTACGGAGCCCACAATATGACTCAAAGGGTGTGTTTGTTTAAAAAACGTACTCGTCCGCAATTTTTCATATTTCACCGTAATTTCAACAGCAATAAATCTTTCGTGAATAAAATAAACTAAAAGACAAAATGAAATTTTTATTGCGCTGCGCCTTTCTGTCAAACGCATTAAGACACCCTATAAGTACGTCGCTTTATGATGTTAATCTGATATATCCACTTCTTTATCAATGATAAAAACGCGCAAAACTTTCGACTTATTATGCGCGCCGAGAAACCGGTACACACGCATTTAGTGCCCATCCTTAAAAAAGCGCTCCCAGTCATAACAATCGCGTTCGCGAGCGCGGATAAAACCCCAAATATGAATGCGAATGTAAACAAAAATGTCGCCAACCAGCGACGACCGACGGACCAGCCCACGGTAGTTTCAAGAATCCGCACACACACACACACACACACCTAACCGCAGTAAATAAACTCTCCAGCAAAGAAATGGGAATGGAAGCACACCGAGCGCAGCGCATTTGGCCAATTTTGTAATGTAATTCGGTTTCTGCGCGAGAGGACGAAACGCGAACCCGAAACCGAGTACCAGTTTCGTCGTTTTGATGACTTCGCGGCTCCGACGCGCTCGTCGCGGTCCTAAAGTGTGCCTCGCATCATTTTTGCCTTCCAGTGTATTTATTGTGCGCTTGGAATGAAAAAAAAGTTTTCAAAAAATACTCTGTGATTATATCCACATATTGATACATCTGGTAAGCAACCAACTAAATTATTAGCATTTATCTTATCAGTAGTGCATTTTTACGAAATGAAATATATATATTTTTTTAAATAACAAAGTGCACAAAAACAACAATTGCTGTATTCTACAGTTTACACCCACGTTAAGTCACAAGTTATGCGTGTAGTCGTCTTTTTCTTCGACGATGTGAAACCGCGTGAAACTGAAAACCTTGACCTCTTAATCCAATGATTTCCAGCGTTTAATTATTACTTCAACGCACACTTAAACGAAACAGTGCGCTACGTACCAAGTACGTGCTCTGCACAAGTGTTTTTTTAGAAAATATTTTTATGAAGATGAAATTAATCAAAGGACAGATGATTTTTTTTTCATGTGGCACACTTTACAGTATAATTCCAAGATTGAATTTAAAAAAACAAAAACAAAAAATGGCTGCGCTGTCAAACTGTCATAATTAAATATCTGTCATTCGGCTGTCAAATGTCATATTCTTTACTTTCAACCTTAACCTAACTTTTGTGCTAAAAACTTCAAATTAAGCGTGTTAATAGCAATTTTTTAAACCTTAAAAAATAGAACAAGTTAATATTATGCAATTCTTTTTCTTTGTAACATTTAAACAATAAATCACGACTCCGCCTTGACGATGAGACAACGTGAGTTACTCGCGTGCTTTTCTTTCGTTGACAATATTCATAAATTTAATTAAATTAACCCGTTTGCTCAACACACAAAACTTCAAATTTCAAATAGCGATTATCATAAAACCGTAGCGCAGGAGAAATTTACATAAATTAACATTTATCAACTCTTCCTGTCAAGAGCCTCGCCGAATGAATTCACAATCTGTATGTGTGTATGTGTGACAATTTTAATTTTGAAACGATGATGAATTTCATATTGCAACGCATCTCAGCAGCCCAGCGCAATAAAGTCTCTGGAATTTTTGATCTATTGTACGTATTGTGCGCCTGAAACGAAAACATGTTTGATTCATACGGCACGCAGCACGTGCTTGAATTCTAATTTCTACTCGGTTTGTGTACCAACATGGACTTGAAAGTGAGTTGTGCTTGCTATACATAGAAATGCCATAATACAACATAAAAATAACAATAATTAAAAACTTATACATTATTTATAAATTTGTGTGCGCTGTGCGTCTTTTTTTAAATTTCATTTTATTTCTCTCGAAACGAAATGTAAATTTAATTCTTTTCTGTTAGACATGGTTTTGCAACGAGCAATATCGACGCGTCGATTGGAATTTATTAATTAGTTTTTATATCTAATTGAATGGATAATGTAAACCGCAAGGACCCTATAATTAGCGACAATTATAGAAAACCTGCGTGTTTCTTCTTCAATTGAATGAAATTTATTCAAACAAACAAAAACAATTGCAACACTGTTATTTATGAGCAAGTTATTGACAGGATTTTATATTTTATTAGTCCTATAATTAAATAACTCAACAATGTTGTTGTTTATTTGAATTTATTTTCATTTTGACCACGAATTTAAGCTCTTTTTAGAGACATTTATGGAATTGTGTACTACGCACTAATCCTACAAATGTTTAACACTTATTACGTTTAACTATTTAACACTATTAGTAAATAATATGCGCCTATTTTTCATACGTCTTTGTTGTAAATTTAACCAGACTGCATGCATGCACGCTTAATCTTAGTTTTGACTATAACTAAGTATTTGTTATTATGTCAACACGCGTTTCTGCTTAACACGAACAATTACAACCAATGTGTTTACACAGTGCGAAATTGAGCGCAGAGTTTGGATGTGGAATATCAGTTGTTATGCAGATTGGTGGTGTGCATGCGTTTACCTAGAAAATGCGATTGTTGTGTCAAAATCGCTCGCGACTTTTATCTTTACGACTGGTGGTCGTTAAGTTCCAAACAATAGAAAACGTTTTATATGGTGAACTGATTTATTTGAGGGAGAAAAGATTGACATGTTAAAACACGCTGAATTAATTGGTGCATTGTGTAAGTCTAACAAGTTATGACTTGCGAAAATTTTACACTCACCTGCGCGCTGAATGCAATCTGATCTCATTCTAGGGCACTATATCACGATGTACTATTAATTTTCAGCCCGGATTACCCATAAATAGGAAATATTTGCGATAAATTGTTAACAACTCACGAACAATCACGCATAAACGCATGATTGATTTGTAGGTTATGTAAGCGCGGTAGTACGGGTTGCGGTCACCTTGGACGGCGCATACGGTTGCTGCAGGAACTAAACTCGCAAATCAAACAAAACAAAAAGACAAATTGACTGATTGTCAAGAAATATTGTCGACAAATAGCATTTGCAATTACTCTTGTAGAGTTAGAACTTATAACGATACATGACACATGTATTTTTACTTGTTTAAAGTCATATGAAGAAAAAACTTATGTTTTCAGGCAGATTGACAATCAAATGTTTTCCTTTTGTAATAAAAAGCAGGTAAAACATTACAATTGCTGTTTTTGAAAATAACAACATAAAATGCATTTGGCAAATGAGTAACTTTATACATTACTAATTATTCCTCAATGAATACTATAAAATATCAATAAAACGTTCCTGACTCATTGAAATGAACAAAACAATCAATTGAAACAGTGCTGCCAACACACTTTTCTTCCAGAATGTTAAGATTACTCAAAACTACGCTTCAAAAGACTATTATTAATACAAATTAGAGTCATTGGTTTATAATTTCCAAACTTTTCAACCGCAACCATTTTATGATTCCGACTAAACGGTCAAGCATCGTGTTTGAGTAAAGTTGGTGTGTGCGTACACATAATTTGAACAGGATGTGGCAATTTAGTATGGACAACCCATACATGTACTACTACTACAAATTTCTGACATTACTTTTAACACCCATACATGTACAGTGATGGCACGCAGCGTTTGAATTAATAATTGTGAGCGCCACCATTAACTGTAATTATCGTTAATGCGTTCGCACTATACATATATGTTTTAATTCATTTTTCTAGTTTAATTTTAATAGCATTTATATAGTTATACTGTCGGTTAGGCATAAAACTCTAAAATTTCATAATTGTTAATAAATAATGGAAGAAATGTTAATTTGGTAGTTAAATCATGCAATAAACAAAGTTTTGTAGTTTTTTAAGTGGTTATGCATAGAATAAGGTAAAATAATGTAGTATTATATTCACCAAAGGTTGAAAAGCAGATATAACAGCTGGAAAACTGAAAATTCTGCTGTAGAATGGTGTTTTGTGAAAAATATTTGAATTGTGCTGGAAATTTCCACACTTTGGCAGTAAATACCAGATATTCACTGATCATTTCAAATCTACAATAAATCTGCATTAATATTGTTCACTAGATGTATTATTTACTTACTATATTGGAGGAATCATAAAGAAATACGCACAAATTATTCAAATTACTAGCAGAACAACTAAAAGTTGTCATAACCTCACTTTTTCATAACTGACTTGAACCGGATTATGTATATATAGGTATATGCAACACATATTGCTTGTTTTGTTTTAATTTTCTAAATTTAATAAACAAACACATTAATTTATAGATCTTATCTAGTTTTAATTTCAAACCGAATCGTGACCCATTAATTACGAAGCCATTAATTCATATGCGTTAATTAAAACTAGTTAAAGAAAGCCAAAAGAAACAGAAACAGATTATCGTGAACATTGAAAGAATGTGCGCAATGCGCATGTGTTTATTGTACCAAAGCCACATTTGTAAATATTAATCGCATCAAACAGGATCGAACACAAAGCCACGCAGGATATTTACACATACATGATTTATGATTTTAACCAAGTGCTAGCGGTTTTTACTTAAGATCGAGATTTTTGGGTGGGTTGTTATAAATTTAGACGAAATATAAAGCGCTTGTTGTGTCCACGATGCGCGCTTTTTTTCTCTGCGCGACCATACTGTATAGAAAACATCCGTGGGAGCGACAAACACATGAGAAAAACCGAAAAATATAAAACATGTGTTCTCAATAAGTAGGTTTTTATATGTCACAATGAAAATGCATTTAGTTTCATATATCTCATAAATATTTCGTCTATATTTATTCAAAACACAACACTGCTTAATTATTTTAACAGAAACAACAAAATTCGTGTCCGTAGATGTTAATTTTTTTTTATTATTTAACATTTTATGGAACACAAGAGTTTTGGGATTTGGTCGGAGTCTGTTTCGCTTGTTTATGTAACAACTTTGTTAGCGAGACCAGCTGCGACCCTGAAATTCACTTAAAACTTTTCGCAAACACAAAACACATATCTTTCATCTTCTATTTCGATGCATTCCAGAAGAGATTGTTTAGTTTTTAGTTAAAACTGTTTCCAACGACTCGGATTAAATTCGTGCGCGGAATTTATGCGCAATAGCAAGACGCAAGGTAAAAAATGGGGTGTTTATATTTACTTTGCGATAATCAAAAGAATGAAACGCACAGAATACAAATCATTTATCACATTGAGCAGATAAAACGCCGGCGGGTGAAAGATATAATGCGCTACGAACGCAATCGAATTAAAATAGGTATGTAATAAATGTCGTCCCACTTTGTGGACAGAAGACATTTATTTTATTAAATACACGCTGCAATCATTTATTCTGCTCACGAAACTAATCACACAAATCTTTCCAGCGTAAACAAGTCGTAACCAAATATTCGTCACGTCAAGTGTTGAATTGTTGAATATCGAAACATGGCAATAAATAAAAGTGTCTTTGTTGTCAGGATGAAATCGTTCTTACATTACTCGACTTGACATCAACTTGCATTAAATTAAATAATCTTATTTTTGTCAATGTAATGTGGGTGTCTTTACATTGCACCCAAACGCCTCCACCGATTTTAAAATGTCGATTTTGTTTGCTTTCAGAAAGCTTGCACCTGTTAAACAAAAGGAATTCATCCGCCCAACTGAACGAAGAAGATTGCAATCCAGTTGTAGTGCTGCAACAAGACGAACTTTATAATAAACAGACGTACTACTTAATTTAGTTATTATGCATATCATGCATAACTTGGATACCAGCACGGCGATGGCGGCGGCGGCGTCGAACAACTCAGCGACGCCACGCACTCCAGAAATCGTCAACTCATTGATCGCCATGACAAACCCGCTGGACTTCATGTGCGGCGGTGATAACAACGGCATCAATTACGGAGCCACGTCGATGAAGCGCTTTTATGCGAATAGCGCTTCCAGTGATTCGAACAGCTCCAGCTCCAGCCAGGAGTCGCGCACTGGCGGCGGCCATCATATACGCATCAATGCCTTCCCACCGACGCCTGCACCGAGCATCCAGCAGACGTGCTCGCAGCTCATCAAAGCCGGACTCAAACTATCGATCGAGCAGAAACGAAAACTGCAAAGCGACAACGAGGATCTAGTCGATCTCAACAAGATCAAGCGGATCAAGAGAAACGAAAGTGAATCCGAAGAGGACAAACAGAGTAGCATACTTGGGGTATGTATATACACTTCTAACCTAACACAAACATAACCTTACTTTTAGTTTACTTTTATTTCGTTTAATATACTTCAGACACTGATCACGTTTACGAGCTCTCCTAGTTTTAACTATCCGGCAAACACACCCACACCATTGTTTGCCATATGCGTAAATCTTAAACATTAACACCGAACAAAAGGCCGAAGACGAACGCCGCGAAGCATGAAGCATATAGACTCGTGGACATAAAACCCGAAACGTGTCACTCATTCGAAATTAGTTCTTTTGTTTCAACGCAGACACTCGACATGCATTGAACTTTCATTGTGCCAATTTGGTTGATGCAAAGTTGAGGAGTTGACGTTTGAGTAGGCACCGCAGGTACATAGGGCAGACGTCAAAACAAATCAATAAAGAATCGTAACAATTATTGCTCTGAACTAGATTGGCCGCGTTTGAAAATGCTGCGATTGACCTTCTGGCTGACTTTACAAAGTGTAAAAAAGTAATTGTATTAAATGGATAGATATTTATGTTCAACACACGCTTCCACTGAATGTTTTTTACTACTCCATCACTGCCCACACGTTAAAAAACACAACTCGGGTATTGTGTATGCGGCTAATCGTAATTCATTGCAAATGAATTTTGAACAATACTAGGTGTTATGTAAGGCGACGCGATAAACAGGACACGTTTTTGTTCGATTGGCGCGGCGCCAACAACCTGTAGCTTGCTTGTACCCGTATGAATGTCTTTGAACGCGCTGCCAAGTGCGATGCGCCATTGCATATATCAATCATACTCATTTTGGTCTTGTGTGTGTTTTAGTTGACACCTGAGGACGAAGAGCGACGCCGTCGCCGACGTGAGCGCAACAAGATCGCTGCGACAAAGTGCCGCTTGAAGAAGCGCGAGCGCACCGCGAATCTCATCCAGGAGGCCGAAGTACTCGAATCGTCCAATGTTGAATTCAAGGCACAATTTTCGGCGCTCAAAACGGAAAAGTTGCGCTTGGAGGAAATACTACGCCAGCATAAGCTGTCCTGTTCCAAAGAGCAGGATTCCGCGTATAATCGCCTGCCGCCAATGCACTCGATCGAAACGACAAGTAATCACCATTCCTACAGTCGTCCGCCGACGTCCACGGTGGACACGAACGACTCCTGCTATCATCACCAGCAAGCGAATCAATTGGACTTCGATTCGACGCAAATGTACAACACCTTGCAGTACAAAACGCCTAGTATAATCGTCGAGTCCGTCAACGACGACGATTATCCCAGTTTGACGGATCTGGATAATCCAAACGACACTAGCTACGGCTACAATTACGGACAGAATCAAAACTACAGCTTGGATGGCTGCATGGCCTAACAGTGTCTAGATATTAAACACTCACAGAGTTTTAACATTTGTTATACCGTTTTTAATTTTCATATTTTAATCGTGGTCGACTCGGATATAATGATATATAGTAAAGCGCGCTTTAGATCTTGAATCTATGAATCTCCCAAATGCTTTGAAAAGTGTCTCCGTTGCTAGCGCAATGTAAATTTTCAAATGCGCATTCGGGAAATTCGAAATACCTGAATTAATTTTAAATTTTAGCCAAGGAGGGTGTGTAAATCTTATTCTATTAATCTGTTTGTGTCAATTTGAGGTTAGAACAGTTGCAAGTCACGAATTTATTGATGTAAATTCGATTTTTGCTTAGTATAGATGTTGGTTTAACCTCAAATGCACCCCCATTTTAAAAGGTTGTCTTTCTTTGTTTCTTCGAGCATTCCAAGCATGATTTGTAGGAGTTTTAATGATGTATACAATCAAACTGAAAGATAGTATTGTTTTTGAATTCTGTTTTTAACTGCCAAATTGTTTATCTCAGCTGTACGCAACGCTTTTGATGTGTACATACATGATATCGAACAGATTGGCGCTACGATTTTGATTTGAAACTTGATGCCTCTAATCTATATCGTGTGAGATTGAGATTGAGATGATGCAGAACTTTGTTACTTAAGCAATTTATAGAGATTTGTATAAATTCGCTTTAAGAGGCAAAACCAGTCGCACAATTTTTGACTATTTGGTGCGACTCTTTGTTGCGAGGAGAAAAAAATGAGCATGAAAACTAAAATGTAGACATTTGCACTATCCTACTCATATATTTTTATAAGCGCTTTCTGCCACACGTAATTAAAGCGGATCCCTGTGCCTTATTGTTGACTTTCATTAAATATTTTATACTTTGTAAGCAATAGAATGGCATTAGTTGTATATGTATATAAAAGAACTAACTTTTCACACAATTCCATTCGTGAAAAGCAAACACTAACAAGATGAGATCAAAAAGAGATTCGAACGTGAAGATTGATGCAGATTAAGAACAAATTACATGCACAATAAGTACATACGTTGTTAATTAATTATAAATATTAATGAATTTGTGATATATCTATTAAGAGATGAGATGGCTTAACGACAGAAAATGTAACCAGCATTTCTATTTTTATTAAAAGATGCCAGGATTGGGTAGATGACGAAGTGATTCTGTTTTGTTCAATGACAAATATTTTTTTTATATAAAAATCAACACGAAAAATTGCAAGAGAGAATTTTGATGGGATGTATACAGAGAAAAACTTAAAGTTGTGAACATATTTCAAATATTAACGAAGTTGATACTTGGTGCTGCACGGATTTTACTCGATACGTGTCTAAAATAGATTTTATTGTTACCACATGCAGAGAATTTCAAGTCAGATATATATTAATTGTCGCAATTACCAATTTGTTTATATAAATATTATGAAAATTTGATTCAACACTTGTTACCTGTAGTTTTATTTCCACTTTACGGGTGAATAACGCATGTTTAATTCATTTTACCATTGTTTTCAATATTTTTTGTATAAAATTGCTGTTATAACTTTGTATAAATCATTTTAAATTGTATTATACCATCATATTTAATTTATATTGTATATTTTGTATTTTGCAAATGATATTGTGCCTATAATTTCTTTCATTTTCATTCTGTTGTATTGACTTCACTTTCATTTAAAGATAATGTCGTCAAAATTATATTCAATACACAATCAAATTTTTAAATTGCCTTCTTTATTTAGTTCCAGTGATAAACGCACATGAAATTAGATATGTGAGTATCAACAATTATTTGCCGTGTTGGTAAATAAAGGTAAAAAAATATTATACTGCATTGTGTGATAGGCAACCAACCTTGCACATTAACTTACTTAAAAGATGGTGGCTAGAAACGTTTAATAATCATATCATCATCAAATCATTGATTTTATTCTGTTAACAAATACTTTAATCTAGATTTTATACCAGTCATATTATATGTAAACCTTTTAATTGTTTATTTTAACCTAAAATTTAACCCAACTTCTAAAATTAGCCGCTAAAGTTTCATTTTTATGATTCCAACGTGTTTTAATTCTGCATATAGAATTGTTTCATGTATTATTATTCAAGTACAAACATGACTATTCATAAACAGAACTAGTTTTTTTACATTCTCGCTGTTATTACCTCTTTAATCAGTGTTACAATGTCACATTCAAGAAATTTATCATGTTCAGATCTACAGATCCAGAAATCAAACAATTGAAAACAAATTATCCACCAAATATTCCATGAACACCTAATTTGTATTAAATTTAAATATCCTTACCATCATTATCTACTTAGACTGGTTATTACAAAACTATTAGTTCCTACACATTAAGAGTTAATCTATCTTAATTTTAATATTACTTTTGAGGATTACTTGTAACCTGGCCATTACCATTGTGGAATAAATAAATACTGTGTTCTTTAGATTACATATAAAATTTTATTTTTGCTGATAAATAAATTCAACACTTATATCAATATTATGAAAATATAGTGGAACAAAGATGAAGAATTCACCAAATGATATAGAAAAACACATTGTATTCAACACAAGATTGCTTTTTATAGGTATATATAGAAATAAGTTAATTTTAAGTATTTATGATCCAACAATGATATTGTTGATAGGTATATGGATGAGTTTAACAAAGAAGCCAATGAATCCCATGATGCAGAAGCCAATAGCAGTGGCAATTGCAATCTTCTGGAATTCTAAACAGATACAAAACATAATTATTATCACCAATCACTTCACAATCATGCAAGACATGCAGTATGTGTATTAAAAATAACCAAAAATATCTGTACCTTTTCGGTCGGGTTTTGTGCATCGCTTGACTAATCTGATGGAGTCTTTGATGAAATATTGGCAGGGCTGAAGGGTGCTCCTAATCTGGTCCATGTTGATAATCTAATTAATGAAATAAAACATATTTAGTTTCAACCCGAACAGATACCGTTAGTTGAATGAATTTGTGTAGAAATGGTTTACTGCGTTTCAATATTTGTGACTTACGTGGATTGGGTTTTGAGTTGATATAAATATAATTCAAGCTTGGCAGGAGCGAACAATTTTCGTGACGGCTGTGCAATTGCAAGTCGACTGAACGAAAAATCACCAACACGTTACCCGTCAACCGGGCCAAGCGTCACTTTGCAAGCGGTGTTGGAATCGCCACGATGGCAACACGCGCGTGACGTGTTCGACGAACTTCTCCTTCCGCGCAATGCTTTTTCACGTTTTCTAAATCGTGAAATGGACATGGTAGCGCCCTCTGTCGGTGGAAAATGTAACAAATGCTTACAAATAGTTGGGTTGGTATAGTTCGAATGTAAATACAAATGGTTTAGTTTACTTAGGAATAAAGTTTGTAAAATAAGATTTTCTTTGATTATTAATACATAAAATATGATTTAATTCCCTTAAATACATGTAAATAGTTATAGTTTACGCAAAATTGTTATTTACAGCAGGATTTTAATTGAAATTAGTATAAAACTCGTTTTTAGATTGAAGTTTGAGCTGAATCTTCTGAAATTGAAAGTGTTAAATTGAATCAAAAGGTTAAGACACTTTGCATTAAATTTATATTAAATTTGTAGTTTTATACGGTGTAATTACTATTAAATACACAGCATGTTGTTTTATAGTTCCATTTCATTTCCTGTTTGTCTTCAATAAAGGATCCTGTGCAATTATAGTGCCCCTACTACAATGGCACAAATTGTACATATGCGTGTGTATATTCAAGTATCATTAAAATAATTTCAGTGCACGAACTCGACGGATATCAATGTAAATTATTAGATCTGCAAACAAGTCCGACAGTTTTGTTTATACTGCGCTTAAAGCTTTGTTTGATAAAACGTAAGTAATACACCAAATTATATTATCACAAAGTAAAGTTTAAACTTTTAAAAGTAAAAGACTTATTTTTATTAACCACCAGTAATCATGGAGCGGTGCATGTCTTTAATTCTTGTTGTATTCGCGTTGGTTTTGAGCGGATTTGCGGATAAAATTGCTGTAAACGATTGTGGTAAGTGAATATTTAAAATAAAGCAAAGAAAACTTTGTATTTAACATGAGAAATCTTTGATTATAGGTTCAGTAAATGGTAAAGTAACAGAAGTTCGTGTTACGGGATGCACTGAAGCAGACAAGCAATGTATTTTAAAAAGAAATACAAATGCAACAATCGAAATCGATTTCGAAGCGAGTAAGTAAAGTTAACACACAATAAAATAAATAATAGAATTATACATTTATAATCTATTTATATTTCAGACAAAGACGCAGATGAACTCAAAGTTGTCGTGCACGGAATCATTATGGATATACACACACCATTCCCAATGCCAAATCCAGATGCGTGCAAGGACTCAGGCGTGGAATGTCCGATCGTCACAGGAAACAAATATGCGTTCTCAACCACACTACCAATCCTGAAGGCTTATCCCAGAGTAAGTGATTAGTAAATATTAATTTGTATCAAGGTTTTAAGTATAATAGAGGATAATATCATTTGCTTGTTTAAAATTAATAGTTTTGTTTGTTAACCATAATCATTAGACTAATGTTTTGTCATTTTAGGTTTCTGTGGACATTCAATTCGAATTAAAATCAGATGAGGATTATGTCTGCGTGTTGATCCCTGCCAAACTGCATTAGTAATGTATAAATATTCATTGTATCTTTGTAACTATGTTTGTCTGGATGAAAACTAGCCAGTGAATTATATGAAAGTAAAATAATCTGCGAAAAATGCGTATCTTGGTCTCAAGCTTCAATTTTCTTCTTTCTTTTTGGGTTTTACGCGTTAGGGCAGGCATCGTTGATGTTTTGCATGCTGTATGACACTTGTTCAACATTCTTTATCTTCCTAATTAGGAATGTTGTACATATAAATAGAGTAAAGTACATTAAACAATAGTAAGTCCCATTTGATAAAATCGTCATGAATCACCTTGATTTGTGTTGCAATTTGTTGTTGTCAAAACAAGGTACAATGTTTCACCTAAACATAAACTCAACGTTGATTACAAAAATCATTCGAAATAAAGTCAGTTCTTACTCAAAGTTTAATATTTTAGTAAAAATAAACTAGAGCCATATTCGTCTCACGAGCCACGTTAAAAACTTAATAGTATATATTCATCAACATATTATTCAGCCTAATGCACAATCTAATAAAATATTTTTGGAGTATTAAAACAGTTTATTAAAATCTTACCTACATATAGTCGTACGGCATAATATATTGTATGTATATAATAAAAAAATAGTTTTTACATATTTACAAATGAACAATTGACAAATGTTAAACACTTACAAGAATGCACCACTATCAAAAAAAATCAATGGATTCCCATCAAATGCACTTGATTTTCTAGCGTTCGTCTTCGTCATATTTACATCTAAAAGTGTCAAGGTAGTTTTTAGGAGCTTTTCAAAAGCCACAGCCTGTAGAAATGATTGGATATATCGTGGACTTCCTCGGGCCTGCAGTCAGTTTGGTAATTATCGGTCGATGGACTAGGAGGAGGTTGGATTAAATCTATATCTACGATCTCCGACAGTTGCTCACTTTTCCGCTTCTGTCGATGTGTGCCTGAAGAAGCGCCCTGTTCAAGGCTCTGTCTCGCGCGATAGATTGGTTCGTATTCTACTAGTTGAGCGACAAACCCCTCATTGGGTTTTATGCATGCGCGCCTGTCTTTTACGAACTTATAAGCGTCCCTAAAACATTAATATTGATTATATTTGATTTTACATGGTTGTAATTATCACATACTTGCAATTGAGACCAAATTTTTCCATTACATATGCAAGAACTAATGTGGCACTTCGCGAAATACCATTGTTCCCATGAATAAGCACCTTGCCATTCTTGCCTAGTGCTTCATCAATAAACTGCCTCACTTTAGGAAAGTGTGAAATAATGCTTTCGGTCGCCAGGTCGGCGATCTCGAGCGTCAAGTAAATGATTGTAGAATCAGCAAATTGTGGCTTAATATACTGAGCTTCTAAGCTCTGTCTTACACAAACAATATGTGTAATTCCATGTTCAACCAAGATGCTATGTGAGTTCTTTTGGGCCACAGAATAGGGACCAAGAAATAGGCCTGGAATTATTTCTTGCATGTTGCGACGCATCGAGTACTGCCATCCCACCGTCGTAGGATAGTGTGGTACATTGTTGTACACGGATGTCATGTCGATCAAGTCCCCCATCTGCAAGGATAAGCGCACCAGACGTCAGGAAGGTTAGGTCGGAAGAGAATTACGCGCCAACATGAAATTCCACTTGAAATGAGCTAACAGCGTGCAGGACATGTGGAATGCAGTGCATTAAACTTATTTGCAGTAGTGATTAGCGACTAAAGTATGTGATATGGAAGATATTCAGGATTTTTAATCAGTCGGGTACTAACCTCGCCAACGTAGTAATATGTATGCTAGAGCAGCGTCGACATGTTTGAACGCAAACTAAGCTGATGGATGTTAAAATAGATTCGATGGTTAGAAATAAATAGTGTTACGGTGGAAAATCATCGCGAAATCAATGAGAATTAAGTCGATTTAAATTAAAAGCATTTTCGCTAGCAACAACTGACAGATAACTGACATGATTGACGCAATCTTTATGGACGGGATGGACAATCATCGAACGGAAGTGTAAATTTTATCTATAACCCGCGAATTTCAAACATTTCCTTGTAATTTTTGTAACATTATAATTGTTATTTATAACAATTGTATTAAATTTTGATAAATATTAACAAATTTTATAATCGTTTTAAAAAATGAAACTAAATGTGTACAGTTGGCACGCAGATTAACCAAACTAGACCTGTCAAAAGATGATGAAATGACAGCTGTCATGTTAAGTTTGCAATTCATTTGTTTTAAATTTTGTTACAATAGTAGATTTGATTTTGTTTTAAATGGTGCAAAGTGTAAATACTCTAAAACAATGACTCTTCAATTAGCGTCTCACGGAACAGACGCCGTAGTGTCTGAAAAATCATTTGCTGAAATGGACATTTCGGCATATGTTGGCTCATGCCAATTTCTAACAACGATTGTGCCACTTTCAATTGCTTCCGTATTGAATAGGCGTTGCAACTTTGATCCAGAATATATTCGTAATTACTCTTTGAAAGGAGTGCCTTATGTTGGATTTCGGTCAAATATTCCACATGGACATAACTTGGCTAGGTTTTTAGCAATGCAACCACGTATGAAGACGTATATCGAACGAAAACACGTAAATAATTTGCATTTCAATCATATTTATAGTTACTAACATTAAATGTTTAGCTCAAGGAAATTTGTGTTAACATTCTAAGTCGAGAAAGTGATGAAACAGTTGAAAAGTACGTTTTCAAGTTGACTTATAAATCTGGTGATGGGTAAGATTCATTTTTCTAACTTTATATCAAACAGTAAAACAAAATGGTTGCCAACATGCGCAGGAATTCCGCGCACATTAAAATTTAAGAAAGCTCTTCAACTAAACGCAAAAATCTTTACAAAACTGAACATTTTAGCAACTTTTCGCGTGGACGAACAGCTGAAGTGGTTGCCAGCAAGTTTTTCAATCAAATAAACCAACTTCCCAAGAACAATCTCGCTGACCATGAAGTAAAAATCATATTCAACTGGCAATTTTATGATAGTACGTCGGTACATATATATAACTCATCGTTAATCATACTTATCGCTTATTTTTAGCGGTTCCTTTTGACGAACTTGCTTTATATTTCACATCGGCCAAACGCAAACGGTCAGAGGAGCGTCATAAATATGTTACTCTGGCTGCTGTAAAGACGCGCTTTCATAAACTTGACGTCTTTGTCGGCTTAACCAATCAGGATACTCAAGACAGCCAGGAAAATCAAGACATTCCAGGACAGACTCCAGAACATGTCTCAGGAAGTGAAAAATTCCACTTCCCCTGACCCAATCACAAAATATCATGAGTGATGTTCTGGAAAATCTGTCAGATGCCTTCACACCTCTAACTCCAACACCTGTTTCATCCAAAAGGTCATCCAGAAGAAACATGAAATCTTCCAAAAGAAAGGGATCTAAGAATAACTAAATTTATTACACACTATTTGTACATCTAGCTTCTAAAGCAATCATCTTAAATTCCAAACCAGCCAGGAGTGTTTCTTCTATCCTTGTTCCTATCTACAAAGGTATTGTAGCTTTTCTTAGCTTCTTCCAGTGACTTTTCTTCATCTTTACGTTGTTCTTCCACTGATGAAGGGAAAAGATCAGGAAATTCAAAATGTTCACCTCTTGGTAGAGTCACATAGGCATATTTTATGTCATCTTCTTTGGTTATATATCCTTTCAAGTCTTTTTTCATATTACCTAGTGCTATTCTTGTTCTTATATCAACAGATTTAACATCGTATATTTTTTCTAAATAGTTTTTGATATCATGCTTTGTCATCTCCATTGATACAGAAAATTGTACAACATTTGTAGGCTGTTCTTCTGTTGGTCTTATTAATTTCATCCAAAAGTTAGGCAGGAAAACCCTCAATTGAGGCGCTCCTCTTTGATATAATGGATACCTAAGATTATATATCGGTTAATATCTAATTATTAATAGATATTATTGAAATAATACCATCTAGTTGACATTATTGCGGTAATTTCTTTAAATTTTCACGTTCTTGAACAGTTCAGAAATATTCAGGTTAGGAATATTGTCAAATGGCAACAATGCACTTTAATGTCAAAACAAGCTCTCTTGCTCTCTCTACGCTCAATTTTCCCTGCTTTTAATTGTACCCCAATTGTTTATAAACAATGCGGGTGTTTTTATCAAAGCTAGCTGGTGTAACCGGCTATGCAATACAATATTACTGCATTGCGCATTGCACATTCGAGTACCTCGGCGATTTGGTGATGGTAAGTTACACCGATTAGAATAACTAAGCAGTGGGGTAACGGCGGTAATTTCAAACAGTGTTCCGGACCATCAATGGAACCTACAATTTACTCCGATAATATTCTCTTCACGGAACATTTGACGCCGCTGTTTAGGCGTCTGGAACGCGGTGATATTGTAATAGCAAAATGTCCGACCAACCCGAAACAACAAGTTTGCAAACGTGTAAAAGGACTTCCCGGAGACCGCATCAGAGTTGGCTATGCATCCGTCGAAATAGTTCCACGAGGACACGTCTGGTTGGAAGGTGATAATACGCGAAATTCATCAGATTCCAGGAATTATGGACCGGTTCCACAGGGACTCATCAGAAGTCGCGCTGTTTGTAGAGTATGGCCATTCAATGAGATATCTACGTTAAAAGATGAATGATATTAGTAATATTTGTTATAAAGATAGAGTTTCAACAATAATAAATTAATGTTATTATAAGTTTATCTTTAGCACGCGATGTTATGCGGTTGTGACGTTTGGATTGGTAACGTGCAACGTTGCTTCCACTGCGCAGAAGCACGCAGAAGTTCAAGCACTGCGAAGCAAAGCAGCAAAGAGGGGGTTATTCGAAGTTGGTACGTTTGGCTCGCCTCGGGGCTCGGTGAATCGGTGTACTGGTTGCGTTTGGCTCGTTGCGTCTGTCCCAGCGTCTGCAGCCGACCGGCATTGTAACCGAGTTAGCGTGTGAGTGATGCCGGCTTAATAATGCGGACCGGGAGCGTGCTGAAACAATGTGCGAATTGTGATACCGCCCTGGATGTTCTAGTGATAGTGCACGCGTGAGGTAACGCCATATAGCTGACGCAGAAGGAGCAAAGGGGTTGCAAACGTTCGAAAAACGTAAGGGCGGCCTGTTTGTAACACACAGAAGATCTACCTATGCGCAACGATGCTCAGCAGCAAAACGAAACACTACCTGCACGTCTGCCTGCTCTTCACTGTGATAATATTATTCGAACTGTTCTCGGGTGGAATCAAGCTCGGCGCCGACGAGACGTTAGAGATCAACCCGTGGACGCGCTACGGCTATGTATGGACAATAGTATTATACCTGCTGCGGCTTGTCACCTTCCTGCCGCTACCGCAGGTGTTGTTTAACTTCGCCGGCTTGATACTCTACAATGCCTTTCCGGACAAAGTCATCCTCAAGGGCAGCCCCATTTTGGCGCCCTTCATTTGCATTCGGGTGGTGACGCGCGGCGACTATCCGCAGCTAGTGCGCACGAATGTCAACCGCAATATGAACAAATGCATCGACGCCGGCCTGGAGAACTTCATCATCGAGGTGGTGACTGATAAACCGGTGAATGTCGAGAATCATCGCCGCATACGCGAGATTGTCGTGCCGCCCCAGTATCGGACGAAGACGGGCGCGTTATTCAAAGCACGCGCGCTACAATACTGCCTCGAGGACTCGGTGAACATCCTCGCTGATTCCGACTGGATCGTACACCTGGACGAGGAAACACTCCTCACGGAGAACTCAGTGAGAGGAATTCTCAACTTTGTCATGGATGGCAAGCATCAATTCGGGCAGGGACTCATCACGTATGCGAATGAAGAGGTTGTTAACTGGATCACCACATTAGCGGACAGTTTTCGCGTTGCTGATGACATGGGCAAGATGAGAATGCAGTTCTATACGTTTCACAAGCCGCTGTTCAGCTGGAAAGGATCCTATGTGGTGACGCAGGTGGGTTGCAGTTGTTTTCGCAGCGGAAAACTTGTTATTTGGCGCATTGCGACAAAACAGTTCAAGTTGCTTCGGGTTTTTTTGGCTATATTTCTTTTTATAAGTTTCTGGCACGCAGCATCGTATTTACATAAAAATTTAGGGCAAACAAATGAAATCATCGCATGTTGATTGTATTTTAATTACATGATAAGGTATTGTTTGCATATTGTTATCAGTATAACAGTAATATTTGTTTTTTTCATGGAGAGTCCGGATCTGTGCGCATCATGGAAATCAATTGCCACTCTATTATATTAGCGAGTGCTGCAACCCCATTTTATATTTCGGTGTGTGGAGGCCGCGTGCGCAACGTCACCGAAGAGTTGAATGAATCTAATTTAGTTAAAACATGCCGACTTGCTTCTGGGCTAGCCCTAGTCTATTTATCTTGTTTGAATTACTGAATTACAAATTGTTTACCTGAGGGAGTCACTGTCACTGTGCAAATTTACAAATTATCGCCTCCGCATGCTAATGAACCGAAATGAACTAAAAACTAAAAATTTCCTATTTGTGACATAATATTTCATCAGAATAATGCACTACATGCATTAAAATTACAAATTTTATTACACAACCAAACAAAAATGATGAAATAACAGAAAATAAATAAAAAATTTCAATAAAATTAAACCAGAACTGGGCTGATATCAATTGTGGGAAGTACTGATAATATTCCAATCATTTTTAATTGCATATTCATAGTACAACGCTACAAATAAACTGGTTGCAAATGTAATTTGCATCAATTGTGAAGCATCATACAATTCACGTGATTTTGATGCAATAACATGCAAAGCTATACTTGTGTTACGCAAGCAGAAGAGTGTTACATCCACACACATGCCAACAACAACCACAGCCATGAACAACGTCATAATAACAATAATTAATAACTTCCGATCGCTGTTTTTTCATATATTTTTTTTAATTGATTCGCTCTTTGTTGCCCATATTATGCTGGGGTTTGCGTGCGCGCACATAATGTGCATTGTATATATTCAGTGACAAACTATTATCGCAATGTAACACAATATAGAATATATGCTTCTATTCCAAGGCCACTGATTAAACTGCGGTAATGACTGTGTTTTTTTTTATGTCGGGCGCTCGTTAGTATTTTCTGATTCGAAAATTTCAAATATGAAGTTTTATTTTATCGATTTAATGCCGGAAAACAAGAATACCGTTGTTTCTGTCGGTGTGTAATTGCGTTATTACCGTTTTCCTACGAATGCAATTTGTAATTTTCCTTCATTTCATCTAATCTTTGACTGCACTCAATCAAGCGTAGACACAACTTGCAGCAAATATTTTTTTCGCTGTGTGTGTGTGTTTGTTTTATCCGCATTGCACGCCAATGCCAGTGTACAGCTATCAGAACGTGACATCCTTTTGTATATTTTTTTTGCCTTTTACATCAAACTGTTATTAAACCTTTTAATGGCGTGCGGCTGACATTGCGACATTTTTCATTAACATTCTCACACAATCCGGGCCTCAAAAAATAATGCGCTGGTAAATTATTGACGAGTTGATTTGCTTTGTTTATCTATTGTTGTATGTAATGACTTTTCTTTATTATTTATACGTGATGTATTTGTTCACTGCTCACTGGCGCTCACCTAATGGTGAACCGTCGCTCAAACATTTCGTGTACCTAGTGTACGCACGAAATGAGTTGGAGAAATTGCCCTCCGAGTACATTTTGTATGACGCACTAATGTGTTTTTCTCGGTTTTATTTGCTTTTATTGTTGAGGCGCACTCAGCGCACACAATTTCCAGAATGTGTCGGAATAAACAGCGCGCAGTCAATAAATGTGGTAAAAAATGTGTCTCTATAGTCTCCAAATTCAGTCAAATGAAACTCGGTTCGTCATGTAGTATATTAAGTATGAGTTTAGTGTCGGCATGTGACAATGCTGCCCGAACTGATACGTTGTGTTATAAAATGTGTAACGAAACGTGTAATTACGGCGTCCTGGAATCATGCTGTTGCTTTATTTGACGGAAAGAATACCGGCCGGTTTGGGAGTTATGCACGAACAGATTATTTCGACATTTTTTCGTGAAAATTTACTTTTTTTTGGGCTGAGGTGAAGTACGTGACGTGCTAACTTGCTAACTGTGTATATAAATAGCATATTTACGGCCTAATTTTCTCCGGCTCATTTGAAACGAATTTATACTCATTAATACCCGGGATTTTACAGTACCAACTGTGTAAATCAAATTTCTAAATATAAATTCAAAGCATTTTCTAAAATGAAAGTCATTATTAGTTAAGAAGTTTTGACAGAGTTTAATTTCAGGTTATGTTTCATAGAATCAAATTTCTAAATTTAAATTGACAGTATTTTTAAAATAAGAGTCATTATAGTTTCATATTTTCACAGAATATAATTTTAGGTTATGGGTCACAGATAAGCAATGAAATTCTAAAAATTTTATGACTAGATTAAAGCAGTTAATGATTCATTAAATTTTACAAGTCTGGCACCTAAATTACATCATTTATTCAGAAACAAATTCACTTAATTATCAACTATTTGTCCAGTTCACGCACGTAGTTGATTCGGTGGGTGTGCAACTCGAACATTAAACTTTGAAACAAAACGTTGAGCGTTGCGATAAATGGCTCCGTTTTTAACTTCAATGACATCCATTTGCGCCATTATATTAACAACTCAAACAAGCAGCACTTATTACTTGAACATATTCATTCAATACCTACTTTGGTCAATAAATAATAAACTTATGATTGACTGTATATAAAAATAGTTTTTTTAATGGTTTAATATGCAAGTTCTTACTTCTGTCTGCATATATTACGTTTGGTGTAATATATATTTGTATATGTTACAATAAAAAGTATGTTATCTGCTCCAGACATGCGCCAAGTTCAAATATTGACTTGTGTCACTCACTGGCGTTATTGTTGGTTGAATCGGTTGAATCATAAAGAGATAACACCCTTGACTTGAACTTGATTGCACAATATGATTGACTAATAATGTATTATCTTTTATTTCCAGCTCGCTGCCGAGAAAGCTGTGTCGTTCGATAATGGCCTGGACGGATCCGTCGCCGAAGATTGCTTCTTTGCGATGCGTGCGCATAAAGAAGGCTACAGTTTCAATTTCATCGAGGGCGAAATGTGGGAAAAGTCGCCGTTTACTCTCTTTGATTTCATCCAGCAACGCAAGCGATGGTTGCAGGGTATTCTACTCGTGATACACTCGAAAGCGTTGCCTGTGCGCACGAAGTTATTGCTCGCCATTTCATGCTACTCGTGGGTGACGCTGCCGTTGTGCACCTCAAATTTGATCCTCGCTGCGCTCTGCCCCATCCCCTGCCCACCGCTGGTGGACTTCCTCTGCGCGTTCATCTGCTCGGTGAACATGTACATGTACGTCTTCGGCGTCGTCAAGTCCTTCACGATCGTGCGCTTTGGTATCTGGCGATTCATGCTGTGCATCATCGGCGCGCTGCTGACGATGCCGATCAACATCGTCATTGAGAACATTGCTGTTATCTGGGGCGTTGTCGGCAAGAAGCACAAGTTCTACATCGTCAACAAAAACATTCGCCAATTCAACGTATGATTTATGTGATACGTATATTATAGATATTTAATGATGATATCGATAGGAAGGGACAGTCCTTTTTTTTACTTAAAACTAGTCGCTACGTGCACTCGTTAAGATTTGATTTCTACTTTTTACATGCCGAAAAAAAAACTGATATTTAAAAGGAAATGAAAAGACTTTGTTTAGATATATATGTTCTGCATTAGTTTTGTGCGATCTGCGTAAAAAAAAAAAAGACTTATTATCACCAACTATATGCAGTCACATGTGATCCCTAACAATTTAAGGTAAACTCGTCGTGTTTTGAACACGAACGCTGTGTGCTTGCGATCTAAAGTAGACATTGAAACGTTGCGTCATGTGAAGATTACTTAACCACCTAACTAAACGACTGACTTCGTGATAGCAAGTCGCCATCGTTTTTTATCGATTATATTATTACACAAACACAGCACATACCTACACACCGCGCAGTATACTTATGAATATGACCTATCATTAAGTCATTGTTTTCGATTGAAGCATCTTTTGTTCATGTAATTGATACGAGGTACAAACGCGCTTGTTTATTGTATGTAAGTATCTCTACACTCTGTATTCATCTCCTCTATCAGTGCAAATACTCGCCGATTGTCGAATATTTACACGCACGTATTTGAAGAAAGGTACAAAACAGATTTATTTACATTTCCGCTAGATATTATAAACAAATAAACGTGTATTTGATCAAAATGAGATTATTTGAGATAACTTGACGAAGAAAATATTGAAAAACCAGCCGGAATATGGATGAGTTGATTAAAAATAAAAGAAGAAACATATTTAATACTTGCGAGTGTGATTTTCTCTCACCACGTATACAGATATCTATTATTTACAGGGGTGATTTAATTGGTTTCATTGATTTATTTTCAGTGCGCTATATCAGGCGATATCGATTTCAGTTTTATGAAAAATAAATATTTATGAAGTAATATGTGCTATTCTTTCCTTTTTATTTGTTCCCGTTGAGTGTGTTCAGTGGAATACAGCAAATGTATTTTTAATTGCTGTTAGGCACACGTCGGAATGTGCGCTTATAGTATTTTGGCAGATGGCAAGGCCAAATACAATTAACCCAATTTATTATTATACTAGATTTTATATGCGGGTATCAATTTGGTAAACGAACACGCCGCGCGTGTGTATGTATTTAAGCAAGTGAGTTTATTTCAGGAAACTATGTAGCAACATACCTGATTAACATATTGCATCCCAACGCAGGAGTTTTTCGTGGAGTTTTTCATACGATTTCATTGAAGGTAGAAAAAGTTTACACACGTGTTTTTTTTGAGCGAGCGAAATGAGTTTACAAACGCATTTTTATGATAATGAACATCCTTGGCTTAATTTTACACATGTCATGTCTAGAATACCATTATTATCACTGTATACTTATGTGTGGTACATATTGTTGCGAATTGTCTGTTTTATTATCTTATTATATGCGCAGAATGGTATTTTAATGCACAAAAATACGGAATTATTTTTTGAGTTCGTTTTACACGTGATATTCATTTCATTGTCATATAAATGGATTGTATGTCAGTTGCAGGCAGGAAAAAGTATTCAAAAGTACTTTATACGCGTTTGTAATGCCAACCATGAAGAAATATGTGTCTATAATTGGTTTTTGTAAACAATGGCCACGTCTGACATTGAATTATAACTGAAAATCACTTAAATTAACTCGTATTTAATGAAACAGAAGTAATGGCATACAGAAACTGCTTTTGATGATTATTTTCTCTGCGAAATTGGGAAAATCGCCAAGATATCAATAAAAACGAATTAGGCAACTCTGTCGTCACTTCCCCGATCGAGATTTGTCAGCCATTTTGTATATTGAGTGTAGTTTTCATTGATTACATTCTATAAACACCAAGTTCCCTGTTTTGTTAACTCAAAATTGATGTCACAAATCGCAATTATCATTTACGCAATAGTTTTAAAGTTAAAAACTAAATTTTTTATCAAAATACATTCCTGTTGCATCTGCGCAATATAATTGCAAGTTGCATACTAAAAATACCTTATTCGATACCAATATGTTTAATTTTGCGCACGTATACAATAAACTACACGTGTGGTGCCATGGTAAACACTTCACGTGCCACTTTTGACGTCATTCTATTCTCTTCCACCCCTTAGTTACCCCTTCATGCTCCTTATTGCAACGAGGCAATAAAATAAAACTTAGTATGTTTGATCTATGATGAAACCTCGGTGCATTTTCCATTTTCTCGAAAAACTATGACGCGTGCGTGCCACGCCACGCCAACCGCCAACACATGGGGCGCAGACCGCGATATTTTGATTGGTCGCAACACATTATGACGACAGAACACCCACATCGCTTCATTCCACTAAGTTTAGGCCAATCCACTCGGAAAATCGATAAAAATTAATAACAATATGATAACCACACACGCATAATATAAATAAATGCACTGAAAAGATTTACATTCGTCATTAATACATGTAATTGCATAAATAAATCAATATTTCGATTAGATTTAAGAAAATTTTAGTATATATTGATTTATAATGATTAAATTATATGCTGAATCTGATTAGGACAGGTATATTGCTTGATTAGACGCGCTTACAAGTGCATTAGAATAATATGCGCTTCATTTGTTTGATGTGTTTTCACCAACGCTTTGTATACGTGCGGCGGTGGATGTGCGCCGCCGACACCGATCCCACACGAAAATTGCGCATAGCGGCGGTGGAGCGGCGGCGATGACGTCAAACGACGGTTGCCACCAGTCTTCAGTGCTCGCATTACGCGCAAGCCGCGAGCTCACTGTACGTGTCTTCGCCACCGCCAACCGCCACGATGGTTCTTTCGGCTGGCTAAATGCCGATATTACTACACCTGCATTCAGTAACAAATCGGGCACTCACTCACTCGGTACTCGCGTGTGACCAACAACTCACAAAAGAGAAATAAAGTGAATTGGATTTCATTATGCCTGTGATAACGCACCGCCACGATAAATATCGGAACAATAACGCAACGAAGTCATAGGTAAGTTGTACCCAACAGAAATAACCCACCCAAATTTATGGATAAATTTTGTTTTATTTTTTAATATAAAAATATTATTAGTTGAGGGCGAGTTGTTTTTGTGTTTGTCGGGGGAAATGTTTCTAATGTTGGGACATAGAATCGCGCTTTTATTGTCGCTCGCATGCGAGAAATATGGGGCAAGCTTTTTGTGAATGAACCTCGTATCGCGCTCCATAATGGTCGAATGCATGTGATCTATGTGGGCGAGAAGAGGAGACAATGTAAGGGATGGCGAGAAATTGTGCGGATCAATACCTCGTATACTGGCACTGCTGCTGGAGACCGAAAGAGGAAGCAGGTCTATGTATATACGAGCAGGATTCGCGATTTTTGCGGGTTTGCGATGGGGCGAATGTCATATATAACAGAATACTAAATTTAGCACATTAATGAATTACCGCAGACGCACCGCATACACCTAAAACAAACTGATTTCTAAGTCATAAACATTATTTCTATATTATTACAGATAGAATAAGATGACAAATGAGAAAGTAGCAAGAAGTGTTGCTTTAGAGCAGGCGTACGTACACGACGTCTACGAACAGTTCTGCGAAAGCTCCAGAAGTCGACCATGGCCGCGTGTGCAGGAGTTCATCGAAGGGTTGGAGCCGGGTTCGTTGGTGTGCGACATCGGGTGCGGAAACGGAAAATACTTGAACGTCAGCGGTGGCAATATATTCAATGTGGGCGGAGAGAAATGTCGGCGATTATGCGAAATGGCGCATGAAAAAGACAACGAGGTTAAATATACCATAATTATAATATTCTTATCAACTAATTTGATAAATGTGATTGACAGGTGTTGGTGCTTGATAACTTAGCGCTGCCATTTCGTGATGAAAGCATGGATGCAGTCTTGTCGATTGCAGTCATCCATCATTTTGCAACCACTGAAAGACGCGTGAGTGCGTTGCGTGAATTGGCACGAGTGCTACGCATCGGAGGACGGTTGATCATTTCCGTCTGGGCGATGGAACAGAGCCACCGGAAATTTGAATCGCAAGATGTTCTTGTGCCATGGCATCGGCCACAGCACCTGAGCACACCGTCCCTGGAACTTACATCGACCACGAATACTTCGGAGGATGATTGTATGCATTATCATGCGTACAGTCACACTTCTGATAGCGAGAGTGGTAAATCAACAAGGTACGTTTGCAATCATCATAAAATACGCACATGTTTATCATGAAATCTATTTTTAGAGGTAAAAAACGTGGAAAAACGAGACGTACGACAAGATCTATTGACCCCAAGGCTCCGTCTCCAAGCAGCTCGAGTTTGTCGAGTCCCAATGAGACTTGTTACTCGTTTGTAAGACGAGCCATTCAAAAACTAGCCGGTGGACGTCGGATGGGTGTACATAGACCATGGTTTATGGACAGTTGGTCACACAAGGAACCACCACCTAAACGATATGATCCGGATGGTTGTGAATGTTGCGAGTGTGATGCTCAAGATTTACCAATTGAATTACGACGTGTGGATGATGATGAAATGCCTCAACGACGGCAGACATTTCCATCGTCGCAGATAATCAACGATATTGTCACGATGAAGTCGAGGAGTCTTAATAATATGACCGCAATGGAGAACAATAATATCATTCGATCAAATTCAAGCGTGGCGAGTATTCCGGACGCCATTTCAACATCAGATTCTAACACCAGTAGCATTCGATCAACTAAACCGAAACTTGTCAAACAAAAACAATCAATATGCGAGGAAGACGCAGAAGAAGATCTTGACAAACCGACTGAGATCCAAAAACTGCTGCCTGATATTCGTATTGAGAATAGGTCAAAGTTTCGTGGAGGTGTACAAAAGCAGCGGTCACTCAACGAAGAACTCATGTCAACTGATCGACTGCAGGAAAAAGAACGACTGCGTAAACATATTCATAAACAAGCCTCACTCAATGAAGATTTGATTTATCATAGGAATTACTCGTTTGAAAACTTCCGAGACACGTACTTTTATACGAGCACAGCGAAGCGTTTGCAATTGATTAAGACCGGCTTCACGAATAAAATCAAATCAACGAACATCGAACGTGTGACTGGTGCATCACTCAAGAATGGATTCGTGCGTATGTTTCAACAATGGAAGAGTTCCGAGATGATTTCACCGACGATTCCTGAAGATGATGTCGCAAATAGTTGTAATGTACAGAAAGCGATTATTATTGAACAGTGCAACGCGAACAACGAACGCAGATCGTCGAAAGAAGACGGATCTGATTCATCCAAAGACAGCAGTTTACAAAGTGACACCAGTGTTGATTCCGAAGATAGTTTTGCTTCAGTTATCTTCGTACCGAAATCCAATCCCATGTCGCCTACATTGTCCCCAGGTCCAACATCTCCACGTGTCAACACTAATTCCGTCCCGAATTCACCACGCATCAAACAATCGTCCTGCCCTACAAGTCCTCGCATCAAACAAATGCCTCTCAGTATCTATCCGTTGACGAAACAATTGAGTTCACCGAAACCCACCACTGCTAGTATCCTATCACCGACTGATATTAAATTAACCGAACGTAGATCATCCATTCCGAAACCTGTCAATGAATCGTTAGCCCAGAAATATGCAGTTTCTCCGATTCCGAAATTCAAACCTACGGCAGTAGAAACAAATAGCAATAACAACACAACAACTACTACGAAGGAGAAGGATGTGAACTTACAGAAAATCAAAGATCTTCTCAGTTCGAAACCGGGTTTTGGTGCGCGTACCTCGAAACACAATTATCCCATCGTGCGTCATAGTTCAGTCTCCAACGGGAAAGTAGAGACAATCGCAAAACCTCTACCGAAACTGTTATCCCTAGAACTCTTCAATCCGGAGACAGATGATAAGGATAGTGATTCAAGTGCAGTGTCTTCGCCAGAGTCAGTTGATAGTGTGATCAGTGTGAACAATTCCGAAACAAAGTCAAAGTTTCAATTCCCCGAAGTGCATCAAGAACGCACAGCGCTGCTACAAGCCGCGCGGGACGTCGCCGAATCGCTCGACAATGCGGTCGAAAAGGTGATCAAATCATCGCCGAGAGCTAAACGCAGAGAGATCAAGACTGACGAAGTGCAATCGGTCATGCAGCGCCGGTACGAATCGGATCGCATCCCACTGCTAGGCGATGATGACTGGAACGAAGAATGCCATAAACATCTGACTGATTTCGCAGATAAGCTCAGCGAGAAACTGCTGCATGAGATTGATCAGTATCAGGAGAAGTTGAAGTGCAACGAAGCTGCCGGTAGCAACCATTCGCTGGAACATATCGACGACCCGTATATTCATAGACTGAGCGAGGAGCTCCAAGATTTATCAAAACTAAGCGCCGAAATTCAAAAACAGAACGAATATCTTGCCAAGCTCAGCGCCAGTGACAAACAATTCTATTGTCCCAAATGTAAAAAGTACGAATGTAGATGCAGTAGTGGTAAACAAACGAAGCGAGTCATGAAGGTACCCGCTATTGACATCAATCGTCCTGCGGAGGATATTGAAGCATGCGGTAGTATGATAGCCACCACATCCTTACCAACGAATGGTAATCATAATAAACTAAACAAGAATGGCGCGAGTATTGATTCCTGTGATTCCGAACGTGGTAGCAGTCCGAATTCGACAATTTCTACATCCACCGGTACCGGATTACAACTGAGTCGACATTCGATAGAATCTGAAGATACTGTAAGTCGTTACAGTGGTGATGGTGGCAGTACAGCATCGTTAGCTTCATGCCCCGAATGGAAGACGATCAAAGGGAAACTCAACATCGAAGCGCAACAACGCTCCTCCTTCGACGAGAAGAGCACTAATTCCAAGCTCTCATCAAAGGACGCCTCGAACAAATCGAACCTGATACCGTCGCTCAGCGACACGTCGCAAGAATCCCTACCCTCGGACAACGTCGGCGGCGAAATCACGTATCATCGATATTATCACGTTTTTAGAGAAGGTGAATTGGACCAACTGATAGAAAAGTACGTAGAGAACCTACACATTATTTCATCCTACTACGACCACGCCAGCTGGTGTGTTGTCGCCGAGAAGGTGCAGGTATGGACAATCTGACCAGCTTTCATAATAATACTGTCACCGGTTACAATCAAAACAAGAAACATTGTAAAACACATTCTAGCGTATAGATGTAACATCGAAGGAGAGACGACGACATTCTAGAACGTTTTGCTCAAGTATTTTCGGTTTGCTTCAGGACATTTTTTCACCAAACAAACAAATATCAACAACATTGTTAAGCTTGAAGGACGTCAAAAAAGCACAAGGTGTACATATTGCGCTAAAACATAAGAACATATTAGTGAATCGCCACTTTAAATGATAAGTCTTGTTAAGTGCTACATAGTCGCTGATATAGAATCCTTCCTCCACACAGTATTCAAACAATCAATTTGTGGTTGTAAATACAATTTTTATGATTATGCCTAAAATTTCAAAAAAGATGATTCTTTGAACGAAACGAGAATAGTATCGATTTATAAATGGGCGTGTTAATGCGAAACATTTTATACTACTACTTATGCGCAGTATTACGAAGAAAGAATGAGGTGTAAAAGTATTGTTCGGGTTTGAAGTTGTTGTTTATATGATATGTTCTTGAAATAACGTAATTTTTGAAGAATTAACTGCTTCATAGTGGCGTTTGCTTCAGATTTACAACTAATATTAATAATGGCATGAATATTGTACTCACTGGCATTTCATATCAGAGTTTACGAAAAGATTTATTGAATGATTGATTGATTGATATGGTTTGATCAGTAATGTTAATAAGAGTAAATAAAATTTAGGCTAATTTGTTGATTTTGAGAGTTCTACTTTCGTTCACAATGATTCGAACATGATGATATTTAGAAGTTACTGATAATAAAGTTTAAACATAATATTAATATCGTAGATGATATATACTTGAGCTGACAAATAATATTTAAATACATCTGATCTTGTACATATTCATTAAACATGATAGCAGATTTTCTACGTGTATACTTTTGTTACAAACTAAAAACTCTACGTATTTGATTTCGATTCGTTGCGGAATTCGATTTTACTTCTCATGAATACAAAGCTTTAATGTTCTATATAAGTATAAGTATAGATTACGTTCTCTTACATACACCAATGTTATATTTGATTGTTATTTTTATATGTATTAATAATTATGATTGCAAATTGACGTATGTACTTGCTTCGAACTGGTTCGTACGCTGCGTACTTTTATACAGAGTACACACAATGAGAAAACAAAAAAAAAATAAGAAACCGAACTTTGTGCCTGTCTTGATTGTTATAATGTATAACATATTATAATAATAAAAAGAAATCTTTTTGATACGTCTTAAGAAAGAAGAAAAAAGTCTAAACAAAAAAAATAACACACAAGGAAACAAAATAGCATCACTACTCATTGAAGTTCTGTGGATTGGATTAAATGTGTTTCACTCTATCGATAAATGAAAAATTACCATACGAAAATAAATACGATGTAAATACGAAAATAAACAAACATATTTACAAAAAATTCGCAACTAAGTGTATGATTATTTCCTATTTCACACGAAATACGCGGCGAGTTGCGCCATTTTGTCTTTAGGTTGCTTGGGCCTGGAACGCCCACGACCTCGACCAGCACCACGGCCACCGCGAAATGCACGCGGGCCACGTTTATTCGCGATTGCTTTATGCTTATCGACCAGTTTCGCAAACTCTGGCATACAGAACATGCAACCCGTCATGTCGGTCGCCTCATTAGGCAGCTTTGTCTTCTCAGATTGATACTTGACATTCAAGAGCTGTGTGCCACACTCACAGACATCATCTTCCACGCTTACCTTCTGAGCATCATCGAATAAATGAATAATAATATCGCATCTAGGAAAATGGAACAATTAAATAACTCAGTTGTTTATAAACATTGAATAAACTTACTTGTTACAAACTAATTTCCATTTTGGTGCACTACTTGGATCCAACACAAGTACACCAATTTCACATTCAATGCAACTCGAGACGCCATTACTATTCAAACTATGAGGACAATTCGGATGTAAACAAGCATTACATCCACTTCCCTTCTTCATATCCCTAAATAAACAAATAAATTATGTCAATATTGCTAAAATTCTAAGTATTACAGCAGTTAATATACCTGAATGGTGCATGATTATAACAATACGGACAAAACGTAAAACTTTTGCCTTTATTTCCCATTGTCCACGACAACAGTTCAAAATCATCCAACGGGCACTTCAACTCCTTATACAATCTTATATTACCATTCTGAGGAAGTGAATATGTCTCATCACATTGTGAGCAATGTAAACGTTGAGGTTTCGCTTGGATATACTTCATATAACGACGACATTTACCGCATCTATAATGAAAAACATGTTTAAAACAAAATTTAAAACCAGAAATGCGTTGCATATTAGTTACAACATAAAATAATATTAAATTAAGTTAACTATTTGTTATAAACACACTGAAGCTTATTTTTGCAGGTTTAAATTACCTGGAAAACAAGTAGAATGGTCTGCAAGTGTAAACTCTTTATAAATTTCAAAAATAACGCGATTAAAATTAATCGATATGTAATTACCTGCAGAATGCCTTGCCGGAAGCACTCAACGGACTGAAAGAAACCTCGAATAATTGATCCATTCCGTCAATGTTCTGCACAAAGTATTGAAACTTCAATTTGAATATTTCGACGGTGTGTTTAAGCACTGCTTGAAAATTTGCTTTACCAGCTGCTATGAGATTCAATTGTTCTTCTACAGCTGAACGCATTGTAGGCAAAACCAATTGCGGATCAATCTATTCAATTCAATCAAAAGTATTATTTTATTGAAATTGTTTCAAAAGAATTAAATTTTTACTTTATTACCTTTTGATAACCATGCACAAGAACAATTCCCAACGTTGTAGGTATAAGTCTCCTACCACCAGACACAGTCACATAATTCCTTTGACAAATATTATTAATATGCACAGGAATAGACGCATCTGTACCAATACCATGTTTCTCCATCAAAGTAATCAACTCGGCCTCCGTTAAATAATCAGGCGGACATGTTTGGTGTTCAGTTAGTTTACTTTCAAGAATCGGAACATTATCATTAGTCTTAAACGTGGGTACAATTTCACCTTTACCCAACTCCTGCCAAGTCATCACTTTAGTAAAACCAGGATCAAGCAAAGTTTTCCCGGATGTTGTAAATACTTCTTCGTTAATAATGAAAGTAGCTTTCGTGCTTAAATACTTGCAATCTTTTGATAATGTACCAATAAAATGTCTGGTTATATAATCGTATAGCTTCCATGCATCTCCATCGAGTTCCGAACGTGATGCGCTCCTCATCGGAGTAATTGGAGGATGGTCGCCAGCATCATGTCCGGATTTAGGACGATTTATACCATCACGTAGAATTTCACTAACTTCACTTCCCCAGTCTGAGTTGTGTTGTTGTAGTTTCAATGCGCCGAGTAAATCGAAGTTTTCCGGATAACGCGTGGTCTCTGTACGAGGATAACTGATATATCCTTGTGTGTAAAGCCTTTCCGCAATTTGCATTGCATGATGTGGTCCCATACCAAGACCGGAACTTGCAACACGCATTAATTCAACTGTGTTCAACGCCGGTGGTCGCGGTTTTAGTTTTTCTTTACTTATTACACTTTGTACTCTTGATAAAGTAAAATATTTTTAGTTAAATGTTACTTATATAGTTATTAGAAAGAATAGTAGTACTTACTTTGCAATTTTTGTTTCTCTTACTATTTGTAAGAAAACATTTGCTACTTCTTTATCAAAACAGCGCATCCGCTGCCAGTCTAAATTAACAGTTTGCCCTTCATTTGTTTTAACATAAACCTGCACAACCCAATATGGTTCAGGCTTAAATGTTTGAATCTGGTCATGTCTCTGTACACAAAAGCCCAAAGTTGGAGTTTGGCATGGACCATAAGAAATTAAAGACGCATCTAAATCGCCATAGCGTCCTTGGAAAAACTTCGTTTGAAACCTGGTGAATGCACAACCAATGCGCAAATCTAGTTCTTGACGGGCATCAACGCTTTTTGCTTCGTTTTCGTTCGGTTTTCCTTTGTTAATATTTTAAATTAGAGTGGTATTGTTTCTTTTTAAAATATTCTTACCTAGATTATTAAATGCGGCTTTAATATCGCGTTCAGTAATGGCAGAGAATTTTGCTCTGTATGTTACAGCATCACTGTATACATTTCCATGTATACTGCTGGCAACACAATTCATAACTTCATAGCAAATATTTTCTCCTTCTTTGTCACAATCTAGCCATAATACTAAATAGTCACAACCTTTGGCTTCCACACTCAAAAATAAGGGCATTTTTAACTTTGCTGTTGCTTCCTTCTTCTCTGTTGGGCATGAAAAGAGTTCTACAGGATCCACCCTATCCCAGTTGTTGTATTTGCCAAGGAAGTCCAGACTCATTACATGACCACATACAGAAGTCATTTTTAAACGGACGTTCTGCCCCATAAAGGAACCGGTCCATTCGTGGACAGAACAGGAGCCATTTAATCCTTAAATTGTTGATTTTATATTATTTTCTGAAATGTTGTCATGGGATTATTTTACCTTTTCTTGAAGAACTTTTATTGTTGGATAAAATATTGGCTAAAGAAGCCGCCAAAGAAGGCTTCTCAGCTACCATCAACACCGTTTTCATGATTGTTTGTTGTTGGTATTTCCTTTAAAGAAAAATAATTAGGTTTTTCACATTGCCAATTGCCAGTTTTTAGCTGTTTGTAGCCGGCCGGCATTGATAGGATCAGAACGAATAGAATGGGTAAAATTATAAGAAATAATCTGCGATTGTAAAAGATAATTTATTTAAACAAAAACATAAAACAATAATATTACAATAAAGTTACAATAAAATTATAATCATAGTAATTTTGATTAATTCCGCTTTATAAAATTTTATTTTCGTTTTCTTTACCAGAAATTACACCATCAGGTAATCCATTGAATGTATATGATTTGAACATGTATATGAAAATGCCTAACCCTGACATGTGTCACACTGTCAGAATCTTATTTTTGGTGACCTTGGCTACTAGCACTGAGTTTGCAGGGCACTCGATTCAGCAGCGACTAGATTTATTTCGATATAGACCAAATTCCAAGTAAACAGGTAAATTATAAGTGCACTAAATAGTATGCCCTATTAAACTCAGCTAACTATTTATATTCACTATTCTATCCATCACTTCCGTTTTCCCGTAAATGAGAATCAATAAAAGTCTTTACTAGGATAATTATGTAATAGCTAAATAGTAAAAACAATTTTTAGGCATAATGGGTCACGGATTCGGTGAATTGTTCAAGATGCGCGGTATCATCCAATACCGCCTATCGCCCTTTGAACAAAAAGCATTTGCCAATGTGGTTTCACATGGCATTCCCAACACTGTGAGAAGGATGAGTTCATCTTTCCTCTATGTTGTACCTCGTAAGTTATATATAAGATGACATTTATTTATCCCAATGTGAAAATTTCTATTTTCTAGCATTTGTTATCGGTTACCTAGTTTATGACCAAATTGAGAAAGCTCATTACCAACTCATGAGGAAGAATCCTGCTGACTTTGAAAATGATAAGTAAATGTAAATAAAATATGCTGGTAGTGTCATAAAGTTATAAATAAATTATAGTAACAATACATGGATGTTATATTATCTTTAAAATTCCCTATTTCTAGGATATCATAACTTGATTGTAATTATAGAATGTTGACTAATGTTTGTGACTGGAAGGAAACAATGATGTTGAATGTACTTTTGAAATACTTCCAAATATTACGTAGCAAATGCGTAATTTTGGTGAATAACATTTATTTTTGTCCTATACAAAGTTTTATAATCAGAAACAATGGTTTTGTACACAATGAAATGCTGTTTTGCTGGTTTGTATTTTATTTGTTTGCAAAGCGAATTTGGTTGCCTATTATATTTGCACGAGGTACCACGATAACGAACGAAATTTAGTGCGATGACTGTCAGTATTGATTTTGCAGCTGTTTTGTTGGTATGGCATCCAAATCTCTCTCTCTCTTTCTCTATTTCTGTCCGCCGCATTTTATCCTACAGAAAATGGCAGTCGGCTTGTGTTTGAAAGAGACGACGTTAGCGTTCTAGAAAGTTCCAGTTCTAGAAAATTCCCTATTGGTTGGTGTCTCAGTTTCCACTAGCATTGCCGGCAGTTCGAGCGAACAACTGCGTTCATTTGTGTCTGCACGCTGTACTTGCTGGCGAAACACGTGAATCCAATTCGCCGCTTTAAAACGTGGTGATTTCATTCTACGCTAACATAGAACGTTGTTTATTTCGAACGTAATATCGACGAATAATGGCTGCAATGTCCGTCATCGGTATCGACTTCGGCAACGAATCGTGTTATGTGGCGGTGGCGAAGGCGGGCGGCATCGAGACAATCGCCAATGACTACAGTTTGCGGGCAACGCCGTAAGTACATAATCCTTCGTTTTTATTGCATTTGATAATTAAATCTCCCATTGATCAATTGACATTGTAAAATTCCAACATTGCCATATTTGCGCATTTTCCTAATTTGGTTAGAAGCGCGTATGATTTCACGCGGTTTGCGTTAAGGTGGGTGTCTCTCCAAATTCGGAATCTTATTACAGATCATGCATTGCATTTTCGGGCAAAAATCGCATTTTGGGGGTGGCCGCCAAAAACCAGCAGGTCACCAACATGAAAAACACCATCTTCAATATCAAAAGATTACTGGGTAGGAAATTTAAGGATCCGTTAGTCCAAAAGGAAATCGCTTCTTTGCCTTATAACATTTTGGAAACAAAAAATGGGAATATAGGCATAAAGGTAGGTTTCATTAAAAATTTACAGCTTGCAGCTTACAACAAGTTGTACTTGTAGGTCCAGTATTTAGATGAGGAACACATTTTCTCTCCAGAACAATGTTTTGCTATGTTACTTACCAAACTGAAGGACGATTCTGCCACCGCTTTACAAACACCGATCAATGATTGTGTCATTTCTGTTCCTTCTTACTTCACCAATAATGAGCGCAAGGCTCTGCTAGATTCAGCGGCGATTGCGGGACTTAATGTTCTGAGACTGTTCAATGAAACCACGGCTACGGCATTATCATACGGCATTTATAAGCAGGACTTACCGCCGCCCGAAGAAAAACCGCGGAATGTTGTGTTCGTAGACTGCGGGCAATCTTCGCTGCAAGTATCCGCGGTGGCATTCCACAAGGGTAAACTAAAGATGCTAGCCACAGCGTCAGATCATGCATTAGGCGGGCGCAACATTGATACGATACTCGCCGAGCATTTCGCTAAAGAATTTCTTGCGAAATATCATATTGACGCGAGAACTAACGCCAGGGCTTATGTACGTTTACTCGCTGAGGTAGAAAAGATTAAGAAGCAGATGTCTGCTAATTCAACCCCACTACCATTGAACATCGAATGCTTAATGAATGATAAAGATGTGCATAGCGAAATGAAACGCGCAGATATGGAGGAACTATGCGCGCCATTATTCCAGAGAGTAGAGGTGACTTTGAGCACTTTGTTGACTCGCTGCGGTTTGGACGTGGCTGATATTCATTCTGTAGAAGTTGTTGGCGGTTCTACTAGGATTCCTGCGATTAAACAGTTGATTGAGAAAGTTTTCCACCGGCCGGCTAGTACTACACTCAACCAGGATGAGTCGGTGTCGCGTGGTTGCGCATTGCAATGCGCTATTTTGTCGCCGGCAGTGCGTGTGCGTGATTTCAGCGTCACCGATGTCCAAGAATATCCCATTTATGTTTCCTGGGACGGCAGTGCACATGATGAACCTGGTGAGGTTGAAGTGTTTCCGGCTAATCACGCCGCGCCCTTCTCGAAAATGCTCAGTTTCTACAGGCAGGAACCCTTCAGCGTTCGGGCAGCGTACAACTGCGATGTTCCATACCCCGATAAACATATTGGTAGGTTATTGATGAATTTTAATGTGTTGCTTGTTAATTGTAGGGTTTTTATAGGTGTTTGGACTATCAAGGACGTGAAGCCTAGTCCGGATGGTAAAGAGCAGAAGGTGAAGGTCAAGGCTCGAATTAACTTGCACGGTATTATGGCCATCAGCTCCGCTCAGATGTACGAGAGCAAGGAAGAACCGATGGAAGCTGATGCAGATGCGCCCAAAGCAGGCGAGGATGAGGCTAATGACAAGGAAGCCCAGCCGCCAGCGGAGGCCAATGGCGCACCTGAGGTAGGCCCCAGCTGGACGAAGAAAATATCAGCCTTGTTCGGCCGGGTACGCTCATCTAGCCCTGGCCAATGCCCGGTTAAATCCAGAAACGCAAACACTTTTCAAAATTTTTATTTTGCACTTTTAACTTGAAAAAAAAAACATTGCTAAAGAAAAACCTATGCTGACTAGGTTTCGTTATTTGTATACACATGTCTTGTGTTTTGTGGTTTTATATTTTCTTTGTCTATGTTGCATTTGCATGTATTTCTTCATCATATTTTCGGATGTGTATGTTGCTTGAGTATCGAAACTTTAACGTGTTTTTAACGATCAAGTTTAATTTCCAGGAGAGTGCTGATGACAAAAAAGAGAAAAAGAAGAAATCTGTTAAGAGTATTGAACTCAACATTGAACCATCAGTGTATGGTTTCTCACAGGTTGAACTTAATCAATATACTGAGCAAGAATTGAAGATGATTGCTGCGGATAGGCAGGAAAAGGAACGTGCGGATGCGCGAAATGCTCTTGAAGAATACGTGTACGAGTTGCGTGGTAAGCTCGGAGCAGATTGTGAACTAGCTCCGTACGTTTTGGAATCCGATGGTTCTGGTCTCCTCTCCCAATTGGACGATATGGAAAATTGGCTGTACGAAGATGGCGAAAATTGCAACCGCCAGGTATATGTTGATAAACTCGCCGAGTTGAAGAGCAAGGGTGAACCCATTCAAATGCGTCGCGTTGAGAGTGAGTTGCGACCTATGATTCTTGAGAGCTTTTCGCGTAGCCTGCAACTATCTCACAAGGTATTGGAGGCGATGAGATCTGGTGATCCGAAGTACGCACACGTTACCGATGAGGAAAGGAAGAAAGCCGCCGAAGCGTTGGAACATTCGTTCAAATGGTTGGAAAAAACTCATAATAAATTAGCTGCTGCAAAGAAGCACGAGAATCCACCCGTTACCGTAGCGCAAATCCGCCAGGAAGCGGCGTCGTTTGAAAGCATCGTCAATCCTATCTTCAACAAACCACAACCGAAGGCGCCTTCACCACCTAAAGATGAGAAACCAGCGAAGGAGAACAACGCGGACGCGAAACAGGATAAGCAGAAGACGACTGAAAGCAATTCGGAAGAGAAGATGGATTGTTCATAGAAATTGCACGTTGTTTAGATAGAAAACTTATATATAAAAAACTAAAAACGATATCAACGTTCGATATGATGTTCAGTTCATTTACACTTTCCAAATCAAGTAGCGACATGGAATCTGGCGTTCAATTCACTAATGCTTTCGGCCGTGGAATTGTTCATTTTGTAAACAACTCGACAGATTTTTCCTAGCATTTCCTAAATTTGGTTAGCGACATTTCCAGAGTTGCGTTTATTTTGCTGGTGATAATATGATAATTCTAGCTACAAATTGGCACCGTAGGACCACTTTGAGGGTGACAGGGAGGACTAGTGTAATTATTTTCTACTTGTAGCCATTTTTGAACCGCAACCGTAATTTATCCGGATGATTTTTGTAACTCAGTTTGTTTATTGGTATTAAAATTTGCTAATACACTCGAAAGTGCTTTTATTCCAATAACGAACTAACGATGTAAGTGCACCGTTATTGCCAGGCCAATAAATATGTAATTCCATAAAATGCATCCGAAAGTGTTATATATGTATTTCTTTAATTTTATCACATTACATTTTATTCGGCGTATTGTTTCTTCTTGCAGCACGGCACGAATTGCAGGAAACCGTATGTGAACTCAGTGATTAGCAGTAGGAACATAATGGTGCAGACGATGTATTCGATTTTTAGCACCGGATGTTGCAATACGAATATGTAGACCAGCCCCAACAGCGAGAGAGCTGTGAGGAATTGCGCTAGGAAGTCTGATAAACCTGAATAAAAGTTTCAATTGTTCTAAATCGTAAGTTAATGGAATCACAGGTAAGCAGTTGGTTTTATCTACAATCTACAAAACTACACACATTAGTTGTTGGTTTGTGGCACTGGAAACTTGTGTTGTCGGCGCTCACGTGAAAATCGCAAACCAAACACTTACACTTCCGGTCTAAGTCCCTAAGACGATTAAACATAAGCAACTTTATCAGTTCGGAGATTAGAATACCGGCGACCACGGCACCGTCGAGTTCGATGTGTGGCGTCGGCAGCGGGCCGTTGAATTTGGCGAAGACGATGAGCATTTCGCTGCCAGCGAACACACCGAAATAGTATACGTTTAAGTAAAGAAGCACTTCGTACATGAGCGGCGCATCCATGGCTGGCGATTATGTAAAATTAACTAACTGCTGCGATTCCGCGATGCCGTCCCAAGTTAGCCCGCGCCGCGGCAAGGAAAAAATGTGTCCGATACGCGCGTTTTGGCTCATTAATATTTTACATTTATTTATAGCGAAAGCAACGTGTAATTAGAAAATATATGTAGAACGAGCGTGTTCGGTATCTGTACCATTTTATTTTTAGGGGCGACATTTCATCGCCAGTTTTCGGTAATAATACAAACTTATGAAGTTAGCAGCTAGTTAACATTGTGCGTCCGTAGTGGAAGTGTCTTTTTAATCATTTAAATTCGTTTTTCTTGCAGCACGGTAAGAATTGCAGTGTTCCAAAGGCCAACTCGTTGACGAAGAGTACGAATGTTATGCTGCAGATGATATATTCCATTCGCATCACCTTTTCCTGCTTGATCAGGATGTATAAGATGCAGCACAGTGAGATGCAGGTTAACAAAACGGCGATCACAACTGCAACAACTAAAATTAAGTTTATATTAAACTTTTGCACGAATATAAAACAAGAGTTAAATATAAATGCCAACCTGGTTAAAGTAGTTACGATATTATTTCTAAAACGCACGCGAGTTTAAAATCAAAAAGTCTTTATAAACTTTTTAGTTGGGTGATAAAAAACTATTGCAAAAAGCATTCATAGAAACTAAATTCAAATTCTACTTTACCTCTACGTTGCTCACGCATTCTACGAAACACAATAATTTTAACAAAATCGGACAGTATTAAAGTGGTCACAATTGCCGCATCTACTGCAATGAGATCGGGAGTCTTGTAATTTGGACTAAAGAACTTTGCAACTGTCATTAGCGGATGGCTCAGGGCGAATAGCGGGTAGTAGAAGACATTCAAGTACATAAGTACATCAAACATTAGTACAGCATCCATTCCGTGTTCGTTTGTTTGCGGCCTTTTAAACTACGTGTAAACTAATTATTATGTCAATGTAGTGTTTGTCTAATATTTACTGTTTCGCTGATATCGATTGCGATTTAGCGATGAAATTTTCTTCCGCTGCACCGCAGCTCTGCCCTGCCAAAACGTTCTCAATTCGACTCAAAATACAATATACAAATTTATTAATAGACTCTAAATTTAGCCGCTTAGTGGTTATAATGCACAAATCGCGCTTTCAGCGGATTGTAATTGACAATCCCATTTATTTTACATTTAAATTCTGTCTTTTACTGTTTATTTATCAAGAAGTAATTGTTTTGCAGTTTGTACTTTTGATTTGTTCACGGAAACTTTGTCTTCGGCTACATATATGGTTGCCTGCTTAAGCGTTCATATCTCAACGGATTTGTTTGTATTTCTTCTTAGTTTCCGGTTCCTATGGCTGCTAAGGGGCTGTCCATTAATCACGTGATCTTTTTTTTTCATTTTTTGGACCCCCCCTCCCCCTTGGTGATACGTCGTGAGGTTTAAGATTACCCCCACCCCCATCATCACGTGTATTTTAATCCCAACAAAGAATAATAAAATTTTTCTCTTTAGAAATCGTGCGTTTGACGAAAAAATAAATACACGTGATATCTTACTCCACTCCCCCCTCCCCCTGGTGATTTTTCGTGATTTTTAACAAACCCCTCCCCCCCCTTCATGCCTCACGTGATTAATGGACAATCCCTAATAAGTATGCGACGATTACATTTTTCGATACTTTTCGTCTTTCTTCGTGTATTGACGGCTCATGCGCTTTAAGAAATCGAACACATTGGGAATTACCGGGAATAACCTGAATTTATGGAAATCTTCATAATTTTATATGAGTTTTTGGTGACATTTAAATAATGGCAACAAAGGCTGAAACAAAACTTCGTAAACGAAAAGTACTTGAAAATGTTGCGGATTCGTTATTCATGAGAGGTACCTATGTTTGGGCGAAATTTAATAGTTCCTATTGGCCAGGTAGAGTTCAACAAACTTTAATTGTTATTTAATATTTATTGCACTAACAATGACTAACATTTTAAGGCATTATTATAAACCACAAAGATGTACAATTTAATGAAAAGAGAGACCACTGTATAATATTTTGGTTTGGTGACCATAGAATTTCACATGTTAGCCAAAATGGTATTGTACATTTTGCAATCAACTTTTCTAAGCATTACAAATCAAAAAAGTCTCCACTTTGGCAAAAGGCAGTTGAAGAGTGCATAACAGTAAGTTTTATTTCTCAAAAATCTTTGAATATTTAAATCCATTTGTTTGTAGCACTATGGATATCCATTTACTGCTGGCATGGGTTTTAATTCTTTAATTGCATTTGCAAGAAGTAATGGAATGCTGAATATTGATCATACCTCAAATACTGAAGGTATTATTATATTTTATTAAAAAATGAATAAATATGCACCATTTTTGTTTTAGATTTGCCTGAATTTGTTAAAATTTCAATTCATTCCAGAGAATTATTGAGAAAACAACAACTTGATAGATCAAAAAAACTAAGTAAGATTTGAATAATGCAGTAAAATCTGATAAACATCAGTTTATAATAAAATATATTTTATAGGAAAAATTCAATATTATCTTCCACATGCTATAGAAAAAACTTGTGTAGCATGTTTATCTGATCTAACTGAAAATGGAGTTGCACATCCACTCTTTGAAGCTAAGATTTGTGTACAATGTGCAAAAAAGTTGCAGGAAGTACTTTATTGTGTTAAAGATGGACATTATGTAAGTGTAATTTAGTTTATAAACAACTTTTACTATTGTATTGATTGTAGGAATATTGTTTTGTTTGTGGTAATGCTAAAAAGTTTCAATGTAAGAATCCTGCATGTGAAGCTGCTTTCTGCAACTTTTGCATTAAAACTTACTGGTCATTCACAATGGTAACTAGTGTGCCTTTTTGTGTTCTTTGTACAAATATGGTGCAGGGTTTACTACACGTTTCTGAAGAACATACGCTGAAGGTATATTATTCCATTTTGAATTATCTAAACTATTTTTTGTAATTGTAGTCAGCCATCTTTATTACAACCAATGAAACTGATCTATTGCCCAATGAAATAGTTTTAAATAAGTTTCCAAAGATGAATGCACGCTCTCAAAGTGATATAAAGGTTCTAACATTGTTTTATGGATCATCAATGAGCATTGAAGCTGTTTTTCCGTTTCCTTTCAATATTTTACTAGCTATAAAGTGTAATGGTTTATATGAAAACTGCGACGCGCTATCATACAATCGAATCAATTTGTATGAAGTAAAAAAACAGATGAATAAATATCTGAATAACACTGCCGTGAGGCTGGTTAGTGTGACGACGAACACTCCAATTAAAAAGAAGATTGTGCACATGCACATTGAAGATGTTACACGTATGAAATGCAAAGAGATTGGACATATTTCACTTATTATTGGTGGAACGAATATTTTGAAGAACAAATTGCGACATTTTCGTAAGTAATTCAGTTTTGTTTCTTTGCAGAAGTGAAGTTTTGTTTAAATGTTTTGTTGTGCAGGGCGAAATTACTTTGTTGATCTTTTCATGGAGTTCTGGAGAATTATAAACCTTTTTAAAGAAGAAGTAGATACAAAAATATTATGGTTGTATGAAATGCCTTGCACAATGGATGTGGAAGAAATTAATTTTATCACACAGTATGAAGTCTTTCAGTCTTGCTGAAATAATTAATTCAAACATTTATAATGTATTATTTTAGGTACCTTGATGTTAAACCTAAAATTATTACCTTCAGAAAGATGTATTGTTATGTTTGGACCAACATTACCGCATAAAGCAATGTTTTTTTGCATATTTTATGCGACCAGCATTTAAACATTTAATAAATACAAGTTTTAATATCTAGATGGCGCTGCGTTCGCATTCTACATTTTTACGTTTTCTAGCTGCAAATATGAGTGATGTTATGTTTGCGAAGCTAACACTTTTCTTCGAGTCGCAGCAACACGCACATTCTTAATGCATTTCTTTCAATCATTTAAGTTTAAAGTACGTAGTATAGTCTTGAAGCCACAGAATAGTATGCACGAATCGTACGACTCGACGATGTAATGGTTGCACAAACGACACAGAACACCAGTCGGCCCCCTCCGTCGTATAATAACATCGCGGGGGCCCTCTCACCGTCCACCAGCAACGGTGCTCCACCATCCTATGAGGAAGCCATCAACCCCAATGGTAGTTATTCCAATCATTCAATCATTTTGGGTATAATCACATGATTTTTACAGCACCACCACCATCATATGATTCACTCTTTGGTAGAGTACGAGAGGCTAGGAAAACAAGCAAAGGCATCTTTGATTTCTTTAAGAATGTTTTCATCATATTGCTTGGTGCAGGTATATTGATCTGATAAGAAAATGTAAAGACATTATTGATTATTTGTGTTTTTAGTTGGGTGTACAATAATCTTGGGTGTAACAATAGCTATACCTATATGTATGATAGTAATGGGTTCAATATATCTCCATGAATGCCCACAAGGAGAATACATTCCTGTGTATTTGCTGGTTGGGGGTATATTTGGTATTCTCAAGCAGTTGTTACACTTGTCTGCAAGAGTAAGGGAAAGACAGGAGGATAGAGATGCTGAGCATTTGAGACAATCTCCCACACAAGCTCTACTTAATTGTTTTATGTTAGGATGGTTTATAATAGGTATATTATTTTATAACACGTTTCTATGCATGTTCATCTTTTCTAAAATAATAACATTACAGGATCTGTCTGGGTGTACAAAGAATTTGAACCCAACTATGACCCAAATAAGGAAAACGGCCGCTACTGCAATAAAAGCCTCTACTTGTTTGCTTTCTGGTTGATCACTTCAGTTTACATTCTTCTGGGTACAGTCACAGTGTGTTTGTGCTCACTGAGCATCGCGAGCATCATTTTTCAGCCTCAGATTGGTGGAAGCCAAAACGATATGTCCGACGGCCGAATTGAATGGTAAGTACATTTATCTTTTAATACAAAAACATTTTATTCCACATTAAATTTCTCACAGTCATTATTTGTTAGTATTTTTCGAGTAACAAATGGCCGACTTTGTCTTTGTACATATTCACGATTTACAAATCGGAATTCATTAATATTGCTACTGACTGTATGGCACCTACGTTGGGAATTATGTTATCCAGTTTAAAAACTACGACGAACACCATGGTTCCAGGAGCATTGGTTTCTTTTGAATTATTTGTGGATTTAACTTTTGTCATACTACTACTACATAACTTAGCTTAATTAACAAAATATTACAGTATTCATCTCGCCATCACTGTGAGATTCTTGACGTGCAGATTATTCAATCATTTTGTATAGTGCACAGCAGAAAATCATACCAATGAGCTGGAAATTAAAACCAATAATATTAACATTTAAATATTGTAGGATTAATTAGTTTGGTACGTACCATAAGGCCAGCGACAACAATACCAGCACCGCCGATAATGGCCGCGTTTTGCTTCACATATTTATTCAGCGGTGACGTTGTAGCATCCTTTGTTGTAGAGGTGAAGAGTTTTGGGTTTCGACGAGTAAGTTGCATCGCCCCGGCGTTTTTCGGGAACCGGTTCGCGACAGCAGGAGTCCGGAATCTTAATAGTACCAATCTCGGTAGTCGGTGACGCCACAGCAATGGAGACGAGATTGGGTTTCGTCCCAGGCTTCCGAAATTAAGCCTATCGTTGCCTGTACGATCGGATGGAACCAATCATTTTCATTGCGAAGAGTTGTTTCGGCTTTGGCGCGAAAAACATATCCCAGAATACCACCAACCAGCATGGTGACAAAGATTAAAATACACGAAGATGAAGTACTGAAATATTTCAAAAATTCATTGAACAAAATGTTACTGAATAATAATCGGGAATACTTACAGTTACCAACATACAGCGCACTTCCTGGCCGAACCAAAACAACCAAAACATGAAATCACCGAGACTAATATCCCTGTTGTAATTACATAAACGGCACCGATGTACATATTCGTGCCCAATAATTCATTCGCAAAGGATTTATCCACGACCGTCCATACTCCAAGTGCGACAACGGTAATACCACCAAGCTAAAATTAAATATTTTAGTGCTCTCAATATCCATAATATTTACCAGTGTTTGGTTGCAGTACATACGAATATAATGAAGTTTATTATAAACATGGAGTATTTCATAAAAGTGCCGCAGCCATCCATATGGCTTCCGTACCCCATGGTTGAAATCTAAAATAAAACGGCATTGTAAACAAAGATCTTTCATTGTAAGTACTCACACGCACGTATGTATACACTACTTATACTTTTAAACGCACTTGTAGCACGCTACTGGTGCAAGGTCTAAATATGCATGCAAAACTATCGATTTTTTGTCCAGCGCCTCGGCAAACACGCGTTTACCGAAATTTTAAAATTAGAAATTCAACTTTCGCTGTCGCTTGCAACAAGCGAACCACGCCAATACACTCGTTGACGACTTGCGGCGCCGAAGAGGCAACAAGAACTTTGGAAACAAACGCACGCGCGCGCGCGCTGTTCCACTTTCGAGGAACGTGGTGGAACGCAAACCTTGAGGCAAGAATACTGGGCATTGGATCAAGAATTAATGCGGCCGACGATTGCAACACACCGCTGCATAATTATATCTTCAGACCACCTGTATACGTTTAAAACCATGCCATGCATGTGAATTCCAACAGGTACGTTATTGTTAACTTAGCGAGTAAATTAACGATGGTAATTTTCACACTTTTGCAAGAACAGTAAACAGTGAGCTCACGTGCAGAAGGTTGAATTCGTGAGTCAGAACGAATAGAATTCATTTAAAAAGGCGTGCACCAGTCGTAACAATAACATACTGTTAAGGTGTTACATAAAATAGTTGTTATATTGTTATCGAAACGACCACTCTTGCCCACGTTTATTGGTAGTATGCGGTACTAATATGAACCTTGTTTTTAATCTTCCTTACGCTTTTAAAGTATGACTTTTATTTTTTTATATGACTTACCAATTAAATGTGTAACCGTAGGTTAATTAAAAAACAAAATTCACTTGTGGAATATTACTAGCTGAAGAAGACGACGTTAAACGCGCGGATATAGAATAATATGCGCCGCGGACGCTTGCTTGAGTCGCACTGCATGTTGTTAGTTGTTTCGTTGATTTTGACCAATACCACATCGTGGTCCAAGGACTTTCATGTCCCCGCTCGCAGTTATTGCTCGAGTGCGAGAAAATTTCTTGGATTTCCGCGCTTGAATGTTCATAGGTTCTTATGAGTTGTTGAGTGTTAGCGTTTAGTTAGATGAAATTGAAATCTAATTGGCACACACGACAGGCAATGGAATGGTCAACTATGATAATAAAGTGATCTAGTGATCATCACTACTCAAACATGATTAATACTTAATTGCGTACTGCACTATGGTGTCATACTCAACAACTTTCACTTTACGTGTCATCCGATGTAATCATTATTACAACTGTTACTGCAGTTACCACAGAATGGATGATTTCTACTACTAGAAGGCCAACATAGGCTTAATGTTAATTGACTCCAATTACGGACGTTTGCTTTTCTTCAATAGCTCGTTTATATGTTAGGATTGCGTCGAATTGATTGCGCGTGGGCGTAGGAACAATATGTTTTGCAATGTGCTTTGAAAAATAAGATAACAAAACTTCCTTGCTGTTTGTTATGTATTGCGTATTTTTACAGATTTTCCACCCATTGCTATACTTATTTACTTAATAAAATAAGAGTATGTAAATGGTATGTAAATAATGCATTTATTTAAAACATTTTACTTTTCTTTTTCCCTTTGTGAAGGATTGATTTAAATTCCTCACGTCGGCTTTGACAATGCATTGATTAGTTTTCATTTATTGACTGAAATGCAGGGGCAAACAATTTGGAAAATATTTTACTAAAGAATGGTCAATCTCTTTTCTATTAAAAAATTATTTTTATAACAAGATTTTTTTAAATAATTTTCGGTCAAAAGAATAAAGTTGAACATTTTTATTTTATTTTTAAGGTCGAAGTTTAAGTTATTACATTGTAAGTACATATCTGAGAACTAAAACGGCTAGAAAAACAAGGATCCTACACTAGATCTTGGAAGTGAAATTCTCAAGAAGATTAAGCATATTACCCTAAATTGGTGTATTACTCCTAATATCAGAATGTTTCGTTTTCAACTCCACATGCTTATTGGTGTGAGGTACTCGTCTAAACAACTTTTTTGTCAAATGCTGTGAGCCAGTTTCATGCTTCCCTCGTGCTACGAACGTTCCAACGTTTCATTGTGTTGTTATTTGCACGCGGCTTGATCGTTTGTTCATTAAATACGACTGATTTTTACGAGTATTGCATAACATTTTATTAATTAATATCGACATAAATATCGGCAGTTAATGACAACAAATGTCTTCAGTGTTTTTGCAAATGATGAGTTACTTCCGTGAATTGTTGATAAACCTGTGTTTTACTTTCGATTATTTTGATGCCGATAATTGACCATGAATAGGTATCCTATTGATAAATTCCGCAAGTATAATTAACGCCTGTCGCCGACAGGATTTCACGGAATATTGTCAGTCATTCAGTCCGTTAAACGACGCAAACATCCTTAATAATATTATAAATGCAAGTATGTCCTGAAGTTTATCGTGCTTTCACGCAAAAACTACTTAACAGATCAATATGAAAAATTTGTACACATATTCTTAGTGGTCCCTGATAGGTTATAGGCTACTTTTTATTTAATAAAAATAATTATTTTTAAATTAAAATAAAGCAAAATTGTTTAGTCACTAACACCTCTGCATCTGGTTATTTGACTACTTTTAACGCCATCTAAAGCATTCCAGCAATGAAGCTCACACTCAAGTACTATAGCAATTATCACACTGTATTACCGACAGCTACGTCAACATCTCCAAATCCGTACACATATTCTTAGTGGTCCCCTGATGGTCCTGAATATTATAGGCTACTTTTTTATTTAATAAAAATATTTAAATAAAATAAAGAAATTGTTTAAATAATAATACCTCTGCACTACTAATTGACTACTTAACGCCATCTAGCATTCCACATCTAAAATTTAAACTTTATTGCATGTAGCAATTTTTCACATAGATAATCCTTGCCAAGCAGGAATATACATTCTTTCTATCAATCCGTTTCAACTATGTATAATGATTTCTAATATTTATTTGATGGATTCAACGCGAGCGAAGCCGCGGGATAAAGCTAGTACTTAATAAGTGTGCAGCATAATGCAAGTTCAAACACACGTGCTTTTTCTGTTTCAGTACTTTCTGTGATTACCCGATGAACCAGTAAGTTAATAAACATTCTTACATTACAATTTCTGCCTTAAATTAATATGGCTTTTCAATCTCGCTGCAGACTGTAAGGTTTGTACTGTCGATCGTGGGTTTTATTGAGCGTATTTTTCTTAGCACTCATTTTCTTTTGATTTCATAATTATGCAGTCGTGTTGACGTGTTTTAGTAAATCAACAATCAGTTATAAAAAGTAATATATTTATAGAAGACTATTTAAATTTACTTCCATGCGTATGTACGCTACTCGTACGCTTGTGCTTAGATGTACTGATTTTTTGGTAGTTTTGGGTGTCTAACGGGCGAACAGAAATGTCCTAGGACAACGATTTTTTTTTTTTTTATCAGATTGTGGTGAGTGAATTTGTGTTATCATTTACATTTTATAATTTGTGTGATAAACGCAGGAAACCTGCAAAAAGATAATTTTTGTTCTTCGATGTGTACTGATTTTTGGTAGTTTTCGGTGTCTAGCGGGCGAACAGATTGTCCTTGGACAACGATTTTTCATCAGATTGTAAAGTATTGAATTTGTATATCATTTACATTTATAATTTGTGTGATTAGCACACACGGGAATCCTGCAAAAGATAATTTTTGTGCTTTGACATTACTGACTTTATGTAGTTTTCGGTGTCTGGCGGGCAGATAAAGTAATATAGGAAAACGATTTTTATCAGATTGTAAGTATTGAATTTGGTTTATGTTTTCATAAATAATTTGTGTGATTAGCTTAGAGGGAAACATGCGAAAATGTCGGTTTTGTGCTTCAGGCTCATGCTTAATTTTTGTTGTTTTATACTTGGGTATCTATGGGCGAGAGAGGGAATGTCCTAGGACAACTTGATTCTTTCATCACATTACTTGAAGTAATGAATTTGTTTATCATTTTCATTGTAAATTGTGTGATTACCATACAGGAAACCTGTGAAATGGTCATTTTATTGCTTCGATATGCTAATTTTCGGTTGTTTTAGGTGTCTAGCCTTGGGCGATCGGAATGTCCTAGGACAACGATTCTTTCATCCGCATTGTAAGTATTGAATTTGTTTATCATTTTTCATTAATAAATTTGTGTGATTAACACAGGAAACCTTGAAATGTCATTTTTTATGCTTCGATATGCTAATTTTTGGTTGTTTTGGTTGTCTAGCGGGCGAACGGAATGTCCTAGGACAACGATTCTTTTATCATATTGTAAGTATTGAATTTGTTTAATATTTTCATAAATAAATTATGTGATTAGCACACAGGAAACCTGTGCAAATTTCATTTTTGTGCTTCGATATGCTAATTTTCGGTTGTTTTATGAGTAGATGTCTAGGGGGCGACCGGAATGTCCTAGGACAACGATTCTTTCGTCAGATTGTAAGCGACATTGTTTTTGTGCACTGAATTGCGGTGCGTAAGCATCACTTTTATACAACTCTTTGTATGTTTAACAACAACTTGTAAACATGATTGAATCGCATCGTATGCATGAAAGATGCCCCCAACTGCGGGTCGGTTATCAATCTGTCTTGCTTAGTTCGGCTTAGTCGGTTGAGCGCTGTTGCGAGTGCGCACGTGTTTTGTTCATTAATCAAACGTGGTGGCACTTTCTCGCGATTCTTGATATTTTGTAGCATTACTTAAATCGATTGACGATCAGGCGCATTTAGTAGTAACAGCCCACTGCGGTCAACGATTGATTTGAGTAATTCTATGCGGATCGCGCGTCCGTCGGATATGTTCCGGTGACTATGGATACTTACTGGAGTTAAATGAAGTTAAATTTATGTGTTTGACGTGAATATCTGCGTGGAATAGAATAGAAGTGTGTATCAACAATTATACATACAATTTCCAGGAAACGTGTTTGTGCGCTTAGTCCCTTATTGATATGTCACCATCAAGGGTCGGGAAGTGCCCTTAAATCTCTCTCAAACTACTGCAATATATGTCATTTTTGAAAAGTTGCTGTGGAAAATGGTCTGTAATTCGCGTTTTCTTGACTGGAATTTAATTCTGTTTGCTTCAGGTGATAGAAGATGAGTTTTTTAATCTTATGAACTTACATACAGTCACCCTCAAGGGTCGGAAAGTGCCCTTAAATCACTCTCAAACTTCAGCAATTTTTGTCATTTTTGAAAAGTTGCTGTGGAAAATGGTCTGTATCTCGCGTTTCCTTGACTGGATTTTAATTTTGTTTGCTTCAGGTGATAGAAGAAGAGTTCTTTAATCGTATGAACTATAGTCAGTCACCCTTAATGATCGGGAAGTGCCCTTAAATCATTCTCAAGTTCAGCAAGTTTTGTCATGTTTGAAAAGTTGTGGTGGAATACGGCCTGCATCTCACGTTTTAGTTACTCGATTTTAATAATTTTGAGTATCTGGAAGTATTAAATTAATCTCCAATTATTTGGTACTAGAAGTACCAAAACAGGCACTGCTTGCTATGCACCCATAGTAAGGATCTGTACGCGCGGGACTTGTATGTAAACAATTTTTTTGCTGCGTTCTGCGAACGTATCGCGCAATACTGATAGTGACCTCGTGTTGTCGCAGTTGGCTGTATGCATTTTGCTGCACACGCAATTCAATTCCGGGCGTCGAGTGTGGTGCGCGTGTCCTGTTACTTCAGATCATAATTAAGTAAATTGATTTATATTCATTAAGCAATCGACTGCATATACCAGAATCGGGGTTGACCGGGGTTTTACAAGCGTGAATGCATGCTGCTGTGTTTAACAATCGTGGATTAATTCTCGATTCACCTGTACGCGCGCGTCCGTCGGCATTCAGTTATCGCTTGGATATATAATTAATTCCAGCAAATGAACAACTTTGATGCCCAGACAAGTAGTTTGTGAATGCACGAATGGAGTTTGCAATATCTATAGGTGAAGTGTTGGAGATGTGAGTGTTTAAGGCAAGTTTTTACTACTTCCGAATTTGCTAACTGTCGATATTTGTCTATTTAAGAAAAATGTATCTATTATTATTGTTGTCAATAAAACTCACGGTAAAATTATAATCTCATGCATATTTCTTTGTGGTATTCCCTGTGCCGTTTTCAGTATTGACGTCTTGAGTCATATTGCATATAAATCTTATGCGCGTGGAGCGAGCGGAACATAGCTGCGGCTTGTGTTGTTATTTTTAAAAATTGAAACATAAATAGAAGAATCAAACAACAGTGATAAGAGCACTCGGTGGTCGAGTGGAAACGTGCACCTGCTGGCATGCTGGCAGACACGGATCGAATCTCAGCTATAGAAGGCATTTTTCTCAAACATAAAAATATCAGGTGTAATTTGGGTTGCATACATGAATTGCAACGAAATATAAGAGAAATTGAAATTCAAGTGAAGGCAATAAGAGAAGTAAGAAAGTAAGTGGAGAAATAGGAGAAGTAGAAGAAGGAATAGTAGAGAAGAGTAGAAAAGAGAACAGAGAGTGGAGAAAAGAGGGAGGAGATAGAAGAATGAGCAACAGGAGCGGATCAGATTTTTAAATTTTTAAGGCAAAATGTCCACACGACAGTGTGTACAGTGTACAGTGACAGTTCATCAGGTGTCGATAAAGTGTCCACGTTCCCGGCCCATCCTGCCATGATGTCTCTGCGCTTCATCCCCAGGATTTCAGGGCATATCAACAATTTTAATGGTGGGGGATCACCCCCAGAGAGAGGTGGAACCCTAGTATGACAATCCTATATAGTCTTGTTCAAATATTTCTAAGTTTAAGCCGCTTCCAAGAGAGGTGACACTAAAAATATTCTTACAAGTTCTGACCTGTATTGCCGAAAGAAGAAGCAATAATAACCCACAAGATAAATTTTAACAATTTTATAGTGGGGATCATCCCCTGGAGAGAGGGAACTCTTAGAGACCTGTTCCAAATGATATAGAAGGGCAATAAATCAAAGAAGTCAATATATCTTTACTATTTATTTATTAGCAATAGAATACAAGTTTATATTTTACAAGTCAACAGGATACGTGCTGCCATATTGAAGCCAAACTTACGACCTGCATAGCCGCGCACATGCCAGCAAGTACTACTTCATAAAGTTCTGCCGGAATAATGAAATTAGTACATAGTCAATTTTCTAGGTGATTGGAAACAAATATACAGGATGTTACAAAAAGAAAATTTAAAGTGCAAACAAAAAACTCTCAACACTACAAACGCCGCTCACTCGACAATCAGAGAAACTAATATACAGGGTGTTCCAAAAAGAACATTCGAAGTGCAAAGGGGACAATACTAAAAACCACACTTAAAGCAAAATTTTCGCAGAGACAAAGGAAAACATATATACAAGGTGTTCTAGAAAGAAAATCCCATCAATCAAAACATAGCACACTCAAAACTCACAACTAAAGGTGATTTCCTACGTGCTGTTAGGAAAACTAATATACAGGGTGTTAAAAAAAACTAGAAACTACAAAGGGAGTCCATATTCACAATATGAAGAGGGACAAAATTTACTACAATATTTTAATATAAAATGAGAGATTTTACCAGAAAATCATCGGACAATTGAGCAAAAAGGTGCTACAAAATTAAAACACTAACATTTTAATATATTGTGAATATATATTTATTAATTGATGGTAGCATCAATTGTATAAGCATCATAATAAATTGATAGAATATCTGGCGGAAAACACCTAAATCTACAGACGGCAAGCGACGGCGCCTAGCAACACAGTGGTTAAAGATGATAAAAATAAAATAACAATTTCTTTATAAATATTAAGATATACTGAGACTACGAAAACGAAAAACTGTTCACGGTTCAAGATTTTATTTAAACAATAAATTATTAATTTAATGATGCAATTCGATTAAAAATGTTTACGTGATCATCGAAAACATGACCGAACCGACGTCAGACGGCAAAGTAAGCGTGGTCGACCACATGAATATTGTCATTTCAATAATCCTCAGATAATTTTAAAAACCGTGTTTGTAATAATTAAATGAAGCATGTTATTTTCGGAAACGCGACTAGGAAGAATTCTGATAAAAATGGCACCACGTGTTTGTAATCTACAAAATTAATATCCGTCAAATTAAATAATTAATTTAAGTTAAACCGTCTTTAACTTTCCGCGATAAATTTTAATTATCCACCAACCTGTGCAATTGATGTGAGATTTTCTATCCTGGAAATATATTCTATCAACTGAAAACTCGCGCAGGGATTAACGAACACTTATTTCTCAATTTAAGAGGACCTCAACGCTATAAATCATTAAACAAAAAATAGCAAGTACTACATCTTCATTGCGAATATTTTGACGATGACCGAAAAGAATACACGACGATTAATACAATTAAAACCTCAAAACGCATGGCGATTAGAGACACGTTTGCGACCACGCGGTGAAACGACCGCCGTGTGCACGACGCGCAGTAAGGCAGGTACACAGCGACAACACGTCAGCCGAACAAAAAAGTTGTTTATACACAAACGTACTAATAAACACGTAGTTGAGACGACGAAACGTAAAATTTCAATATTGAAATTGCACATATACACGGAATCTACTTATACAAATAAATAATTTTATTGTCTTCGTAAAGCTTACTGCACCTTATGATACTCACAATTGTGTTCACAATATCGCGCCTAAATTAAATATTCACTAAATGGGCAAAGGGAGTAAAGCTGCATCATATTTTTTTTGAGTATTTTTAGCGACCAAGGGTTTGAAGATTATGAAACTTTGGGAAATTCTCCATCAGATAAAAGTATAAAACAATAAAAATTTCCTGGCTAAAATGTCCAAAAATCAATTCTATATTTTATCATCATGACTCACTTCTACCACAATTTTGTACGGTGCCCTGAATCGAGTCTCTTCTACTCACTACCTTCGTGCGGTGCCCTGAATCGAGTCTCTTGTACCGCTACCTTCGTGCGGTGCCCTGGAACACGAGTCACTTCTACCGCTAACCTTCGGAGTTCGAAAACAATATAATAACATTTAAAGAGAAAATGCAAAAATCTAAGTAGGGAAACACAGTCCAAGTAAAAATCAAAGGAAAATTAATATTCAGGTGATGTAAAGAGAAACGATAAAATTAAATGTAAAATGCCCAAACACCAATAAATATGGTCTATTAAATAATAAGGAAAATATATCTACCGGGTGATACACAAAAGAAAAATTAAGATTTAAGCAGGAAAACGGATGGAAACAATTAACAAGGCGACCATAACAAGATAATATGAGAAGGAAGCCATCGGAATTTTAAAAATCAAAAATGTTTAGACCGAAATCAAAGAAAAGTGAAAACTAAGAAAAACATAAAAAATAAATATTTTAAAAATTCGTATTTTCTTTGGATATGAAGGAAAGTGACGAGTTGATATTATAAAAATAAAGCACAAAGCAGAATTTATTTAAATCATGTAAAATAAACCAGCGACCAGCCCGGATAGCCGCCAGAGGATCAAGAACGCAGCCGACGGCATGCGACTATCTTAATCTTTTTGATTTGTACATTAAACAAAAACAAAACAAGGTATCAAATACGAAATCTAAATCAACTTTATTGAAACAGAGACAAAAATTATTAGTAGGTTTAAAGACCACACAGTTAAGGTAAAAACAAGTAAAGGCAATAATGGATTTGATTTTCAAATGGTTTAAGAAATGCGAGAACATACCTTGATGCAAAATTAATTTTTGCGCTTTTGGCCTATCCAATAAATTGTAAGGACCTTAATTATGTACATTGTAGAAATTATGAAATACGCGTATCATACAAAAAGAGTATCCGACGACTGACGGAACATCACACACGCTTTACCTCTGCGTGTGTACAATCCGCGCACGAACGCCGCACAACACTCGCGCACATTCGATGGAGCATTCAGAAACAGTACGTAATAACGCAACAAAAAATTACGGAACTCAAAATATTGCAAAGAAAATGTGCGTCCAGATCACCTGACGACAAAAATGAGACTAATGTCGTACGCACGTCAACCGCGCGGCGACCGCACAAAACTGCAAGAGATAAAGAAACTTGTTTGTTTGTAAACACTGATACTTTCAGTGTGGTAGTGCAGAACATGAGAAGAATTGTACTATGCATGGAACTATTCATTTTTATTAAATTCTTAATCGGATTCTGATAGATAATTTAATTCTACACAGTTTTAGTAACTAACATTAACCGTTTAGACCCTATTTACAATTTTAGAGAAAAATGCATTCGTTTTCGTAGACTTTTTGTTCTTGACATAATCGCTAAAAAATTCGACTCTGTTCTTTGACCGAAAAATATTTTAACACAATAGTTCGATTCTGTTTTTCGATCAAAAAAATTTTAACAAAAAAATTCGACCGAAAAATTTTAAGTAAAAAAGTTCGATTGTTTTTCGACCGAATAAATTTTGACAAAAAATTCGACCGAAAAAATTTTAAGTAAAAAAGTTCGACCCTGTTCTTCGCCCTAAAAAATTATTAAAAAAAGTTCGACCCTGTTATTCGACCAAAAATGAAATATATTGGGCAAAAATAGCGATACTCGAATGAGATTTTAAGACACTTCCAAAGGGTTTATAGGGTTAAAAAGGTATGAATAGTGTAAAGGGTCTCTCGAACTTTAACATGACGATAAGAAACTTCAAGAAAATCAGTTCACGTGATACAAGGTGTTTTTCACACCATGTTTTCAAATTTTCCTAAAATTTGCTCATTTTTGAAGAGCATTTTAGGGCATTTCCGAAAGGGCTGGAAGGTATAAAGAGTATGCATCGTGTAGACAAACTCCCTGACTCTCTTCTGGCGTGGAGAAACTAGAAAATAGTCAATTTGTTTACGAGATACAGGGTGTTTTCCACACTATGTTTACAAATTTTTCTAAAATTGCTAATTTTTTAAGGGCATTTTAGGGCCCTTCCAAAAGGGCTGGAAGGTTGAAAAGGTATGCATCGTGTAGACAAACTCCCTGACTTTATTCTGGCGTGCAGAAACTCAAAGAAAGTCAATTTGTTTTGGAGATACAGGATGTTTTCTACCTCCTCTTTACAAATTTTCCTTAAAATGCTGATTTTTGAAGGCATTTTAAGGCACTTCCGGAAGGGCTGGATGGTTGAAAGGGTATTCATCGTGTAGAGGAACTCCCTAACTCTATTTTGGCGTGGAGAAACTCAAAGAAAATCTATTAATTCACTAGATACAGGGTGTTTCCCACACCATGTTTTCAAATTTTTCTAAAATTGCTCATTTTTGAAGGGCATTTTAAGGCACTTCCGGAAGGAGTGAATGGTTGAAAGGGTATTCGTCGAGTAGAGGAACTCCCTAACTCTATTCTGGCGTGGAGAAACTCTAAGAAAGTCAATTAGTTCACTAAATACAGGGTGTTTACCACAACATGTTTTCAAATTTTCCTAAAATTGTACATTTTTGTAGGGCATTTTGGGGCTCTTCCAAAAAGGCTGGTATGTAGGAGGGGTATGCATCTTGTAGAGGAACTCTCCCGCTCTAACAATTTTATTTTTTAATGTACTCTTCATACATGGCAACAAGGCTAGCAGGCGTTCTAGGAGTGATTAGCAATAAAGCTTTATCAAAATGTCTGCTTTCTACAAACTCAACAGCTATATCTTCTTCAAGTGCTGCCATAGCTGCTTCATGGCAAATTGCATTAATTTCCGCCCCAGAAAATCCCACAGTTCTTCCTACCAGATCATCAATATCCACGTTCTTCACCGGCATTTTATCCAGTTTAATCTTGAAAATATCACGTCGTGTTTCCTCGTTCGGCAAAGGCACATAAACAATCCTGTCTAGGCGGCCCGGGCGTAAAAGAGCATTATCAATACGATCCGGTCTGTTAGTCGCAGCCAAAATCATTACATCTCCTAGTGATGAAACTCCGTCTAATTCAGTAAGCAACTGAGCCAATACTCTTTCCTGAACGCTACTTGACCCACTCGCAGATCTCTCACCTCCTAAAGCGTCAATTTCATCAAAAAATATAATTGACGGTGCCACTTGTCTCGCTTTTCGGAAAACATCCCGAATTGCTTTCTCGGATTCACCAACCCATTTACTGAACAACTCAGGACCTTTAATAGCCAAGAAATTCAAACCACTTTCAGTTGCGAGCGCTTTCGCAATCATAGTTTTCGAACATCCGGGTGGACCAAACATCAACACTCCTCTTGGCGGCTTTATCCCTAACCGAATAAAACTATCAGAATGCTTAAGCGGCCATTCCACACACTGCTTCAAAATCAGTTTCAGCCTCTCTTGACCACCAATATCGCCCCATTTTACATTCGGCACTTCAATTTGTACCTCACGCATCGCGCTGGGACGAACTTTCGTGAGCGCATAACGGAAATCTTCATAACACAGCTTCTCTTGAGAAGAATGAGTTGCTGCAGTAGCACACAAAGATATAAGATCAGCACCAACAAAGCCATGTGTTTCATAAGCTACTTGTTTCAATGTGTTATCATCACAATTGGCCCCAAGTAAAAGTTCTAAAATATCCAATCTATAAACACATAAGAACATAAATTAAATCGATTAAATGAAAAATTATAATAATTAATGGCGTACCTTCCAATCGGATTTGGAATAGGAATCTCAATTTCTCTATCGAATCGTCCGCACCTTCGAAAAGCTGGATCAACGGCATCTAATCTATTTGTAGTACCAAGTACAAATATTTTACTATCATCATTTAATAAAGTATCCAATTCGCTGAGTACACAAGACACAATTCGCTTTTCAGATTCGGTAATCCGTGAAGTTCTATTCGCGCACAATAATTCGATTTCGTCAATTAAAATAATACAAGGTGCGGAACTTCGTGCATCTTTGAATAGTTTCTTTAAATTCTCTTCAACATTGCCGGAATATTTGCTGTACAAGTCAGTGGAGTTAACTTCAATCACATTTGCACAAGCAGTACTAGCTAAAGCTTTAGCTAAATGTGTTTTGCCAGTGCCAGACTGTCCAAAAAGTAATACACCTTTACATGACTTGATAAATTTCTTCTTATTGCATAATAATGCATTATCCAACAAAGATTTAATTTCTTCTATTTCATTCTTTAAACCACCCAATGTACTCAGTAGGTATTGCACTGGTTTAGTCTCAGCTTGAAATTCTTCTTCATCCCTAACATGATGTTTTATTATTAGTAGAATGTGGTATTTTACAATAATCCTAAATTATTTACTCACTTGTATAATAAAACTTGAGTTTTATCTGTTAGTAAATAAAAGTGATTGGTTTCTGATAGATTTAATTGATTAAAATCCTCAACTAAATCTTCATCATTATTTTTATCTGAAGTAATTAGTTTAACATCTATTTTCAGTTGTTTTCCAAAGTATAAAAGTGTTAAACAACTTCCTTCTGTCACACATCTACCAATAAATTGATTTTTAAGTCTTAATTTTAGTTCATTTGTTATTTCCATTGTTTTGGCTGCATTTGTAAACAGTAAATAAACTGATTTTGCAGTTTGATTTGTTTTGTATTTGTTTATTGATAAAACCATATTATTTTTGAGTGCATTGTTATCCATAGCTTAAAAATAAAACTGTATTAAATAGAATAATTTTATTATTCAAATATATTTACCATTCTTTGTTAAAAGTACTGTAACAACTGATTTTTCTGCAGTGGGCCAAGCATTTCCTATGAAGGCATTAGCTTGGCCAATTTGCTTGACCAAAACAGTATCACCAATGGCAATGCTACATATTTTCATTGCAGATTGACTCATAAAGACCAAAGAATCTTTTTGTTCCTCTGTTAATCCTTTTATCATATCATTGGATTTAGTATCTAATTTACCATACAACGTTTTATCCAAAATGAAACTGTGTCTTGGGTCATCTATGCTTGGTGGACAATCATTTGAATGCAGCTCAACTTCTTTGGATGATATTGAAGCAGAACATTGTTCACATAATGCCCATGCGTTCGGTGCTGATTTACCTTTCGGGGTAGTCATTTTTTTCGCCATTCTAAGGACTAAGAAGAAATTGTTAAACTGAACGCAAATATCCCAATTTCACAACAATCCAACGTGCAATACTAAGGTTAAGTTATGTTATGTTGCGACTCCTTGTGCAAAGTTTTTAAAATAAACATTTAACTTTGCAAATAAAGATTTATATATTTTGTAAATTCAAATATAATTCAGTTAAGAGTTACATTAGTACATGGTTTAATAAATTTTAGTTTAAAAATTTCTTACGCCCTTTAATTTTCAATCGTGAATATTCGTAAAACTTGTCAAAAATTACATCTGTACATAAATATTGTACATAACCCCAACGTTTCTGGTTGCTCTTGCCATTTTTGGAGTAAATCCCGAAGAGTTTAGATGTGCGGACGATCGCACATGTTAACACGTGCTTAACCGATAAAATAATCAATTAAACATGGAACAAAAATCAGATACCTCCTATTTAAGGAGTTTACTGTCTAGCCCTGCTAGACATGCAACTCCAGCTGTGCCTATACCAGATTGGTCCACACCGACCACTTCTGGCATATCCAGTATGGGCCCCCCTGCTGTAAGTTACTGTTAATAAATATCTACATTAAAAAACAATTACTTAAGTATATGCTTATAGGCTGTTACACCTAAAGCTGCTTCACAAATGATGGTTCTTACTCCGGGCTCTGGAGTAGGTGATCCACACACAAATATTACTTTACAGTAAGTTATACTTATAAAATAATATATAAAATTAATAATTCAAATTTTAGAAATTGTGTTGCAACCCTAGACTTGGGCTGTGAACTGAATTTAATGTCAATTAATTTTCGCACACGAAATTCCGAATATAATCCCGCACGTTTCAATGGCGTTATAATGCGTATCAGGGAGCCAAGAACAACAGCCTTAATTTTCAGATCAGGTAAAATTGTATGCACCGGTGCCCGTAACGAACATGACGCTCTTTTGGCAGCTAAAAAATTTGCCAGGATAATACAAAAACTTAATTTTCAGGCAAGTATTACTTGTGGTTACAATGAATTCAAAATAATTTTCCATATGCTTGTTTCTAGGTGAAATTTACTAAGTTTAAGGTACAAAATCTTGTAGCTACTTGTGATCTTCGATTTCCAATTAAGTTAGAGAATTTAAATCAAATGCATGGACAATTTAGCAGGTAAAGTTCAATTTTTAATAATGTGATCAACAAGTTGTAAATTAAACAAATGTTTTACGATTCCAGTTATGAACCTGAACTATTCCCCGCATTAATTTATAGAATGGTGAAGCCACGGCTAGTAATGTTAATATTTGTTAATGGTAAAATTGTATTTACCGGCGCTAAAACACGAAATGAAATAAAGGAAGCATTAGATAATATATTTCCAATACTTAGGAGTTTTAGGAAGAATTAGTTTTTTTATTGCATTTATTAAGTATAACTACCAATGTGTTTATAAGTTGGTACTTTTTTAATTTATTGAGTTGTATTAATTTTGTACATAATATCTTTAATAAAGCAATTTTGATCACAATGATTTAATCCCTTTATTTTTCATTTCCCATCATAGATTTTCATCAGAAAGTAATAAATTTACGCAAAACAACACTAAACCTGTCAGTAATAAATTGCATAACTCAATTTCTAAATAAGAACGTGCCTCAGGTTTTGCATAGACCTGAGAGACGAAGATTAGTGAGTTATTTCCACTTATGTCGACTTACTCAAGAAGAAACATTAATTTGCGCGCAAAACGTAAATATATCTCCCGAGATTCTTCGAGATGGGAGGTTTATTGAGGTTCAAGCAGAAAGCAGATACGAAAATTACTTTTTACTCTAATGCTTACTCATACTTCGTTTTATTTTTCTGATTGCCTTCAGTTATGTAAAAACATTCAACGTTATTCTTTTTTTTTCTAGAAATAGAATTGGTACACTGACAAATAAACAAATAACATATTGCATATGAAGTAAAAACGATATTCAGGTAGCTAAATGTCTCTTCTTGTAATGATAATCCGGCAGGTTCACCTTTATAAAGCATCTGCGTTGTTTAGTGGCTGGCATATCGGATTTATGCTGAAATGTCAAAGGTTACAGCAAAGCCTGGATGGAGGATGGACCGAAACCAGTTACCTGAGCAACATAATGTTGTTATATTCAAAATCAATACATAATAAAAATATACTGCTAATACTTAATTTTTCTTCCTTTATTCAAACTAACAGACAACAAAATTTATAAATATAACTATAATGAACAAATTTAATCAAAATAATTAATTTTACATCGTTTAACTCCTTTGGGATTTGTGTACAGATTGTTATAATCTGATAAATTTCTTGAAAACATTCAGTCAATGATGATAAAGTTGTATGTATAGAATGCGAGGCCCTAGCAACAGCCAGCCAGGGTAGTGCGCTACGGTCACCGACCCTACCTCACTCGGAAATCGCTTGCAAGTTGCATTCATCGAATGACCCACATTTCCGCAAAGCTTCATCGACTCACACCCACAACTCGCACCTACACCTGTGCATTGACAACTCAACCCCTGCTGCAATGCACACGTGCGCGGCGCGAAAGGAAAAAAGTTCAGAAAACGTTCCATTTTGGTTGCTTAGCAGCGTATGCCACCGCCACCAGACAATCACGCTGCCAACAAGGCATGCCAAGTCGGCGTGTGGAAAATTAGGTCATTGAACGTATATTACGTGTCGAGGGGTAGTGCAGGTGTGGGTGGAAGGTGAAAACAGCGCATTTCCTCACTTTTCACAACACATATTGCATGATCCACATCGCGTTACGTGTCTGTCGGTCAAAAACTGATTTTGAATCGATTTTAATTCTGATCGAAGGACAGGATACTGAAATATTGATAATAAACAAAGGAATAGCACACGCAGTAATTGATTTTGCCATTTATTCAGTCAATAATCAATCATACAATAATTTCAGTTAGGTAATGTTAGAATCAATAATCAATTGATAATAGTATATACAATAATGTTAAATATTTTATCGAATTGATAAGGAATGCTATCTACTTATTTATGTATACGCAAAAGACGTTTGAGTTCGCCTCAGTTGAGTTAGCCACACCAACAACATAACAAGAAATCAATAACCAGTAAGTTCAATATTTTAACAGTCTTTGGAAGTTACGCAAACATGATTTATATTATCAGAAAATGCAGCAAGTATTGAATCTAGATGCGTATGCTAATTCTAGTAAGACAACATCGTATATCAGCGCAACTATCGTATATATATCTAATTTTGCACAACGATATTGAATATGCAGTAGTATGTATTTTACTAAGTTATCAAAATATAGTTCATATATATACATTCGATATAAAATTAAGGGGATATGTACAACATTGTCACGAAGAGTTCTGCAGCACTTTTTTGAGTGAATAATACGTTGAAATAATGGCGCAAAAGCAAACTTATAGCCTTAGTAATATTGTTAGTTAATGTCATTCTAAGGTACTCTGTTTTCATATTTTTCTTGTATCAATTGGACGAACAGTTTACGCGTAAAGAAATTTTGATCTTTTTTTCTGCACAAAATCTAGAAAAATATCTATTTTTACCTAAGTTCTAGTTCATGCGGAAGAACAGTTGCCGAGAGTTATGAAAGCATACTATTTCCTACACGGAAGGTTAGTTAGTACATAGCAGCATGCTTGAAGGGTTGTTTTAAAGCTTTCCCAAAAATGTCAACACACCGCGTTTCAATAATACAGAAAATAACGATCGATAAAAGTGGTTTTTGTACTTTATACTCGCTCATTCTCTTTGAACTGTGATTAAATCTCGTTATTGTGTTTTTTCTTTGATTCCTGTATCGAAATATTGACGTACATCCCATTTAGCACCATTACCATTCTTTCCTTTAGGACCAAAATCATCGATAAACATCAATTCGGATTTTTAATAAATGTACCGATAATAATCACGGCTGTTTTGTTAAAAAAAACAGAGGATTTTAATTTAATAAAACATTAAAATGTCACCGTGACTATATGTTATTCTTTTGAGTAAAAACAAAATGGTGGTTTTAATTTAGACAATGAACTACTTATTACAGCACAGTCCTTTGTTTCTCTTTGATATCACAGATGCGATGTCTGTAATCTTGTACGAAAGAAACCGAACATATTGACAACTCTGTATATTTCAGTACATAGAGAAGAACACTCACACATATTTCGATGCAAACCAAACGAAACGCGAATTCGATAGAATCGGAAAGATTGATTGACGTTTAGCATTTAGGTTGCCTATCTAATAGAGAACAGCGCCATGACGAGAACTGTGCAATGTTTTTTTATCTTCATTTAATATTGTTTAAATACCTGGAGACCCTCTGTTGCAAACGATAATTGATCGACAAACAAACAACGAAATATTTAATTAATGCCAGCACATTTTCTACTACCGATCAGTTCGTGATATCCTCTTTTGTGATCACCCTTGCCTGCTTCTAGTTTTGTAATAAATCTCTATCAATCAGTCTTAAAAATCAATACATAGACGTATAGTACATGTATACCGTGTACAATATGTTTGTGTGCATCATATACGTACATAGCTTCGTCAGTAATTAACAGTGTGTGTGTTAATCATTTATTCGTGCTTCTTGAGTACGGAGAGCTGACGAGTGAGGCTGTCCTCGCTGGAAATGATGCGCTTACGCATCACCGGCTTGACTGCAACGCTGTCGGCCTGTAAATCAAAAAGCGAGGATATAACGTCCGGGTCCTACCTCAACCGCGGAAATTTTGGCATCGTGCCAATGTAGTTTATGTCTATCTATAGTCGGCGTCACTAGTCTGCGCCACTACGTGCGGAGTGTGAGAAAATCGAAACATGAATGAAATGCTATATAATCACCTTTTCTAAACTCTTCTCCATGTCCAGCATGTGTTTGATAGTGTCATAAACTGATGGTTGTCTAGGCCTGTCCTTCTTGTAGACATCATTAACAACAGGAGCGAATAAATGTTTAACTGGAGCTGCAGGCCGCGGAAGGACAACTTCTTTCTGTCCACGTTGAGTTTTCTTCGATGTGAAACCATTCGTAACCGTAGTGGTTGTACTCGGGGTTATTGTAGGCTTCACCGTCGGTTTTCTATCATCGCGATCCGTGAACCATTGAAGGTGACCATCAACAGAGCGTTTCTTCTCGTTAAAGTCCGAATCAAAGAATTCGTTTGACTTTTTATTTGAACCTTTCTGGAACCAACTCCAACGATCGTCTGGCTTGACTTGTTTCTGTTTGTTTTCAACCAAACTCTTGAGTTCCAGTTCATCCTCATCGCCGGAATCGAAATATGTAGATTTACTCTTGGGTGGATATTCATCGACCTTCCCGTAGACGTCATCATCGCTGTCGAGTGAATCTTTATACATCTGTGACATGATTAAATTATTCAGAAAGGCAGCGTTGACGTCATTGTAGTAGTTCTCGTCCGTAGACGAGTTGGCATCATCCTCGAAATACGTCTCCTGACCAATCGGTTGCGCATCCTCGCGTTGTTTGCGCTCGGCATCATGTATCATTTCTTCTTCGATATCGACGATGGGATCCGCGTCTTCATATCCGTAGTAACCGAAACCGGTACGCATCAACGGCCTGTCGTAGTAGTAAGGCAGGACGGCTTGATATACCTCATACTTGGAGGTGCGCGGATAGTAGACCGGGTATGACATCGGCTCATAGTAGTACTCCTCCGGGTAGGTCTGGCTATAGGGATACATTTCGTAGTAATTCATTGGATATCTCTGGGAGCGTAGGTAAGGACTCGCTTGGTAAGAGCGTTGTAGTCGGCCATACCTTTTCGCGCCATAGGCAGTCGGATATGAGTGCGATGGCGAACACAGAATCACCAGCACTTGAAGCAGCGGCAGTAACTTAACAGCAATCTGCGGACAAGACACCGAATTAGGGCATAAGGGCTGACCTAGTTCTCTAACTTCTCTGAGTCAACAGGTTATTACTCCGAACAATTTTATTTTACCGCAAATATATATAAAAATAACTTACCATTTTTTATTTCGATGATAAAAACTTTTTTCACTTTTTTTCGCGTTGATGTAACAGGTTTTATCACTTCACAAGCACAATCTTTGCGGATTAATTTAATACGTGAATTGAGTTGCACGTCACAACGTTGAAGAGCGCAAATGCGTCGCGACGCCGATCCACTGCTATTTATAACTTCCTCGTGCGCCATCCCCGCCATCATCGGCCCACACGTTATCAATGAACTTAGTGTCTTAGTGGGGGCGGCAGGTTTGAAACTGCGACAGTGACTCGCGATTGGCGGCTTGCGGTACGGCGAAGGTTCTCATTGGATTGCGACGTTATTGATCGGCGGCTTGGATCAATTGTTGCGACATGGCGCAGAATCAGTCCGGGCTTCTTTACCTTTCAAGCTGGCGTCTCGTTTGCCTACCCGCCTACCCAAAACATGCACGGTTCCTTTGTTGCACGCGTCCTTTTTGCTTATCCTGCACGTTGTTACTACGCGTGGTGGGAGACCATTTCATTCATAAGTTGCGGCTGCTTGGATCCCAGACTCGATCGAAATTTTCTACGTCACGATGAGCCGATGTAGTTTGCCTCTGCTCGGTTCTTCTGTTTCATTCGAACATGGAACATACCATTCTGGTACAGTTCACTTAGAAAATGGGTATGTGCCACATAATCTAAATTTAGAATACGATTAAATATAGTTAGCACCGACTTGATGAGTAATTTCTTCATGGAATTACTGATACTTTCGGGATACGTAGAAGCGCTATGAATTTATAACGATATTATTAAAGTTTAAAAATAAACGTAAACTGAACCGTTTGCCATCAAACATGTTTATTTTTTTATGAGAGAACTTGAGTACAACAGGTGCCAGCCGTCTATTATTAGATTAACTGCGTAGGTACTATGTCATTTAGTATGTTGTCGTTGTGTAAATCAATAGTGAGTAATAAGTTGGGTTTTATGCTATTGATAGAATATGAACTTTAATGGAATGCTACTTCACATTTTCGCAATTTAGGTTACGCTTGTTTTAGTACCAAAGCTGTAGGGTGATGGTAATTAAATTATGAGTGGAAAGTGAAGCATCCATTTGCTTCCATTATGACATAACAAAGATGGAGGAGAATGCAATATCATGGAATTACTAAGTTGAAGAACGAAAATTTCATATTGCAACATAAATAAGCTTCAAAAGTGCTTAAATCTCAGAATTATGTGTTTTTGGTTGCATAACTAATAGTTAATATGTAATCATTTTAAAATAGCTCCTAATTAAGGTTATATTTAGATCTCAAATGTATACTATAATAAATTATACATTTAAACGTATATGGTTTTTATTAATCACTTTGCGGTATAAAAAAATAAAACCATTTATTCAATTACTACTTATTTAGTGAGATTTTTAAGAAATGATTAGAACAAACAGTTAAATTCGTGTGTAACTAATTAACCACAATATTTTCAATATTATAAATAAACAAAATATTACAATTAATTTTTGAAGCTTTTCACCAACAAAATTGGCAATAAATGTCAAAGTTTCACTTTATAAAATAATGAAATTGATAAATTTAAAGTCCACATTATCCAAATATAAAATTCAATTATTTTTATGGAAGGCCAATCAAAATGCGAATTGTAACGCATTTACCAACGTAAATCCCTTTATCTGCATCTAGTTTTTATTTATTCATAGAGGAGATAAAAGAGATAGTCGTAATACTCAGCCCACGCATTTTACTGCAAAACTTCCTGATGTTTTAAATAAAATAATAATTGCTGCAGGCGCATGTATAATAAATACATAATTCAGATGCTGTAAAATGAGAAAATGTTTGTAATTTTCCTGTAACCCAAAAGGTTACGTATCCTTTGTATATCTGTGCTGAGAGAAATAAAATGCGCTCACGTCGCTTGCGTTGGAGAAAACTGTCATTTATGCACGCGCGCACAATTTTAATACCACCTGAACTGTCCTGCTGCATTCGACTGATAGATTATATTGAACTTGTAATTAGTTATGCAGAAAATATCGAACTGCGTGTTGACATTACTGTGATATTATGTGATCAGAATTAATATCTTCATTTAAATTTAATTTTATTTGGATAGTTAATATTTGATACGTGAATACGTGAAAAACATATGAATTAAATATTAACTATATTTATTAGATGATTAATTATGAAAAACATGCTTATTGACACTTGAAAGTGAATGTATAGTGTTTTATGTGCCGTTATTTCGTTGTTGATTAATGAGAATATGACGATGATTGGTTCAGGAGGTTTGTTTACAGGACTTGTTTGTGGAGTTAGTGAAATTTGTCTGTGTGCGCGGGTGGGCCCGGGACCGCGAGCATGCGGGGGCGGCAGCTACGTCTAGGCTTGGTGGATGTATAATGTTTGCATGTTTTCAAAGACACATATGTCTCCATTAAAATAATATACAAAGTTGATGTATTGCTATAAAACCAACGTTTTTTTTCAATTTGCAATAAAATTATTTGTTTTTTTCAATAGTTTAATACTAAATAAACAAATTGAAGATAGAATAAACATAGATATAAATTGCTACTATATTTAATTGTATTTGCATTAGCATTTAATTAACTCAAACACTCCAAGGACCTTGTTGGCTGGAATAACAAATCGAATCGGACATCGCTGATCGTTTTTGCAAAGCACGGCGTTCGTGGGCAGCTCGATTCTAAAAATAAAACGGGGCTTGTTGTGCTTTGCTTCCATTCGGTTTCCTTCTTTAACAAGTGATAGCAAGTCTCACCAAAACACACGATGCGTGCTGAAGTTCGCAAGTCGTCCGTGTCGCGACTGCCAGGAGCCACGGCGAACATTTCGAAAACAACAGGACGAACGAGAACGACGAACAAAATTAATACGATTAAATAAATACATCAACGAAGAAAATAAGGAAGAAAAATTGCGAGACTACATGAATTTTTATTACATTTATTTTCCAAGAAGGAATGCATTTAAATGAATTATAAAAAAAGTGTTTAACTTGACCGCAAAGAAATAAATTTCCATCTGTTGCAAATGTGTGAATGAATTTCGGGGCAAAGGAGAGGGTCGTGTCTAAAAATAGCTCGCTGAGCTTCTCGGTTGCCTCTCGTTAGCAATATGTGGTTGCGCAGACTGGGAGCGCCGAAAAACTTCGATCGCTCCAGAGAGATGCCGAGCATCCTCCTGTGGCGCGCCCCGAATGCTGCAGGAAGCTAGGACACCCACGCGCCGCCCGGCGCCGTCGCAAAAACGAATCGAGGGCGCGCGCGCCCGCGCGGGTTGAGGCCCTCCACGTTGTCGGCGGCGGCGGCGGCCGCGTTGAGAGAGGTCAAACATTTAAGCGCCCACGCGTTTACGCCGCAAGCATTACGAGTGCTTTATTATTTAACACGTACCGGCTGTTGTGCGCTGTCAAATAATACACAATCCCTAAAACTTTTAACGACGGATAGGGCATATGTTAGGTTAGGATCTGATTTGCAATTAATTATTATAAACCATGAACACGACCGCTTGAAAAAGTTTACTTCAATAATATAATAGCTTCTCAACAGGGAGATAAAATATGAACTTATAATCTATCTATTTAACTATTAATTAGTTTTTAGTTTTTGCGCCAAATCGCAAATCGATTTGTGGTTCGCTTGTCGTAGTCACAATTAATTCTGCTTCGGGTTCAGGTGAAATCAATTCAGTTGTTTTAATTGGTGTCGATGTGGTTTCACCAGATGATGAAACAACTTCCGTCACTAATGCAGTGTTAGTCTCTTCGTGGTTAGAGGTGCTTTCATCGGACGAATCAGACCAATCACAATTGCTGTCATGATGATGGCCCCAACTGTGATGCGGATGGTCATGAAAGCTTCCGTGATGTCCATGTCCATAGAATCTATGATCATGATTGTGGTATTCACTTGATCCGAAGTTTGGATAAAGCGAGTGATATTCAGGTGTATGAAGAGTATAATGATATCCACGTCCAAAATGGCGTCGGCCGCCATATTGGTACCGATCTGCATCAGAACCATAATAATGAGGACCAAAATCAAATGAATCGCTAAACCTACGTGCGGATCTCTTCTTTAGTTTGTGTATCTTTTTCGATATTCTGTTTACGTCACTTTCTAAAAACAAATATATGTTAACGTCAATAGAATGCGCAATAAGCTTGCGTAAATAAACAACAATCATCACACAAGGGTTATCGTGTCACAATGACCCGCATACTTAATTTTAAGTACTTAAGTTTGTTGTGTCTTAACTCAATCATGCAACTGAAAAAAATGCACTAACCGGTTACTTGGTAGATCCCATCCTCACGCGTGTAACCCGAAACATTCTTAATGACAAACACCCAGAAGTAAATCACATCGCCAGCTCGTAGTTTCAACTTGCGATTCTGATAAATCCATCTCCCATTCATCTTCTCAATGATATCCATAGCAAACTGTCCATTGCCCATTTTCTCCATCTTTTTATTAAGATTGCCATGAAACGCAAACAGTTTCATCCCGGGTTCATCCGGTATCGATACTTGAAAACCTTTCGGTTTAAGAAGTTGAAATTTCGGCTGAGGAATCTCATACTGCTCATCAGCTTCAACGCTGCACAGAAACACCAACACCAGCACACACAACGTGCGGAATTTTGTTTTGACGCTCGCCATTTCGTGGGCTCACTTCGACTGGAAGCGAAACCGTCGAATTTACGTGTTTATATAGCGAACTCAAGTTTGATCGGTCAAAACGATATAAGAACATAATAAATACGTGTTTAATGTACATGTGTGTGTGTGTGTGTGTGGTCAGTACATATAGGAAATTCCCATTTGAATGTTGTTTCATGCCTCACATCAGTAGCATATTATTGTTTATCGGAAACAGAAATTAATCGATATGACTAACGCATGTAATATCACTTCAAAAAACGCAGTCGCGCCAAAAAGTAATTAGTGGTCAGTGCATACTCATCTACATCCACCGCATGACAGCGTGCAATAATTACCAAGTAAATGATACATTTGTATTTGATTTGTTACATTTAGCTGCGTTTGTTTGCGTTTTGTGTGAATACACTTGTTACATTCTTGGAACACGGCGCGGGTATTTTTTATTTTTTAACTGTAAATAAATGACCGGAACACATTTCAAGGTTTGTGACAAAACTGGTAATGAATCACAAGTGGTTTGTGTTAAAAGGGTGCAATTAAACGCGAATCTGTACTTACACTAATGGTGAAGATCATAAAATTTAATTACACACAATGACTCAATAAAAAAAGTTGATTTTCAGGCTGTGGAATGCAAACAAACATAAAAAATATGTTTGACTTGTAACAAAATATATATTTTTACGTTCGTAAATGATTAGCTAGATATTCACAACAAGATACATAAAATCACAATTATGTTAAGCTTATTATTATGGCATCGTATAACTCTTTAGTTTCCCTTCAGGGCGATTTCCCTTGGTACATTCGGCTCCGGCAGTTTGTCGTAGGATGCGTCAACGTCCCAAATGTCCTTGCCGTACTCGATGATTGTGCGGTCACTGGAGAATTTACCAGCTGATGCGATATTATTGATTGCCATCTCGGACCATTTACTTTGGTTCTGAAATTCCATAAAATATTATTAAGTCAAACTATAAACATATTTATTTATTTATTTGTAAAAACCTACCTGATAGACGGAATTTACGCGTTCTTGGGTTTTAATGTAATCCTCATAATCAGCGAGTAAATAAAACCGATCGTATTTCAAGAGAATGTCTCCAATGTCCTTGTACTCATCAGGATTGTTCGGGCTGAAGAAACCGTTTTGAATCTGATCAATGACTTGCTTCAGCTCGGGGATTTTATTGTAGTAATCGTACGCATTGTAACCAGTTTTCTTCAATGCTTCTACCTCTTCCACAGTCATACCAAAGATGAAAATATTCTCTTTACCCATTTCCTCGGCCATTTCAACATTGGCACCGTCCAATGTACCAATTGTAAGCGCGCCGTTCAATTGGAACTTCATATTACCAGTGCCGGATGCTTCCGTGCCAGCCGTGGATATTTGCTCGCTTAGATCCGAGGCAGGAATGATTTTTTCGGCGAGTGTTACGCGATAATTCTCCAAATAGATCACTTTGAGTTTATCGCCAACGATCGGATCATTATTCACCACATTGGCGACCGCACAAATCAATTTGATGATTTTTTTGGCGGTATAATAACCGGGCGCTGCTTTACCACCGATCATCACCGTGCGTGGCGTGAATTTCCCGGCCGGATTCTTCTTGATGCGATTGTACATTGTGATGATGTGTAAGCAATTCAACAGTTGGCGTTTGTACTCGTGAATGCGCTTCACGTGCACGTCGAACAACGACGCTGAATTCACCTTAATGCCGTAATCTTCCTCGAGCAGCGCTGCCAATTTCAATTTGTTCTCCTGCTTGACTTTCATTACAGCACGCTGGAAATTCGCATCTTTGGATAATTTCTGCAACTTTTTCAATTCATCCAAATGTACAATCCAATCTTCACCGATCTTGTCGGAGATCAAATCGCTCAAACCGGGGTTACACATGAGTAACCAACGCCTTGGTGTGATTCCATTGGTCTTATTCTGGAACTTTTCCGGTGTCAACTCGTAGAAGTTCTTAAAAAGATCCGCTTTGATAATTTCCGAATGAATCCTTGCAACGCCATTGACAGCATGCGAGCCGACAATAGAAAGATGCGCCATATTGACACGCTTTTCACCGTCCTCTTCAATCAGAGACATGCAACGCATTTTATCCATATCTCCAGGCCATTTCTTTTCAACATCTTGCATATGCAAGAAGTTAATATGGTAAATAATCTCTAAATGTCTCGGTAGGATATGTTCCAACATACTGGTCGGCCATCTTTCTAACGCTTCCGGAAGTACAGTGTGATTTGTGTACGCGCATGTTTTGACAGTGATATCCCATGCCTCACTCCATGACAATCCTTCGATATCAACCAAAATACGCATCAACTCCGGAATTGCCAATGATGGATGAGTGTCATTCAATTGAATCGCTACTTTTGTAGGTAACAATTTAAAATCTGTACGAATTGCGTCCCTGGAGCCAAATTTCACTGATTTAAACCGACGGATAATGTCCTGTAAAGTAGCAGCTACCATGAAATATTCCTGCTTGAGTCGCAGTTCTTTTCCTTCGAAGAAGTTATCATTGGGATACAAAACACGTGAAATGTTTTCGGCTAAATTACGGTCCAATACAGCCTGGATGTAGTCGCCATCATTGACTGAAATAGATTTATATCTAGTTAATAACAGTGGGTGACCGTGACTGCAATTTCAAAGTCATACAAGGTCAGGTAACACTTACAGAATTTCAAATTGAAATCAATCGGCGATTTGGCGCTCCACAATCGCAGCGTGTTCACAACGTTGTTATTATATCCGGGTACTGGACTATCGTAGGGCAGGGCGAAGACGACCTGCGTGTTGACCCACTTCTTGCCCTTCGGCGTGTCTTCAACGTGCCCGTAGAAATTGATCGGGAGCATATACTCGGGTCTGGCTTTCTCCCACGGATTGCCGAAACGTAACCAATCATCCGGTTCTTCCTTCTGTTCGCCGTTGACGATTTTCTGCGCGAATATTCCGTATTCGTAACGAATGCCATATCCGTACGCGGCCATTCCAAGCGTCGCCATTGAATCCAAAAAGCATGCGGCCAAACGGCCCAAACCGCCATTGCCTAGACCCGCATCCTCTTCAAAACTCTCCAATTCCTCAATATCCAAACCCATCTGATAAAGCGCTTCGTCACATGGCGTTTGAATACCCAAATTGATCATTGTATTCGTTAGTGAACGACCCATATAAAATTCTAGTGAGAGATAATAGACTCTCTGCAAATGTTAAAAAATATATCTCTGAGGTCAAATTTATTTAGATCAAAGATTAAATTATATTAACCGATTGATAAAATAGTTTTAGTCATAAAAAATATATTATAATTTAATTTACCTTTGGGTCGTTTTCGTAGTAATGTTGCTGAGTGCGGATCCATCTGGAAACCAAATGGTCTTTGACTGTGTGGGCAAGGGCAAAGTAATAATCCCTTGGAGTGGCCACATTTCGGTCCTTGACGAGCGTGTAATGCAGATGACGATTGAAAGTCTTCTTAATTTCGGTCACGTCGCCAACTTCGGCGATGCCTCTCACACTGATCTGCTTCCTTCGCTCTTGATCCGATTGCGGCTTCGACATCTTCGGCGTGCGACGTTCTTAGCGATATTAATTTCGATTTTGGAATGCCGGCTGATACTGTTGTGATAGGCGAATAGTCGTAGAGGTCAATTCGGGGACGCGCCGTACTTAAACCACTCGCGCATGCGCTCTAAACAACATTCAAACCCCACCAAGAGTAAAGTCATATTAAAATAAAGCAAACAGACAGAGATATCATGCGTTTTAATTTCCACACAAATAAATATACAATTGCAAATGGAAAATGAGTGTTTTTATGTTTACGTAGAAAAATAATTTATGTTCATTAGGAATTCATAATTGCTTGGCGTAAAAATCAGTTGTCTCTGTTTAAAGACGAAGAAAATAAACATCGGTTTCGTTGCCCTTGTTGTGCCTGTGGTCGCATTTACAGTTCCTCTACTTTGCTTCTTACCTCTACCTCTACCTGTGACGTTCTAGGTAAGCGAATAAATCTGAGTCGCTATTCAGCCATGTTGAGAGCGTGCGTCTGCCGCGCAGCGCGAAGCGAATCACTCTCAGACTGATAAAAAAAATTCGTGCGTTTCCGTCGTCTCGCGATCTGCGTGTGGTTACTCATTGCGTGTGATTATAATCAAAGTGTCCTCATTCCACGCCCAAAATCTGTTTTCAAAGCGCAGCGCCTCAAGAAACTCTTCGAGTCTCTTCAATATGCGAGAGTTGCGCGCCGCCGCAGCATCATAAACAAGAGTTGCCGTGTGTGAGCTACTTCCGTGACCCACTTGAAATCTTTACCCAGCTCAGTGACTGCGTGCCTTTTAAATTTCAACGCGTGTTAACATCAAAATGTTCGAGTTACCTTCTATCGGAGTGTGAATGCTGCGCCGTGCGTTGTTATCATGTCCACCAGCAAGAAGCAGCAGCCGTATTTGATTAAATCGAATAGTGTGGACGGCAATTCGGTGCCGCCACGGTACCAACCGCCTCCACAACCACCTGGTACTAATCCAGGTATACTCAAACATCCAACGATAAAAGATGCTGGCAAAATCTATCCAGCAAAAGATTTAAATCTGGTGAAACATCAACAAATACCATCATACGCAGGACAACCACAACAACAACAACAGCAGGTTGCTAATAAATATCCGCCGTATCCGTACCCTGTTGGTCTACCACCAAATCAGGAATCGCGCACTCAAGTGCAAATTCATCAAAGGCCGCCCGCGTTGGACGAGCCTGGAATCCCGCAAATACCACAAATCCCACAACGTGTTGCGCCGAATCATAATAGATACGAAGAGGATTTGATTCGACAGGCTGAGATGCTTAAATTCGTGCGTAAAACAGATGATAATCGGATTATTTCCGATGCGGGACCGAGGCATATGCCGGATCCGAGACACATGCAAGGCGTTGTTGTTGAATTGCGTTCGTTGAAAGAAGCAAACCAACGACTGGCGGACGATAATCAAGAATTGCGAGATCTCTGCTGTTTCCTCGATGATGATCGCCAAAAAGGGCGGAAACTTGCTAGAGAATGGCAGCGATTCGGACGATACACTGCCTCGGTTATGAGACAGGAAGTATCCGCATATCAAAGCAAACTACGCGAGTTAGACAACAAACAACAGGAGCTCATAAAAGACAATCTCGAACTTAAAGAGCTCTGTTTGTACCTGGATGAAGAACGTGGTAGTACTATATGTCCATCATGCGGTAGTAGTACTTCTACCACTAATCTACGTGACGATGGCGATGGTTCTAGTTCCAGCACGAATGCCGATGAACCACCTGTGCCCCAACAATTCACGACTGGAAATCCGCCGCGGCGGTCAGCAAGCCGGGAGCGTCTTTTACATGAAAATTTGGCACGCCAAAGGAGCACATTCAATGGTACAATAGCCTACCGCACAATTGTAGCCTAGTGAAATCATTCATACGAAAATCTTTTGTTACAGATCAAATAATGCAGTATGTACGAAGCCTTGAGAACCGCGTCAAGCAGCTCGAAGACGACAAAAGAAGCCTCACGCATAAAATCAATCAGATTGCGACCAGCAGTGGCGATGCCACGATCGCAATACCGCCCGAAGCAGGTGTGGGTGTTTTGTCAGGTCGACCGGAAGCTGTTGTAAGGGCGCTGCAGGTATTAGAAGTGCGCGAACAACTCGAACGTGAAGGGAGATTACCTGAACGCGGTGAAACTATTGCGCAAGTAACCAATGGCGACATGGACGATGGGGAAAAAGCTCTCGTACGCGAAATGTGCAATGTGAGTATACAAAACTTTCGAATCATGATGAGAAAATCTCGAAATAATGACACAAGTATTAATTTCTTTATGCAAATTAAGCGATATAAAAGTCTCACGCTAATTTTTATCGTTGCGGTGAAAGCTAATTATACAATCAGCGTTTTCTTTTTCTGATGATACTTTTAATCTATTCGGTCGCTGTACGGGACTAATCTATTTTACATAATCTTAATAACTGTTTGTGCTTGCAGGTCGTTTGGCGGAAACTGGAGGAAAGCCCGCAGTCAAGACGGTGAACGCCATCTTTCCCATAATTCTCACATTACAATGTCCTCGAAGACGTAACTTTTATTCCGCTTTAACGTGTATTATCAAACATTTATATTTATTGATTTTGAATAGTTCTATCTTATTGTCTATGTTATATTGTTGTACAAATTATTCATTTTTAAATAAAATTTTATCAAACTACCCAGGATCTTTTGCTGCCCCAAACTTTTACCTCAGAGTTCTGATTATTGCGGGTACTAGCACTGCCTATGGTCAGGCCGAAAGATTTACAGGTCACCAGCAGGAAAAAGGACAGCGCACAGAGCGCATCATGTTCAGTCGTGCCTGATTCGTCCAGTAGTCTATCAGCAAGTCTTTAGTCCCCTTCCTCTTCGGTTCTGGTTGGGGCGATCAAAAGATGTTCACCGTCCAATTTTGGCCCATTAATTTAATTAATTTTAGCGAGGCTGATACACAGTAACACATTTTGATATACATAGATGTGCACTTACCTTACATGACGTAAATTAGAATGTAAAATGCAACGAATCAGTGGTTATCAATCAACTTTAATCAATACTTCAAAAATTAACATCGGGGAGCATTTGCATACGCTGAGAGGTACACAGGGATGAGATTTTGTACTAATCATATTTATATTGAACTATTTATACTTTGGAAAATGAAAACATAAAAACAAATAATAAATTTGGTCAAAATCTTACGAAAATCAACACTAAATATTCATCAAATCGATATTCGTACTTGATTACACAAACATGCTAAAGAACCACCATCATGAATTTTTGTCAAGACAATAAAACGTTTCAACTCGTGTGTGTTCGTAATACCAACAGTTTGCAAAAACGTGTATATATGTATCAATTATGTTTTGTATCATTAGGTTGCAGTGATTCAAAATGCACAATGTTTCATTTTACTTAGTTGCATCGCTGTTAATAGCGATGGCGACGACTGCTGCGGCTGCTGCTATAGTCGTCGTACCGACGTGACGAGCGATGGTGTGAGGTACGTCTTCGGCCGTAGTCCCTGTCGTAGTGATTGTCTCGTTCGCTTCTTTCCCTGCGCCTGCTACTATAGCGATCCGAGTGCGAGTCGTAACTAAAAACATCTCTAAGTCAGGCAGCCATCCTCATACATCTCCATAACGGTTACAAATGTGTGTGATTCCCTAAAAACGCTCGGACACTCGACAGAGAGACTTTAGTTTACTTTTTTTTATAGCATTTTTTGTGGTTAAACAGATTTGTTTTTGGTTTTGCACTCAAGTTGGCTAGTTCGCTATTTGGGGGGAGCCGCAATTTGCTAGCACAATCCACATATCTCAACCATTCTCACCAAGACCGTTTCTTTTTGACCGTTTTGACTACTTAGCCTATGCCATAACACAATCCATTATTATGTTTAACCAAACCATATAAACTATGCCAAAACGCCATGAGCCTGATAAACCATAAAACAACAATTAGGTGCAGAAATACCCATCACAACAAATAACATGGTACATTAAAAATCAATATCATATTATGAATAGTATTAATCAATCGACTCTTGGATTGACGAGAAGCTACTATTGACCAAAAATGGCTATTCAATTCGGGAGCTATTGTAAACGGCTGTTAACGTACCGGGAAATGAACGAAAAACAAATCCACGTGACTCACACCACTGAAACACACGCTTGCTGAAATAAGCTCACAGAAGAATGAACTTATTTCTTGAAATTAAAAACATAATCGCGCGAATAGTGACACGTGAAAGCAACAAATACAAATACAATAAGCTCCCTCAAACAAAACACACCGAAGCAGGACGAATACTTACCGTGATGAGCTGCGCTTGTCTCCGCCACCTCCACCGCCTCCCCCGCCGTTCAAGTCGGGGCAATCTCTGTAAAAGTGACCCGAATAGCCGCATTGGTAGCAGCGCATATTCGGATTGAAGAATCGGCGACCAGAGCCGCGGGTTCTCGGCTTTGCATATGACACACGAATTCGAGATCCAGCTACATCCCTAAAAACAACGCAATTTCTATGATTATAAGAGATTTTAATGCAATTAAACATAACTTACACTCCATCACAAGCCTGTAGAGCATTGGCAGCGTCCTTTTTATCTTTAAAAACAGCAAACCCAAAGCAGGGTGTGCTGTTTGTCATCCAGATCTCCTTCAACTGTCCATGAGCAGAGAAAAGCTTCTCCAAGTCCGATTTGCGCACATTCTCACCCACGTCAGCAATGTGCAGCCTGAAACCGTCAATCTCCTGGCTGGAGCTGCGCGATCTCGATCTGGACAGGCTCTTCGAGTAGCTGGATCTGTCCGCGCTCTTTTTGCTAGCCTTGCTGCTCTTTGAGCTGCTTCTGCTGCGGCTGCGACTACGGCGCACTTTCGGCGAGATCTGCTCGTTGTCTCTCATTTCGTTCGTGTTTTTGTACGTGTCGACGTTCGTAAGTCGGTCGCCTGGCAAGAAACAAACGCAACGCGTACGGGTGATCTGATAAAAGTGACGATGCGTTCCGCGCGGGTGTTGGCCGTGTTGGCTGCAACGTTGTGTACGATTGCCGAGCTATTTCAGAACCATGCTAGCGAGTTAATGGAATTAGTGACCGCTCCACGGCGGAAATGCAATGCGATACTTACGTCTCTGGTGTGTGTACAATTATCGATTAAACAAAATGAAGGATGCACTTGTTTTATCAATTTTAGTGTCGAGCAGTGTCGAGCTCGATGCGTGTATTGTGCCACTACCACTACAGCAATGACGATTGATGCAAGTCACCAAGCCGGAACGTAAACGAACGCGTCTGTGTGCACCGACACATATAAGGCAGAGTAAACAAAATGTTCGTATGGCTTCGCGCGATGTCGGTACCTTTTTACTACATATATTGAGGGTTTCAGAAACACATTAAAATTTAAAACGACAAATGTCTTCATTAGCATGACCTAGATAAACAATTTATGGTGGTTTAATGATTAAATGGAATGAAAATTGCTTGTTATACATGGGCTGAGTTACAGCGTTACAGGTTATACCAAATGGCACGACTACTGTTAACCCCATTTTAATATTTGCATTTCTTCGCTGAATTTTCTATTTATTGCGACGCAATATGCAATATCTCATAAAATATTTATCCTACAACCGGCGATCATGATCGATTTTGTAGTAAATCACTTTTGTTTGAATGCTTTTCAAACAGAATGTTGTTTCCCATAGAAAAACATCGAAGTTTATGTGTATTAAGTATACATATGTTACTTTATTATATTTTCAAATGCATATTTACAAATGTGTTAAATTTATCTATTTATCATAGGATGGTTTGATGATGAGAGTAATAATAAATTAAAAATTTATTCGCTCGTAGGAGTCGTCTGTTGAACGTCGGCGGCTGATACAGTCGCCGTACGTACAATACTTGAGGGATTCATTACCCTTGCGAAGACTTGCCTTCCTTGAAAGCCTTTAAACAAACAATTACATTTATTTTTCATATTATTTTAACTATTTGAAATATTTACCTTTAGTTTGTTGCGCAATAGGTATAACTTTTACACCCTGCAACGATTTAATATTAATCGCTGTGCCCTGAAACCCAGCCGGCAATAAAATCTGCTGCGCTAGCAGTTGCCCACCTTGTCCCTGACTCGCCAGCACAACACGCTGTGCACCACTCCCAGCAGAAGTGCTCGCCAATCGCACTGGATGGCCACCGACAATAATTTGATTCGATGTGCCTTGGTTTTGTATCAGATTCGAGTTTTTCACATTCGAACTGAGGAGAACCTGAGGTTGTACCTTCAATTGTGGAGCTAGCACAACCTGCTGGCCTCCTTGACTAATAACATTCACCGCACTTGTATTCGCAGTGCTCTTCGACACCGCCAGTAAACTTGACGTACTCGTATTGGCCTGGGACTGAATGATAACATTCTGCCCTTGAATATTTTGCAAACTACTGCCTTTTGATGCAAGCAGTAACGGCTTACCGCCTAAATGTGCAAGATTCAAGTTGGCGGCGTTTACCATTCGTATTGAATTCGCATTCGCGGCTGATGTTTGTATACTAATCGGTTTGGCATTCTTATTCGTCAGTTTAATCTGATTCTGACCGATGATCACTTTAGGTTGGACCAACTTCTGGCCGTCTACGTTCTGCGCGATAAACTTTGCGTTTATTATCTGTTGCGTTACTTTCTGCGGAAATTTGCCTATCGATTGAGTTTTCGTCATGGTTTTTGTGATGGGTTTCGACGCGGTGACCGTCGTAGTGGCGTTTGTTGTTGCTGTCGATGATAACACCAATTTCGGTTGGTTCGACAACGTAATAAAATTATTCTGTGAGCCTACAACTTGAGTAACCTGAGAGGTTTTATTCTGTGGGGAACCCAACTGAATGATATTGGGACCGCCTTTTATTCCGGAAACTCGTAATGTTGTACCTTAAAGATTAAATAACTTTTGAGAAACTCCATTAATAGGAAATCAATACAATACAATTACCTTGAGATATGCCGCCATGTTGTTTCTGATGCGCTAACAAACTCTCAACGGAAATGACTTGCCCCGCCGAGTTTGTTAGAACTTTGGCGACAATTGGTCCTTGATTCGAACTCAAACTAGTCTTATTCGTTGCATTAACATCTAAAACATCAATTATTAGTTATACATAACATTGAATTAAACATTTATTTACATGAAGTTCTATTTCCTGCCACTACTCGTGCTTGACCAAGCAAAGAAGTTCCAGGAGCCGCCTGTACACTCTTCTGAATCACCGGCGATTTATGCCGTATCAACACTTGCTGCTGCCCTGTAACTTGCGCTAAACTTTTCTGTCGTATCGTTTGCAACAATTGCTGTTGTTGCGATAGTGTTAATGTGCCTTGTTGCACACGAATAGGAGTCTGCTGCATATGATTACTCTCTGGACTATCTAATTTACCATCCGACGTTGGCGACACATCATTCTGCCGCACATTTCTCAACAATGTTACATTTTTAATATTAGGTAATTGTTGCGGTGATATACTCTGCAAGATCTGCTGCTGTATTGATAAATTAGTTTTCTTATTGTCTTTGTTATCAGGCATCTCAACACGAATGAGCTGCTGCTGATTGAGTTGTTTTTGATGCGCGATCGTCTGCAATAGTTGTTGGGTGATAATCGGTGTTTGGTTCACCTTTGACGTGGTGATGACGTTGCGTCCGTCTTGCTTGATAATCGTGTTAGCGCTCGACGGAATGATTAACGATTTGGCGCCCTGATTCGACGTGATAATTTTCACGAGACTCTTCTTGTTGGCTTGTTTTGGCATCTTATGCTGCATCGCTGACGGTTGTACGACCTGAACGACTTGGTGTACTTGCGATTGTGTTGTATGAAGTTGCGGGACAGGAGATTGAGTCTGCATTGGTTGCGTGATTGACTGTAGAGCTTGAGTTATCTCTCGATCTTCTTGTGAAAGCTCTTCCACAATAGGTGTTGGCGTAGGCGGTTTCACTTCCTGTTTTATTTCTTCCACCTTCACAACAGGACTGTTAACCAGCAGCGATTGAGTGTTAATATGTTGATTTTGTTGATTAATCAACAGTGATGTTTGTTTAGGTGGTTCTTTGATAGGTTTTTCGACTTCCACTGGTGGTGCAGGCGTAAGAATATTATTTTTAACCGCGTTGTTATTCTTTTTATCAACTTTGGGAGTTTTTGGCTTAGCTGGGGACTTTTTCTTCTTGTTGCTCTTATTCATACCTTGATATTGCTGATGTATACGTTCAAAATCTTGCTCGGATCGATTCCGATGCAGATAGATCCATATCTTTCGTTTTGGATCATATTTGACGCATGGGTCATACTGGGTGTGCATTCTATCCAATGCACCACTGACAACCGATTGCAGCAGATTATCAGGCGCTGTGCTGGAAATATATTGACTGCACTTGAGCAATTCGCAGATTTCCGCACGAGTACCTTCGCCATTCGGTAATCTTGCAGTGGCATCTCGGACTAGTGATAATATCGTGACGAAATTCGGTCTATCAGCGCTGAGCATCGTGTGTCCACGCGCTTTGGTATTACTCGAAGACGGACTATAAATACCCTTCAGCGGACCAACAACACTCTCGTAACCATTACAGCGATACGTAAATGATTTATGTGGATTATCGTAGCGCAAACGTTCCTGCTCGCGGAATATTTTCACTTCTTCCGCGTCAGCTTTACGCACCTGCCAATCTGTGGGACAACGAGGCGGCGGAGGTGTTAGAGATCTATCCAAGTCCAAGTCAATGTCATCCTTGTCGTCCTCCTTTTCTTTTATTGATATAACCGGCTTCATTTCGCTCTTGTGGTCCAACCAGTACTGAAACAGCGGGGCTAACAAATTATCAGAGTCACGACCGGCGCCAATCCATTGGTATTTATTCAGCGACGGCTTGAATTCAATATACGGCACAAACTCATCGGGCTGTTCGGGAAAGTTACCGCTGAGAAAGTTAATAGCCGATTGCAGATCAACGAGCCAGTTGTCCGCTAAACAGTACCAGTCGTTCAACGCTGTGATCGGATTCGCCTGCCACGCGCGCAACTTATCCTGCAGCATGGGCATATCCATTCGATGCTCGGGCGTTGAACAGATTATATCACGTATGAGTGCTAAATAGTTCGCATGCGTATCTTGCATTAGTTCCACTTTGGTTGAAATTTCCATGATGTCAATGGAAGAGTCCTGTAGATCAATCGGTAACTTCATCATATCTATGCCTTCCAAATCCGATAGTGTCGCTGGCGCAATATATTCCGTCTTAATTGGTTCGGTTTTTATTTCTTCTTTTTTAATTACCACTGGAGGAGGAGGCGGGGAGTGGTTCTTGTTTGATGATAGTCGGTGGTGGTAATGGTGGCGGCGGCGTCGGTAGTTGAGGCACTGGTTTCGGAGAAAGTCGATGTTCCGTCTTGATCTTTTTCTTGCCTTCTGATTTTGGTGTGGGAGGTTTACTGGGATTTACAAGTGCTGTAGCAGGCGCCATGTTTACAGGAGGCTGATGCGGTGGTATTGCAGGTACGACAGTAGGCAAAGACACTTCGGTCGCGATTGAATCCGAATCAGATCCGGACGAAAAGTTCATCTCGGATGAATAACTCACCCGCTCGGGTATTTCCTTCTTAATTTTCCGCTTCACTGGTTTCTGGACGACCTCGGGCTTGACCAGTTTCTCGCGTTTGTTATAATTCACTCTAGCACGTGTAATTATATCCGAAACATTCAAGTCCTTTGTCTCGTTTGATACGGTATCAAATTTACGCTTGCGATGCTCCTGTAGCAAATGCCGATAGAAGTTCTCTGTGATGATGTATGGATTGTGATTCGGTTCTACATTCTTCTCCAGATCGAAACCAGCCGCTTTCGAAGCAATTGTTGAAACAATTACTTTTTCGCCGTTGAGGACTTGCGAGTTTTTAATTGTGTTTAAAACTCGTTTATCTTTGCGGCTGACAGGAGTTGGTGCACCTTCGGGATAATTATCATCCGAGGAGAATCCGCTTTCGTCTACTTTCGATTTTATCGATGCTAATACTTCAAAATACCTGCGTTTCGTTCGATTATAAATCGGATTCTGTACTTTACTACTGCTCGTCGTGCTGGGACGTGGTAATCGTGGTTCAACTCCTGGGGGAAGATTGCTCATCTGACGCATTAAGTTTTTTCGAGACTCGATTATTTCAGCGTGCAAACGTTCTTTAAACTTTCTATGTCGCCAGAGGCTTTCTTTTCGTTCTGCTTTTCGAATTAAATATCTGAAATAAACAGATAGCTAGATATAATCATATAAAGTAAGAAAACTAAAGATTAAATTAAATTATAACGCCATAACTACATTAATAAATCTAATATTGACAAAAGAAAATTAAATAAATAAACAATTTGTAAATATTTATTAAACAGACCTCATTTTAGCAATATCTGGTCTATAATGGCCATCCTTCAAGTGTTCATAAAAATTATCCAAAGGGCTAGAGAATTTAAAGTTCTCCCCTTTGAATAATTTCTGCAGAGTGATGTTCTGCTCCTGCTCCTCATTTCCCTCAGGAAACTTGGGCAGAAATTGCCTCAAGTGCTTCTGGTTTGATTCCCCAAGTGCACTCCAGCTCCTTGCAAAGAACTCATTGAAAATGTCTTTCTTCTCACATAAGCCTTGTGGCAGCAGGACCTGGTTGTTGTTGAGCTTGACCATCTCCAGTTTGTCATCATCAGAAGAATCTGTAGAGCACTCTGAGCTTGAGTGCTCCTCAGATGACTCTGAGTCAGAGTCAGACATGGTGTTGTTATCTATAAATAACATGATTTTATAATATTTAATTGTGGAAATAAACAAATCAACATACACATGATGCAGGTTAGGTCTCAATTCTTCCACAGCTTCTTCTGTGATTGTTTGATGCATTCAATGATTGCCTTAAGCATGTTGGCATAATGTGTTGAGTAGTTGAATGTTTTCACATTGTCAGCAGGCTGCTATTAAGCTATTGTTAGTTATTAGTTGTACTTCCATGATGTAACTGCAAATTGTTGTGATGAGTCTCTTCTGCTAGATGTTTCTGATGCATTTGTTTCATACGATCAAGCTCCGAAGGTCACCTTACAGGCGCAAGCGAGTTATTTTCGAGCGCTCCTCAGATAATGAGTTCGTTATTCGTGGGGCCCTGCTTCAATGGGTTTTTATAGGCTAGCAATAAACAATCGAGATTGAAAAAGCATCGAGTGGCGGAGGTGGGGAGGGGTAGCATCCATCCGAAACGCAAGAAACCCTTTGGCGATGACGCTCGAGACTCGGCGCGTATGGTTTCGAGCAGCGAGAAACGCGACCGCACTCACTACAAACTGGTATTACATAGACGACGCCTGCATTGCGGATATGCCAGCCACAAGCACGGCATATACACAGCTTGCGTTCTATGGTAGTGGTGGGCCGCGAAAACCATTTTGTTTTGCTGCCATTCGTTCGTCTTCAACATGGCAGACATTAATAGAATATTCTAGACTTTCAAAGATATGTGGCATTCTTATAATAACCAAGTTTAGATGTTTAGTCATTTGTGCATAATCATTTCTTCAAACAACTTCGTTTTTCGCCAAAATTAATCTTTGAAATTCGAATGTCCAAGAAGAAAATTCAGCATTCCATAGTAACATTTAGTTCTCGCATGTTGTCTAACTTGTTTCACCAAATAATTATGCACTGCGCATGTGCAAACTCAATTAAAATCGATTCCTGGCTATACAATTTTAATTTAAATTGTCGTTAAAATAACTTTATTTTATGTTTTACTATACCATTGATATAAATAAATGTTTTGTTCATTACACAGATTATTTATGGAGATTTTAAATATAGTAAACTTTTGTCGGCAGAGACACCTGCTACTGGTGTCACTTGGCAACCTTGTATCAGTACGGCACAAACATGGCGCTTAACCTCACCGTTAAGGTGCATCCCGTAGTGTTATTTCAAATTGTAGATGCCTACGAGCGACGAAATGCGGACTCGCATCGTGTTATCGGCACTCTTTTAGGTAAGTAAACGTTTTTTGCATTGGTTGAAACATTGTACTTTGTATATTTTGGTTGTACATGTGTCCACTGTAAACCTAACCTCATGATTTCTTTTGCATATAATTTGCGTTTAAATTTGAAATTTACCGTATGCTTACACTTTTATAAAAGTACACGTATTTATTGCTCACTAGGATATTTCTACATGAAACAGGGGTTGTTATATCTTGTTTATAATAGTTTTATCTAATCACCTGTTAATAATTAGGGAATCAAAAGTGGTTACATTTTGCAGCATCATGACTCATTAAGAAGAATAATGTCAGAAAAAATGCATCCCATACTTTGTTTTTATAATATGAATAGAAATGAGTCTAGCTAACCTTTTTGTTTGTTTTGTTTTTAGGAACCCAAGATAAGGGTATTGTTGAAGTGACAAACTGCTTCTGTGTTCCACACAAGGAATATGATGACAATGTGGAAGCTGAATTGAGCTACGCCAGCGACGTTTACGACCTAAATCGTCGCGTTAATTCCAATGAGAATATCGTCGGCTGGTGGGCGACCGGCAATGAAGTCACCAACCACAGCAGTGTCATTCACGAATACTACTCACGCGAATGCACAAACCCAATTCATGTCACCCTCGACACCGGTCTGCAAGGAGCACGAATGGGGCTGAAAGCCTATGTGTGCGTCAACCTTGGCGTGCCCAGCGGCAAGCAAGGCTGCATGTTTACACCGATCAATGTGGAGGTGACCAGTTATGATCCGGAAGTATTCGGATTGCAGCTGTGCCAGAAAACACTGGGTGCACCCGGTGGTCGGCCACGCAATGTCCACCCAATGTTAGATCTGGCCCAGATTTCTGAAGCCGGCACCAAGATGGGCGCCTTGCTTGACCAAGTATTACAATACGTCGAAGACGTGTTAGCTAACCGCGTGCAGCCGGACAACGCTGTCGGCCGCTCACTCTTGGATCTTGTCAATTCCGTTCCGCACATGAGCTCTGAACAATTCTTTGAAATGTTCAACAGCAACGTCAAAGATTTGCTTATGGTTATTACTCTGTCGCAATTATTGAAGACGCAGTTGCAGTTGAACGAGAAGCTGACCCTGTTGACATCAGTGTAGGAAGATTTATTATAAAAACCTCTATATACGCAAGTGGAGAGCGCGTGTATTCCAATTTTGTCTTTTCTCTAATAAAGTATACTTTTATTAAGGGATAAAACAAATTGTATGAATTCTTCAACTTAGAAATACATATGCCTATGTTTCACCGTTTAAATTTTGTTTTTTTGCGCTGAAATCACGTTTTAAAACAAATAGTTTGTTTATTAAAGTGTGTATACTCTTTTTTTTCACATGAAAAGGATTTTTAGCCTCTGGATCTAGTTTTAAAGGGTAAATTTGCTTCATAAAAGTGGCTATGCTATGTGCATTTATGTAACTTCAAGAAAACTTGGATCATTCGAAGAAGAGAGCGATTTGAGGTTTGTAAACGTCTGTTAGTCGTAGTTAAAAATAACCATAACTCACTTACTATTCTACACTTAACTGACACAAACTATAAATTACAAATTACCTGGTTTTCAGCAAGATACAGATTATTTTCGGTACAAAATTCAATATTTGGTAAAAATACAGTAAACTACGTTAAAATTACAAAAGATAAAATAATATTGCATTGTCAATTTTGTATTTCTGTGAATTAAAAAAAATAGAATTAGTGGATCACTACACACCTATAGTGACTGCATTCGTTTTTAAGCTTTACTGCACTCATAGTTTACAATGCAATTAATACAATTTACTATCATCCGTTTAAGCTAAAAATAAAGTCAACATTGTGCGTATTTTTGCAACTGTTGTTTTTAGAAAATACATCGCGCAGCAACATTTTATCAGAAACCAGTTTAATATTTTGACACGACATTTTATGGTGTATTTTTAGTTTATTATTGTTTTAAATGTTTAACTTTGTTCTATATATAAGATTCTTCTCCGCTGTCGCGCAACATTTTCACGCAAAACGGTTATAAAACTAGTCACGTCTTCGGTTGATTTCTTTTCGTCGAAGTGTAACGCACCAGAGTTGCAGTAACCTTGTAGCAAAAGCAGCGCATTTCGCGTCGAACAGAAGAGCAACGAGCGGAAATTGTGTTTGAAGGGAAGTTTTCAGCGGCACGTGAGTAAATTTAGAAAAATATTGTATTCCCACAAATATATATGAGTTATATTTTTATTTATACCTATTGATTTTGTATCACTAATCAGATTCATGGACTTATCAGATTAAATGCTCATTATTTTGCTCATTAAAATTAGATTTACATTAAAGGTCATGCAATAATATGTAAATGTATAAAATATATTTTGTAAATTTGGAGCGCTCGTGTAAACACAGACAATGTAGGTACATATAGGTATTGATGTTAAATTAAATGACCTCGTAGAGGATTTGGAGGCGGCGGGCGGCGCGCTATTCATGACTTGCACTACGTATTCATTAAATACGCTCAATGCGTGTAAGCGGATCGTAAATAGTTCCATCGGGATCACGAGAAATATCGAATTTACAGTAATTTTCAGTTTATGCTGCCTCTACACGACAATATAATTCAAATATCCAACAATTTATAATTTTAGTGTGTAAAATTATTTTTTTAGACACGTTAAGTAAAAAAATAGTATTTTAAGTATCAAGTGCGCTAAATGGCATGTTTTGCAACGTTAATAGAAGTGAAGTTTAGGCAATTTTTTAAATTCCATTCTATTTCCACGTTTAGGTTTTTGTATTTTAAAACTGCGAACTTTGTTCGCATACTATTGGGAAATGTAAGGTTATGAACACCTGTGAATTGCCGCACTAAAGTACTTTAGTCACGACTGTGACAGTCCGTGTTTAAAGTACAACTTTTTGTGCCTCAAAACCGTGGAAATACCGTGGAAGTAGAAAAAGTATATTTTAATATCATAACCAAAAGCAGGTTAGTTTATTGTTTACTGAATATCATAAAAATGTGTAATTTATGCAATATTTATTTCTGAGCTAATTTATTGTTACCGATGACATCAAACACAATAAAAGCACAATATTTACCATCATGATATGCAATCATTGATATCAATATTTATGGCGTATTGATTAGATCATTAGATGCGCCGCATTGAAATTTTAATGAGACTTTTGCATTTTATCTACCATAGAGTGTAAAATTTGAAGCGGTTTGTGTAGACCTTCAGCGTTCGCAAATACAACGCGCACAATTTCCTGAAAATTGTAAATAAGAGACAAAGCGCGCAAATACGGAGAGTGGAGGGAGCGCGTATCGAACACATTGCTCGTGAAAAGCAAACGCACACATAAAAGGAAAGCGATCGCATTCGAACAAATCGAGGAAAACGCGCTCGCGAATACATATTTATTTGGCTGATGATGTGACGTTATTACACAAACCCGCTTCCTTGAACGGCGAAGAGGAAGAGCGAATTGAATTGCAATCGTGTTGATTTCATTGAATGTCAGTAACAACATATTATTGCCCAACAGAATCATTCGGGAAATCTTTTTTATTTGGTCAAATAAAATGTAAGTAGTGTTTTATTTTTTTGCAAGTAATCCAGTTGATTAATTTCTTGTTTTTTTTGATTAATTATGAGCTAAATCCGTGAATAAGATTCTAAAATTTTATTTAAAAGAGAGAAAAATGTTAATACTGCATTTTAGCGCCATCTAAGTATGAATAATATAATTATCAATATAAATGTATCTTCATATAAACTTTCAGCCCTTATTTCACACCCTTAAAATTATATTTATGCAATAAAAAGTTATCTATTTGCTTTTTGATAACCAAAAATACATCTACACCAAATTTAACCAAAATCGTGTCACTGGTTTTTGTGTGAAAGCGTCCCAAACATACAAAAAACCTTAAATATGCATTTCAATAAGTACTTGATATGATTTATAAAAATAAAATATCCTATTCAATCAAAAATATGTTTTTGGTATACTACATGCAGTTATATTCCAACTAACGACTGCTCATACTTAAAATCGTAGGTACATCAAACGCTGTGTACAACAAAACGATTTGCATTCAGATAAAATGGCCCCATAAAACGCATTTTAAAGCCGGTTATTTTGCATGAATAGACTTTCCTGTTCTACTCGTAGGTACTTTTTGCGTTTCGCGTATGCATGCGCACATGAATGTATCTTTCACTGCAGATGACAACATGTAGACATACGCGTCCGTTAAATTCATGCACCATAGTCCCACCGCCTCCAAATGAACATCTCGCAGAACACGAAAATTATATTCGTGCACTGAATATACGGATTAACGTAAACGCTGCAGCGGAAAGTTATTTGATGTGAAACTAACACCCCGTCGCAACTTTTCAGCGATTGTAGCCGTACATATTTTGAAATTAATAATGTTATGCAAACAGATATCGTATGAATGCATAATTTTCCAACTCACCTGAAATTTTCAAATTTATTAAAACAACAACATCAAAATGTAGGTATTGGATTAAATTCTAAATAAGATTTTATAGATTTCATTTATCGAAGATGGAAATATTGTGCAAATATTTTCTAATAAACTGTTAAAGTTATACAAAGATGTCTTTGATGAAATATGCTGAAAAGTTCCGCATCTCTTTGCGGGTTTTCATTAAAACTTTGCTGTCTTAAATCTTACCGCTAATGGCGCAGCGGCGGTTCGCAGCGAAACGAAACAGATTTCAAACACTTCTTTTAAGTACGAGTATATAGTATCCTTATATGAAATACCGTATTGTGGACGTGATCATAAATTATATTTCTTGCGTTAGAAACCTTGAAACTTTGAAAATATATCAAAAATTCAAAAAAAAAAAATCCAATCACCATTTTCAACAACTAGATATCTATATCCTATAAAACCAAACGCGGATTATTTGTAAATTTTAATTAAACTCTGTGCACATATCGCAGCTTGAACAACCAAACAAATGATTTGATTTTAGCACATTGTATACACACGTACTCACACATCGCAAAATTTAATTAAGCGTTTTTATTTGTGCAATTATATTTTATTTACGCGTTGCCTTTTTAATAACACAATATTTTTTCGGCGTTGTAAAAAATAATTGCACAAATTGGCCTTGTGTACGTTCACATTTTTTCCTTCAAATATTTATAGCTATTGGAATAATTAAAGGGCGTATATGCGATGTGGTAGGAGTTACGGCAGTCGAATGCGAATTAATTATGATTCGCAGTGCGAACGAGGGTGGCGCACCGCTTTAAATCGCTTTGAATTTATCTTCATTTGTCGAGTAGTGCGCGTTTAGGTTCACAGCACCGCCCTTAAGAATAAATGATCGTGCAGCATGTAATATTCATCTGGTTTATCGACGTTTTTCTTAATTTGGCGAGCTTTAGTCGCCCAAAAGTGTAAAAAAAGTTTTACGGACCAAAAAGACATTTAAGTGGTAAATTATTAATCTTTATGCAATGAAATTAGTTTGTATTGATGTAAAAGCATGAATAATTTTATTAAATTGATTCATAAATTGTTTACATATATAAATATTTATGTTTAACTTCGTTGGAAATCAACTGATTGATTAGGTGTGTGTTTTGTAATTGAAATGATGTGATATTTTGTTTATTATTTTGCAAGTCGGTATATAATTATTTATTATAGTTTTGTTTGTTGATTTTGTTAATGATTTCCAAAATTCAAAAAAAACTATAATTATCCTAAAAAATATACAAAAAATAAGTTTAATTAATGATATCAGCTTTGCCGAGTTTTGGAACATCAAATAAAGTTTGCATCGTTTATAATTTAACCAAAGCTTGTTTCAAAGTTCTGTGTACTAGTTTACTAAAATGACCACCACAGAGCAAATACTCAAAAGTTTCCTTCAGCACATATTTTTGATGCATAAACTTCTAGATTTTTTAATAAAACAAAATTTTATGTATTTTTCTAACTTTTTCCTCAAAAAGTAAAAAATATTAAAATACTCAATCAATAATACATAGGTAATAAGTCTACGAGGTTTACACGCACGTCAATAAACTACGGTTTCATTATTTGCTCTGTGTAACTCGATTGGAAATTGATTAGACATCCAATTAAGCAAATTTGCGTCGAATTACCTACTTTTATTTGTTTATGTGTGCTGTTAGGACAACAAGCTAAACCGGAAGCGGTAAACTTTTCAATCAACCAATGAATGATCCACACAAACAAACTACACGCTTCTAAAAATACAAAA